CCAGTCACGCAGGTCGTATCAAAAGCTGTTGGGGGAGGGGACATTAGAATTGGCATCTAACAATTACCTTTACGAATATAACAAACTACAATTAAAAAAATTCTTTTAACGAGCAAAACAAAAACTCTGTACACATACAGTATCCGTCTTCCTCCGTTTTTCTGTTAATGTCTTTTACCAAAAATTAGCACAAAGTAAAGACCTGATGGAAATTTCTCATTTCGACTGAGGGTCTGTCTCCAGAAGTTACACCGTTTTCCAGTTATTATATAGGAATTCCTCATACTATCTCAGATTAATTTTTTGATCCTTGAAATTAACCACTTTCTCCTTACTGTTTTCAGGGGTGCATTTAGAGTCCCAATGCACTCAGTAGCATTGTCGTCAACATAACTTGTGATACCGATAATCATATCGGTTACATCATAAAAATCAACATACAAAGAAAAACATTGCAACTAAATTGTATTTGTAATAACCCAAAGAGAAAAAAAAAACTCGGAGAAGAATGTTGGGGTGGGAGAGACAAAACAGAGCCTGCACAGGTCAACCATATAGATGCATCAAGGAGATTGTGAAAATTAAGGATGTGATTAACCAAGTTTATTCCTTTTGATGTGCTATCAAATAATCTGTCTGCTAAAGGCAGAGGAAACATATGGACGAAAGAAAGGAAATTTTCGATTTTTTTGATTGAAGTTAGGAATTCAATTATTCTGGTTACACCTTACATAAAAAGGACAAAACACAAAACAAATAATATTTTTCTGTTAGCGAGGCTCCAAATATGAGGGAGGCGTCGCCCTCCCCCTTCCCCCCCCCCCCCCCCCCCCCATTTTTTCCTTAATGGACGATGGATGTTCGTTTTCTGTAATGGAAAAATTCTTTCATGAGAACCAAAATAAACCAAAATACATCGCCAATTTTGTCGTTTTGGGTATGATCAAGCCATATTTGGTCAAACCAGAAAAATCTGCATCTATATTTATACAAGAACCTCAGGAATCTCACCAATGATGTCTGATCAATATCATGTAACCGTCGGGAAAGAAAAAAAGAAGATAGACAATTTAATATATTTTTTACTAGAAATGGTTCAAAGGATTGCAACTTGACAACCTTGGCAGTGTTCCTTGAAAAGAGATCCGGTAAAAAAAAAATGTGCACAATACAGTGTACGATCACGAGCGTTTGATTTCTATCTGGTTATGGCTCTGAAACTAATTAAGACTTCAATTTCACTTGAATCATTCTAAATTTTAACACTGCTTTTGAAAATCCTTTTTACAAGTTCCACGTGGTACACTCCCAATTTACCTTTTTAACCAAACATTTGTGAAGTACACTATAAATAATTTATGGAGAACTTGTGAACTATAAATCCAAAACGATACCCCTTTCATATATATCTTTTACTAGGAGTAATCGGAGCTTAGAAGAGTGCGTTCGATATGTTTGTTAGGCATACAGGAAGCAGTTGAGGCGGAAGGGTGGTTGCGATATAGATAAATATGATTATGGCATATTTTGAACGTAAGGGTTGCGTAAGCGAAACCTCTATTTAAACTGTGTATCATTATAAGAACGTTTTCAAAAGATATCGTATGGTTCGGTGTCAAGTGCTTGTAATCGGAGGAGGCATCGGTCAGAGTGCGTCGGGCGTGTAAATAGAACATTTTGTTTTACTGGCGTGAGTCCCGGGGGGGGGCACTTTAGGAATTTATGGGTGGGGATGTGCCGCTGGGACCCTGGAACCCTTAACCTATACCAGAGCTAGTTCAGCTGAATTTTGCTACCCTATACTAGAGTAAACTCCCCAAATCCCCCCTATCCTAGAGTAGCTGTTTTCCAGAAACTACTGAGGTCACTAGCACAGTCTAGCCAAAACAAAACCTTATACCACAATCCCTAGTCTAGATAAAATCTTCAATCAACTGATCAGTTTCCTGAAAAATGATACCCTATTCTAGACCCAAACGCTCTGATTTATATACCCTATCCTAGAGTAAACTGCTTGAAAACCATACCCTTCACAGCGGCACATACCTATATAGCCCATATATGGCAGTACCCCCTCCCCCCCCGGGGCGTGAGTTACAGAGCGCAGTTGCTCAAAGGCGGATTAGTGCTTAACCCGGGATTCTTTTTCTTTCTTCAAAAACATTTCTTCGGATAATTTTCTGTGTTATTTTTAAGAGCATCCAATCATCAACTTGTTGACAAAATGAATTACATTGAATTTACTGTTTTAAAAGCTTTCACATCTGAATTCAAACTTCTCCCCTGTCAAAGCCTTCAAGATGTGTGCCAGTGTGTGTGCGGCTCACGTCAATAACTTTTCCAGTAATTTGGTCGAGCGTGTTGATTTCAGTAACTCGAGAGTGGCGCTACTGTGGGCTGGTTTATAAGTTTTTCCTAATAAATAACATAGAGTTAAAGTGTTCGTTTGTCCGGTGCCAAAAATATCACAAGTCATGATCAAATGGCGCCGCCGAGCTCGGTAGATTTACTTTGTGGTACAACGGCCCCCGAGCTACATAACTCGGTAAATTTACTTTGTGGCACAACGGCCGCCGAACTAAACCCTGTTTGATGCATGCACCAGGAGTCGCAGACATTTTCCTAGCCTGCGAAAGCATCCGTTTCTCCTCGCTCTTCGCCGCTGGGAACGCGAAACATCCCCAGCGGCGAAGAGCGAGAAGAAACGGATGCTTTCGCAGGCTAACATTTTCCAAAGACAGTGACGAACCATCCAAAGTAAAATTTAACAGCAAACTTCTGAAAGATGAACGCTTCGTACGATTCAGCAAACACAGATCGATGTGCGCTTTACGTATACGAAGATTCAGCAAACTTTTTAAAAGATGAACGCTTTACAAAGTTTTGACAGAATATCAGACCTCAGCAAACCTTTGAAAGAGGTGAACGGTAGCGCGTCAAAGTGAGGGAAAACGTAAGCAAGCTCCTCAAAGCGAGGCGAATGTGTGTCGACCACGACGACGAAAATGCAATCTCAAATAACCTCCCTTATTAATTTCACAGGACACCCAATAATGCACAGAACACGCAACACAAATTAGGGGTTGCGTTCTCGTACCTCGAACGCAACAACATGGCATCCCCTTCATATACGCACAGAAGCGTTCTAACAGGCCTTATACCGAAGCCTTTACTTTCCATTTTGTTCCTATGACACAGCGTAACTTAAGTTACTTTCTAAGCGACTCTAACTCACTATATCAATTATTACTTTCTTAATAAATACTTACATAGCCTTGATGCACCAGATGTCATGAATGTTGCTTAGGGGAGAGACTTAGTGGCTACAGCTGTGGCTAGGTCGTACAGAGCTTTTTTTCTCTCCTTTTCGTTTTCATTTGTCCTCGTTAGCGAACCCGATTTTTCCTCAGCATACTCCAAACTGTTTCTTCTGTAATTGTAATCCAGTACGTGCGTCTCATTGTATTTTCTATATTTGTGTGTGTTGTTACGACGCTATTCGGCGTACCCGTATTCACGGCCGGTATCTCTTAGCAGTCGATGATTTTCCTTTCTTGTGATCTGAAAAGCTTCTCTTTTTCCTCAAATGTAACTCTCTGTTTCTCCGACTGAATGAAGTAGTATAACATCTGCCTGGGACGCAAGGCAGTCTTTCCTGCTTATAATTGGATGTCCTTAAATGCATACGTCTCTTCAATATATACTAGGAATACGTTATCGCAAAAATCTGGCGAAGCTGTTAAGGGTCAGCAGTGAGACTACTTAACTTCGGTATTGAAGTGCTATAACATGCGTCACGAGTTCTGGACTTACTGTTGGATCGCACGGCATTGTGGGGTAGGCCGGCTCCGAAAAGTGGGCATCGACTTGCAGCTTCGCCATATTGGATTACATCGAGTGGCTTGGCTTCAGTGACCTTTCACGCAAAGAAACCCTCCTTTGCCAGGCACGGTCTATCATTAATAGGCCATTAGTTGCTCACTCAATCAGAATGAAGGATTTTTATTATATAGATACTGATGAAATACCAGCTGAGTTTTTCCTTTTACTAAAAAATCATATCTTCATCGCGCCCAGTGGAGATACTATTTTTATCTTTCCCGTGTGAGGATATTGGTGTCGCCATGGTTACTAACATGATTAGCCAAAATTTTTCTCTTCCTCATTAGAATTTTTGGAACAGAACTTTTTGGAACAAAAAATATAAGTATTATTGTCTTTATTTCTCCCTTATAACTTTATATATGAGTTTCATAGCATTTTTGTGACGGGCATTTTGCGATAGGTGACCACTTTAATTGCACTATTTTGCTGTTTCGAAAATGAACAAAACAAAGTTGTGTTTTATGTAGGAATTTCATCAGTATCTATAAAATAAACAGAACATTGCATGGCCGCTTGGGGATACGAATTTTATCTTCTCGTGCTGAAAGTATCTCTGACTCGTTCGCTTCGCGCACTCGTGAGAGATACTTTCCTCACTCGAAGATAAAATTCGTATCCCCGCGCGGCCATGTAATATCCTCTATGTAATACACCACTAGTTGGTTTATACTGTAGCATGACTCACTCTTAGTTTCAATCCTGAGCTTGTGCCCTATTTTATTCCAGGGTTGAGTCCCTACCACCATATAGCACCATCACATCAGTAACGTGAAACTATGAAATAATATGAAAAATAGGGTTTGACCCTACAAATTAAGACCAATTTATGCGTAGATAAAAACAAAACAGAACAGAAATACGACTCCTTACCTTTTTTGACCTTGTCACTGGAGTTTCCGTACTCCTGTCTCGATTCGATTGTGAATGCAAAGGGTAATAAATCAAGCGAAGCAACTTCAAACAAGCAGAGATGGCGACCAAACAAGGATTTGATGCCCACTTGTCGATCTCAGCCCAACTGTATTTTCGATATTCCTGTACGTGTAATTCGGCTTAAAAGGAGGGTTTCTTTGCGTGAAAGGTCACTGAAGCCAAGCCACTCGATGTAATCCAATATGGCGAAGCTGCCAGTCGATAACCACTTTTCCGAGCCCGCCTACCGCAGTAAACGTAGAGCCTGGAACAGGCGAGAACGCAAGGAACCAGAATTAGATTCCTCGCTGGATACTCGTGTATTTTCAAATGGTATGTCAAATCCTGTTTACGTTTAGTTTAAAGGGGAAAAAAATCCTTAATAGGAGTCCCACTGGAAACCCACGCGAAGTATTAAAAAGTCGAGTCTTGCTTCCTCACATAAAAGCTAATTCACCTCGCTCACAAATTGCGTAACATCTGGCGGACGGTTCGAACTCGTTTCAGTTTTTCTTTTTTGAAACTCATTTTCCTGCCGCTAATATACATCCTCGGTCATCCTCGTGTCTTTGAAAACCTTTTAATTAATGATTTCCTAGACAAAAGACAATATCGCGTTTCTAACGAGTTTCATTTACTGCAAACATACTACCTACTGGGATGATAGGTCTGCGGGATATATTGTGGACGGATGAATTTGTGGCGAAAACTACATCGCTCTACTGGGACTATTTAATATATGACAAGTTCTCTATTTTAAGGCACTCCATTTTTTTACTTCTAATCAATGAAATTGCAATTGTCGATGTGCCATGATTCTCACTCAGGATCCGGAGTCAGTTCACTAACAAAATATTGCGGCACGAACCAAGAACTTGACTGTACAATTTCCATTTAAGTTCTAGTAAACTAACCTTAAGAGAATAGTGGCCTGATATTGGTGCCGTTTGTATTCAGCAAGAAATATGCGCGCTGTGCTATCAGGACATTTTAGATCGCTTTCCTAGCACTGATCTTGAGTTAGAGATCTCAGGATTTGACTCCGGGGGGATTGCATATGAAATTAGCGGGGGGGTTCGCGTTTTTTGATTAAGGGTGTATTGGTACGGCTGTACGTGAAGAAATAAAGTAAGCAAAAGAAGGGAAAAACAAGAAAGATAAAACCAACAAAATAAATGACTGATAGGTAATTGCAATTACCTCTTCAGTCGTCTGCTTCACTGACGTTTAGTATATTTCTTTTATTTAGGGGTCAAAAAGGGGGAGCCACGCTCCAATTGACCTCATTTATGGACCCTCTAAATATATATTTTAAGAAACCACATTCCTCACCTTTTTGTGCAGCACTATTTGTGGGCTTTTGTGGGTAGCTGTACTATAAAAAATCAAGTAAATTGGTTTAACTTGGAAAGAAGATAGGGATTACAGTCATGTTTTAAAAGAAAAAAATTGAAAAGAATATTGTGATATTATCTAATTGGCACTCCTAATAATATCGTCACTGAAACATCAATTAAAGAAATTCGACACGGATCTTGAAAGCCAATATTAGGTGCTGTGGCTAGAATCTTCTCACTGACGCGCTTTTAACGCCTTACCCTAGTTATAATTAAATCAGTGAACTCAGATCAACACACTTGAGTTTGAGGAGCTACTCTACGACTTTCTAAGCGCAACGTCGCTTTTCTAAGGTTGTTGTTGTTGTTGAATTTTTGGCTTTTAGGACCTGATCAGCTGGAAAATTATGATTCTTTTGCTGTCTGCTCTCTTTTTGGCATCCTACACTGAAGGTAAGTTGAATTCTTTTTCTTCTTCTAAGCTTTTAGGCTCGGAAGATGAGCTCCGAGATAAGCTTGGAAAATGAAAAGAGTGACAGAAATACAGTTCAAAACAGTTTTTTTTCCTGGGATAACTAAAGAGAACGGCACCTTTCACCGCGGGAAGAAACTTACCACCAACCAATAAATGACTCGTTTTAATATACACGTGTGTTGTCCTGTAGCCGCTATGTTGCAGTAAGTATCATATGGTTAAAAATAATAAGTAGATTCATATTGCTGTTAATAGCACCAACCACTGACTAATAATTTAATGGTTCTTCTGGACCTCAGAACATTCCTGATAATTCTCCAACAACTTGGATCAGCACAATTAATCAACAGGAAAAATATAACAGCGACAGCAACAACATTGCTGTCAATCTGTTGTGAAGTGTTGTCCTTTCGGCTTTTCTTTGTACAAATTTATTTTATTTCAAAGAATTAATCGACAAGGAAGCAATGAATGTTTTTTTTAGTCTACTTCGGTCACATTGGCATGGTATGAAAATAATTACTACCTCATTAAATGTTATATAATGGTCTTTGCACTTACAACCGGGGGGGGCTTATTTCCGGAAACACTTGTCTAGATACACTCCGCAGCACGCAATGAATTTTGATAAGTTTTTAAGTAATTTTTTTTTTACTTTATAAATACTGAATTGACATGATCCTGGAAGAACCTTAATTCAGTGTATCTTGTCGTTATGACGTGTCATAAATGGAAACTCTCGGCTCCTAACCCCCAAACCACATACGACAGTGAGTTAGGCCTGCTAATGTGAGTTAGGATGGGTTTTGGATTGCATTTTGCCAACCACAAAAATTATAATTTGTCGGCAAAGGGTGTCGAGTAAATTGCCTAAAGAAGAATGCGCAAAAAGGTTGGTAAAAGTCTAAGGTAAACGCGATCTAGACAATCTATTGTAAAATAAGTTAATCGAATTTTATTCTCCCGAAATTTGCGACCTTTGCCAGAGGATAACTGGTGTGGGTTACAAATAATCTGCTTAATTTCTTTGCCAACCTGTTATTAGATTTTAGTAAACAAGTGATTATTTTTGAGCTCGTACGTGCCTCAAGTTACATAATAGAAAATACCACACACCGCCTTCGGATTTTTAACATCATTATCAGACGCAAGCTATTGTAGGTGATAAAAATATTAAAAATATTAAAAGTGTTGAATATCTAACTTTTCTCCAAAGAGGGATAAATAAAAAAGAAAATTTGGTCTATATATTATCACTGTATTGTGCCTGATTTACAAATGCTACGAGTGCTGTATTGCACACTGCAGGCTTTTTAATTGACAATCAGTCGTTTTTGTGCCTGTAATCAACTGAGTTTTGATAAGTGGCCAAAACTCTGAAGATGATTTTGAGCAGACGTATGAACGAAGCGGCCCACATCCTCCTGGAAGTACATTTGGCCTTTCGCAAGTCATTAGTGGTAATTCCTTTGATACAATTTTTGAACTGAATGTGTGTGGTTCTCGGTGTTGCCGAAACTATTTTTGTGATGTGATGTAGGCATCGCCCTCTCTCTAACACCGAGAGACTAACGGAGACCTTCAGCGAAACACCTTACGTTACCCAAACTGCTTGTGGTTTATTTTGAAAATCGGCTATAATAAAGGAACTAAAACCTGAAGCTAAGAAAAACTGTGACTCGAGAAGTTTCCAGATCTTTTGGAGGGTAAAGCCGTTGATTCTCGCATAGGGGATTTAATGAAATACCGGGAAGTCGGTTTCACTGTCATTCAATTCTCTTTTAATGGCTGTCCAAAAGGCAAAAGACATTCACCGGTAATTGTCTCATGATAGAGGAAAGAAGGTTTACCCCTTCCCAATTCCCTTGCGTTTCATGCTTGTGGCAGTGACCGATCGCGTGTGAGACCCTATGCCTCAAGTCTCCCGTGTGCGAACCCAAGTAAAGAAGCTCTTTCACAGGTGACATTTTACGTGAACGTAGGCTTAAAACTCTTTGTTCTCCTTTTCAGGGGTGTCTATCTGTCCCAGTCGTGAACTATCAGCCACAGAAGGAGAGGTGACGTCCCCGAATTACCCGTCGGATTATCCCGTTAATGCAGATTGCACCCTGGCCATAGACGGTGGAAACAACGTCAAGTTGAAAATAAACTTTATCTCTTTTGAAGTTGAAGAGGACGAAGATGGTGAGTTTTAATAAATTTGAGGCAATTAAAATTGCTACACATTACTTATAATTTGTTCCCATGCAAGTTTTCCCCTATAAGCTTTATTTACCAGGTCAGAACAGAGGACTCAGTGAAGGAATTTGGGCACTATTTGCAAAGAAAGCCCTTTTGCTTGGGTACGAGTTATTTCAAGCTTAAACAGACCCATTCATTTTGGTGAAATTGTATTTACACTTATCATGTTTCTACTTTTTGGTCACTGAAACCCCCCTCAGATGGGTGATTGACAGCAATGATGCGTACTTGGCTACTATTTATAGCTATTTATGACGTACTTGTATGTCTAGTTGATTTGCGTTGGCCTCAAAATGAAGCTTACTTTATTCCTCCTTGATTGTTCAGGGGATTTTCATTAATTTTTACGCTAGTTTTAAGTATTGGAGAGACTTAGAGTTACGTTTACGACAAACGGCAAACGTCAGATTCAAATTGAGAATTTCAATAGAAATAAACAGATAAAACACAGGGGCACCCAACGAGAGTATAGTTCAAAACCACATAAACGTAGCATTGTTGAACGTACTTTAGTAAACGCTTATTTTTATCTCCTAGAAATTTTTCATCTGTTCGGATTTCCTAGCTGAAAGTACAGTGATCCGAAAAATATAGGGTCAAAATTTACCTTTTCGAAAATTTCAGCCAGAAAAAAGGCTCCCGAAATTCTAGGTGACCTTTTTAGGGTAAAAATCCGTTAAAAATGGGCAATTATACGATTTTTTTGAAGTTCGAAAATCATAGGAGAGGCAGGCAAGCAAGAAATTTGTCAGAAAATGATCCGAAAATTCTAGACCTCAAATCGTCTTCCGAACAGATAATTTTCCGAAAATTGTCGTTGGGTGCCCCTGAAAACAGTCCAAAACGATTCCAATGCACAAACCTAAAGAGGAACTGTTGATATTTTTGGAAACGTAATGAACAGTAAACGACACGTAAGGGGGAAATTTGGTCACGTACTACAAGTAAACGTTTGCCGTTTCCGTAAACTTGACTCAAAGGTTGTTTACCATTTATAAAAAAATCCGGAAATCTTGGTTTGGAATTTTCGGTCGGTAAGAACGGTACGTGTCGTTTACCATTTGCCTAAATTTTCCGGATTGTCGCCCCGCGCTAGACTGGATTAACATGAAACTAGTACGAAACTCAAGAAACTTGTAAATGGTAAACGAATTTCCGTTTGGAAATCGGGAAAACGGGACTACCTTTTTAGAATTTCCGTTTGTCTCGGGAATTTTCAAGTGGGACCGAACTAAGAAAACGTTTACCATTTACATCCCAACAGGAATTTCCGGGAATTGGTGGTAAATGGTAAACAACCTAAATCTCTCTATTGTTTTAATTTTTCAGATCCAAACGTGTGTAAATTTGATTCCCTAACGATTATTGATGGCCCAAGGTCGTTGAAATACTGTGGGAGGGCACCTCCTCCTGAATATACATCATCAGGAAACAAGATTTCCATTCGATTTTTATCGGACGCTTCTTTTCAAATGAGTGGATTCAAAATTTCCTTCAGTACCATCAGAGTGGAGATCCCAGATCGTGAGTAAAACATAGATTTATCGTGTAAATATTTCGTTAAGTTATTTAAGCCTCATTTAAAAGGTAAAAAGGCTTCAAGTAAAAGTTACTAAGCGAAATTGAAGTATCGTTTTTATTTAGTGCTATATGTGGATGTCCACACTACTTTAGCCTACGCAGCAAGAGTATCAGCGCGAGTTCGTCGAAAAAGTTGGGACGAGAGCAAAAACAAAAACGCGCTATAACTCGACTGGAGACTCTTGGTACGCAGAGTAACACTACTTAGTCTCAACCACCACTGGTATCAGTGTTCAAAACCTCATAAATAAAAATTAAGCTTACTGCCCAATTGAATGCATTGATTTAATCACATGAAATGATCTTTATACCTGCTAAATAAAAATAAATCTAACTACAAATGTCAGAGGAGGCATTTCAACCCAGCCTCTCAAAATGACTTCTGAGGGACGACTGCAGAAATTCCATACTCATGGTCATATCTGGGAAGTACTTCTGATTGGTTGAGGCAAATATATTCCCTCGCAGCACGAAAAGTCAGAAGCACTACCCTGATTGATCTGGGTAATCACAAGTTATCAGTATGAAATTTCTTGCGCTCGTTCCTCAGAAGGTGTTAATAATCGCATCTTTTCTTCCACATCTTAGCACCGCCTGGTTCCAGCATATGCCCCACGAGAAACCTTGAGGTTAATCCGGGATCTTCGGTAAACGTGACAGGGGCTTTACACTCGCCAAACTCTCCAAACTTTTATCCTGACAACCAGAATTGCACAGTCACCCTGGATGTTCCTGATAACTACAAGACTGTTGTGTGGTTCGAGAAGTTTTCATTGCAGTGTAAGTAGAGAAAAACCTAGTTGGAGGATATTTCCATATGATTGTGAGCAAAAATGCAATAGTTAATTCTTCATTTTATTTCACAGTCGCTGTTGTTATATAGCTGGAAATTTCTTCCCAACAGCGCGCGCCCTCATTGGCTACTTCGAGATCACATGATTTGTATATAGACAATAGGCTCTACGTGGCGTCATACTGTTGGCTTTATGACAAAGACCCCACTCCATCTTTTATAGGTAACAAACCGTTGCTAGGCGTTGCTAGGTTGAATTTCATTACCATATCCGTTGACGCTGGGCGCTTACCGCGAGCTCTGAAAAAACTTAAATTCCGCTGCGAAAGCGCCGTGAACAATGAAACTGTTTCCCGCCAAAATCTCTGAGCTGGCAACTTTGCAAAATCTATGACGTCAGAGGGTAACCATGCACTGTTACTCGCGAATAGAAGAAGTGTATATTTTCCTGATATACTTTACGATTGCATTCATCCCTTGAGAATACAGAAGCACAATTAATAACACGCTCCCACGTGGATGGCTTTATAGCTCAGTTTATTAGAGCATCGTATGTTTCGGAAATGGAAAGGTCATGGGTTCGAATTCTGATTAATTATAAAGTGGCTTTAAAACTTTTTCTTCGGGTTTACATACGCGATGGCTTATACTGCGAGTGAAGATTCAATGCAGGATGACTCCCTCATTTAATTTTGATAAAAGTTACTCGAGATAACAAATTTCGATGTCTCTTTTGTCTCGTAATCAGTGCCGGATCCAGCCCTCGAGATAGGGGCCTGGTCATTCAGACCCTAAGATGTGGGGGGGGGGGGCAGTCTCCAAAAATTTTCTTCGGCCCTTCGGGCCTCAGTTGGTCTAAAACTAAGGAGGAGACCCGGCCCCCCCCGACCCCTTCCCTAGATCCGCCACTGGTAATTAGCCCCATTGTAGGAACTGGTATTCGACAGACAGTGAAAAGAAACCAAGATAGGGCTCAATCTGGCCCTTGACTTACTAGCTTTTGAAAGCTAGCTCAGTATTGCCAAGCGTGAATTCACCTTTTTCACTCAGGCATGCCGGATAAGTCAGTTGCTATGATCAAAATAAATAAATAAAAATACCAAGTGCAAAAGTAAAAGGGTCATCTGTCTACTCCCCGGTCATCGACCTCTCTCTTTAGGTCTCTCTACAGTCAAAAAGGCATCCGAGTCTGAAGTTTAACGATTGCTAAAATGTAGAAATGTCTTTGCATTTTTCTAGACTCTCCAACGTGTGATTATGACTCCTTAGTCTTGAGTGACGAACTTGACAGAACTGCACAGTGCGGTGGAGGAGACGGTCAAATTCCCGCTCAAGTGGAGTTAAAAGGAAAGAAAGTGAAGTTTTCTTTTAAAACAGATGACAGCATCTCAGCTGCTGGATTCCATATGATGTATAACATCACCAGGCTTCAACAAGGTATGAAAAATAACAATAAAAAACTATTAATTTCTATTTTATACCTAGCCTTCTATTTGTTCAGCGTACTCCCCGCTCAAGTTCAAGTTTTAGGCCATAAGCGGGTTGTAAACAGGTCACGGTATGTGAAATGGTTTATACTAGATAGCTTTGATAGTAGAAATTAGCCGCCTGCTCTATAGTGCCGATATTTTATTGCTAAAACCAGCCAATCAAAATTAATGTTCTTTCATTATAAAAATACCCCTAGTTTTTATCATCGTAATTAACCCACGCCCACGTGCCCACTCGTCTGCGTTATCTTGTTCACACACAACGTGCGCTAGATGAAGAAATCTTTTAAAAGATGTTCTAATAACAGGATTGGGTCAGAGATGAGCAAGTGGTTAGTGATTTTGACCGAAACTTTCGAAGCAAACAGTCACCCTAATATATGACTCATATTTCAGAGTGACTGTTTGCTTAAAAAAAAAAACTTTCTGCTTTCCCTTCCCACTGCCATCTCACTTTTTTCGTTTTCTAGAGCGCTCTCCTCAGCAAAGGGAAATAATCCAAACCTTAGAGAAACTGGAGAGTGAATAAACAACAACAATAACAAAAACGGGAAAAGTCAAGCTTATATCTTCTTGTCTGTTTTAAGTCTCTACATTTTATTGCATTTGTGCGCACACCCAAACGAAAAACGATCCATTTTTCCACCCCAACTGTCTGGAAACAAGTTTATTTAGTTGTCAAATCTGAAACAAGCAACCAAATATGTGGATAATTCTTTGTCATTTTTTTATAATCGGCCTCAGCACTTTCAACATCAGCTTATTGAGAATTCTCGAGGTCAATATTCACGTAATGAAATTTTTACACTTATGCATTAAATTACTTGAAAATTTCATGATTTTTTGTTTTATTGAATGGTAGGTCGATGCGCGTGTACCGAAGGTTTATCTTACATCACCATAAGTAACTACAAGTCAAGAAACAATCGTAGGCAAGATGACATCCGGTTTGAGTTTAAGAGTTCCCAGTCTAGTGGAATGATTATGTACGCTAAAGGAAGACACAGGGACTATATTTACGTTGCGTACAAAGACAGCAGGGTTTTTATGTTCCACATCGATCTGGGGACAGGTAGGAGAGTTGTTGGAAGTTTCCCCTTTTAACCCCTTTATCTACCTGTCAGTGAAGCAGGGTTCAATTCTTGTTAAAATGTGGTTACAACTTTTGGCTCTATGTGGACGAAATGAATTGAAAGGACTTTGGCAGTGGTTTTAAATGGTATTCCCCAAAGATGAAATTTAGAAATTTTGTTGAATTTTGACTTTGGGAGTTTTGTTCGTGAAATGCTTGAAGTAGATGTAACATGTTGCCCCAAGATCGTTCAACACTGATTTTTCCAATATTTGGTCAGGATGTACGTGGACTATTGTTTCAATATTGAATGACAAAAATTTTCCAAATAGCATCTAATGCTGAAAAAAGAAATTATATATATAATGCAAGATTACAATATTATCGCAAACCGTGGAAGCTGATTCAAACTGTGTTTCATTCAAAGTCAAAGTTTAAAAACCCTTACAGTCAAAAACTACAAGCTAAAGGCAAAATAATTTAAGACAAAAAAAATACCACAGTCACATTAATTTTAAAACGCGCACCTAAAAAGATCAGTTTTCAGTTGTCTTTTAAAAATGTCCGATAATCCAGCATCCCTAATATGCTGAGGAAGACTGTACTGTTCCAAAGAACCGGCGCAGTAACAGAAAAAACACGACTGCATAACTATGTATATTACCCCCAGGCTCAGCACGGTAAGTAGCCTTTGGTTGAAACATTGCTTTTCTTTTCTTTCATATGCGAAAAAGGAGAAGCAAAGTTGGAGACAACGAACGTCACACTAAACGACAACAGGTGGCATAAAGTTCATTTGACACGTGTTGATCGTACTGTAATCGTCACAATTGATGATGGAGCTGCAAGCTGTAAGTAACGTGCGTTTTTAAGCTACGGTATAAAAGGGTAGCAAAAACCTGCAACTTGTTTTGCAACATTGCTGTAAAACGAGTTGAATAGCGATGTTGCGCGTTTTACCACCCACCAATCAAACCTGCCTTCAGAGAACAAATCAGGTCGTTGCAGGCTCCGAAACAAAAGTCTGAGTATTCACGCAGGTTGCAACGACCTGATTTGTAGGAAGACAGGTTTGAATTGTAGGTGGTAAAACGTGCAACATCGCTTTTCAACTCGTTTTAGTGCAGCGATGTTGCAAAACATAAGTTGCACGTTTTTATCGTCCGTTTTATCGTACCTTTTGATTAATATATACCCCAACGTCGCGCATTCTCATTGGCTGCTGGCAAGGGACACATGATATGACGTAACATGTAGCTTGCGGTTTTGTGTGGGTTCACAAACAAACTAGTGAGCGGCAAGCCGAGAGGATCGCCGCTCGTTCGCGGGATTTCACGGCTTCGTCGCCCACGTAGCTTGTTTGCGTGCCCGCCCGAACAAAATCGTCCTTTTTATACGCAGGCTTGACGTAACAATAACAATTTTGCCCATACATGAAAGAAAAGAACATGCCCTGAACGGCCAGAAAAGTTTGAAAGACCGTAGAAAAGCTGTAAACAGAGTTATTTCAAACATGAAATGTTTCAGTCAAGCTGAGCAGACAGATTCTGAAGGACAGATTCTACGTTTTTTTATTATTTCAGTGACTGGGAGGACTCCCGGAGGGTTTAACCGCTTAGACATACCTTCTTCAAGGGCTTACTTCCTTGGGGCGCCAACAAACCAGAATCTCTCGCCAAATTTCATTGGCTGCATCCGGGATTTCACTGTTGATGGATATGAGCCTATCACAAACGCCTGGGCCAGAAAGCCGGATTACAATATAGTGCGAAGGGGGTCTATGAGACTCTGCAGTTCATCTGATGAGACGCGATAACCAACAGTCTGACGAATGATCAGTCAATCATATAGGATATTGACCTTGTACAACAAGAAATGGATTATAATTCCTGACGTTTTTGAGCTTGGTTTTCTGTTTTAGAAAAAGGAGGCAATGATTTAGGTACCAGCGGAAAATTTAACGATTTTCTTCTAATACTAAAAAATAGGATTAACTTTCAGGCACTAATCTTCTATTCCAGCTTAAATTTTTAACTAAGAACCAAAAAAAAGATGAAACAATCATAGATCTTTTAGTAGCGTAGTTACGCGATTATGTATAAATTACGTTCTGGTAAATCTGGGCTCTTATATAAGGTACACCGCTGTTGCTCAGTCATGATAAGAGCTGGTTTTTTCACTCCGGAAGGGGGGTGTAACCTCCTATAAAAGTGACGGGGGTGCTTGTCGAAAAGGTACCAGAATCTTGTTTTATGGGCGTGTCCCAAATTCATTTCCACCTTTAAGAGATACCAATTCAAAACTATAAAACTGGCACTGCAAATCTTAATAGTGATAAAGATAACTTTCGAACCCCTTCTTCTCAAGGAATTTTTGAAAGTATTGCCATAAATCTTTATCCTAATAAAACGTATCATCTCTGGCAGCGGTCATTTTAGGTTTTAGCACCCTAAGCGGTACCAATTCACAAATTTAAACCCCTAAAAGGTTTTAGCACCCTAAGCGGTACCAGTCCACAAATTTAAACCCCTAAAAGGTACGACCAGCACCCCCGTCACTTTTATAGGGGAGTACTCCCCGGGGTTTTTACCTAGTTTCGTGCATGCATCAACATAGCCTGTTCCAGGCTCTTAGATAGTCGGGGCCGCTGAATTGAAAAAGCGCGAACACGACAATAAAAAGAGAGGAAACTGGGTCCGTCGATATTTGTGGATACTTTACTTCAGGTCGGGGCTGACCTTGTGTCGAATTTTTCTTAAATACTTTCTACAGCCGGCGTCTAATAAGTTGTGACTCTTTCTCCTTGAAGGATAATTCGGTCTATTTTTTCCCTCACTATCTACTGCCCCACAATCCCCTTAAAGCAACGTTGTGCTGTTGAGTCAAGCGTGAAGTCAACAGTATAGTGCACAAAGCAGCATTAGCCGTGCGGTGGAGGTAGTCTTCCTACATTGTGTTGTTCAGTACCAAAGTATCCGACTGTACTAATAACCTAGCTCATGAATATTTTTAGCTGACTTCTCTTTTTAACATTTTAAACATGATAACTTCACTTAATTACCTTATGAGATGGCTTGTAAACAATTAACTAAGATTATATTTGTAAATGTTGTATTTTTTATTATAAATATGTTACAGATAAAAATAAAAAGCATGTATTTTCTATTATGCACCTTACCTTAATGACAGTCATGTGATATTATTAAACGCAAGCAGACTAGTAAATGTCCACATATACTCGAAACCAGAACCATCGGGTCTTTGATTTTTTTAATTGTATGGAAGAAAAGGATCGCTATTGATTCCCTCGGCCTGATCTCTATATTTTTCAAGGTCAGGATTACTTACATTGCTGCCGAGTAGATAAAAATTTTCCAGGCAGGCAAAGTAAGCTATGTAGAATTTCTGCAAAACATATGCGAGTTCCACGGTGTTTTCAGGATATGAATTGAGTTTATTCTTGCCGATTTTTTTTAGGAAAGGAGTTCATACCCATCCAGTGGCATTTTGCATATTCTTCAGTGGTATATCCAGACCTTCAGAAAAGGGGGGGGGGGGGTCTAAAAAAAAATTGTTTCCAGCTCTTCGGGCCTCAGTTTGGTCTAAAAATAAGGGGGGGAGGCAGGCCCCACGGGCCCCTCCCCTGGATCTACCACTGTTCTTGCTACAGTTTAGGGTCAGTGAATCTGCAATTGCATGTTCGCATAAGAGTGTGAGATCCTCTGCTCTTTTCTAATGCGCTGTACTGCCAAAACAGCTCACATGAGCTGAGCCAATGCGCACAGGTTTTGTGTGACATCGTCCATCAGCATCAGCATATGAGGCTACAAGCAGATGGAATGAAATTCAGTTCTTCACACACCGACTAAAAATCTACTAGAATTCTATAATTGCAAATTTTTTATCCTGACTGGCTTGTGGTAGTGACTTTCTATCATGTCACTGACAGTAGGTAGAGAAGCCAAGTTTTCGTCACTTGACATTAAAGGTGGCAACAATAGCTTGTGTAGCAGGCGCCTGTTTTGTTAGGGTGATGTCGCACAGTTTATAAAAACCAACCAAAACACTAACCAGCACCTGCCATAGAGGCTATAGCAGCAATATTTATTATTTTTACAACAGAATACTAACAGATTTTTACCAACTAGCAATAATAAGAATTGGTATTAGGAGTCTCACTCTATCATTTTTGATATTTGAGATTGCCCAGAAGTCTCACTAATAAAATAATATTATTATATTGTTAGTTATGATAGGGGCTACTTTGATACATTACTACCTAGCTGACTTGATTCAAACACTGATCATAACCCTTTAAGCCCCAATGTCCACATATAAATTCTCCATACTGATCTTCATACATTTCTTTAAAGAATTAGTTGAGAGAGTTTAATAACAGATCAAAGCATTTTCTCTTTAGTGATCATTTTATTGACTCTCATAACCATTCCTCTTGGCAACATGTGGATATTGTTAGGAGAAAATTATTGTTGGTCACTATTGGGACTTAAGGGTTAATAACCTAAATTGTTAGTATTAATTACTTTAATCTTTCCAAAAAGTGCTGTGGAATGCCCAGGTCAATTACATCAGGGATGATTATTATTTTGTTGCGAAAGCAATCAGTCACAGCTTCCCAAGACCTCTCAGCAAGGGAGGGAAGTGTCAACCATAGTTTAAAAATGTCATTTGATCTGGTGTCATCATTGGAATTAAGAGTCTTGACGCCACCGAACACATACATACAGCCTGATGGTGTCACTGTAGCTGAGTGAAAGTAAACTGGATAAGGAAGAACCTGTGGGACAAAAAGGTACAAATTAAAGTGAAAAACTAAAGGCATAGGAAACAGGAGACATCTGACTGTTCAAAGGCAGAACAGATCTTCTGTATCTTGTTTGTTGTTGTTTCTTTGTATCTAATGGCTGGTTAGCCTTATGGCATCATATAGTTCAAATTAGCAATGTGCAAGGAATGGGATCGTTCAAACAGGGATATGTTTTCTGAGGTTTAGCTTCATATTTTACTGGTACAGCTGTTAAAGTGCCTATTCTTGAAAATGCATGTTGGACTAGCAAATTGGCAATTGGGCCTAGATGAACTAGCCTGCGAATAAAACTCCCTCTCATAAAACTGTAGCTTTCTGTATGAGTGAGGTCTGCTTTTGCTTTTCGATCCAAAATATTCCATACTAAAGATCTAAACCTCTCCAGAATCTAGCCTGCCAGAGAGCTCACTTGTGCAAGTTTAGCGAAAATTTTTTGACCACGGAGCCTTCAGGGCGTGAGAATAATGGGGCAAGGAAAAACTTTTCCTCACCCAATTCTTCTTGTGCGCCTCAAAACATTTTCCCTGAACTCATACAAGTAAGCCTGCTCACAGGCTATCGAGAATCTGCATGCCGATAAACCAATACTACCTGTAAGTGCAAATAACATCCTAAAACCAAACGATAACCAGTTTTCAGAGGCAAATTAAATTTCAAACTTCAAGCTCCTTCAAGCTATATTTCCTTCGTGGTTTTCTTTGCTTAGAGGGGGAATGAAAAATTTTGTTCTTAAAATTGTCATAATGGCAAAAAAAAAGCTTTTCCTGTTTGAATACTTCATTTTCAGTTTTTATCAAAAATGAAACAGTGGGTTTCTAGTTTCCTGTACTAGCCTAACTGTAAAAAGGTAGAACTTCTGAAAAGTTCTAAATCAGTTACCAGGACTTAAGTAATGAAATTAAAATCTAAAGTGGAAGTTATGAATTGGCCCTTTTTGATCAGTGCAGTCTATGGTTCTATTGTTTTCATAGATATTGGTTGGTTTTCAGCAGGCCCTAATGATCCCCACAGACTAAGCTAGCCAAACAAATTATGGTTGAGGGCAACGATCCAATGTATCGCATGTGTGTGCTATGATTCCCAAATACTGTTATAATTCTAATTTGACCAATATCAATACATGGCCATTCCTGGCTTGTGGTAAGTATTACTGGCATTCACTTGTCTTCTCTATCTGCCTTGGACATCTAAACTGGAATCATGTTGCATGTTAGGTACAATGGAACCTTACAATCTTTTGATTGCGAAGGGGATGGACCACAAGTCATTCAAATTTGCTTTTCATAAATACCTGCGGTAGTTTTTTCCACTGAAAAGTTGACAGATTCAGACTCCATATATCATCAAATATGTTAACTCCATCATAACCACCGCATATGTAAACAATCGAATTAAAAATCACACAACCATGACATCTTCTCCGCTTTGGGAAGCCATGAGTTTTGCAGGGGTAGCAAACATGGTCGTTCCATCGCTTGCTACCAAAACAGAATGACTGAATCTTGTCGAGTTGGAAAAATTCCACGGGATCTCGACTTGTCATTCCACCGCCGATAACATAAAACCTTTCGTGATCGCAAACAGATTCATGTCGATATCGTGGAATCGGTGGATTTTCACACCTAACGTAATCCCATGTGTGTTTCAGTAAGCTATAACGATACAAATATGAGTTAAACTCCAGACCTGTTGTTCCTCCGAAAACATAAAGATCTTTGTCGGAGGACAAAACCATACTCTGTCCATAACCAGCTATCGGCGAAATATCCTCTCCATCACTTTCCGCCTTTTCAGAATACCTTTCTGAGAGATCAAACCAATGACGTTTTTTCAGGAAACAAATATGAAGCTTTTTGCTATTACACAAACCAAAAGGCACTCCAGACCCGCCAAAAACAATCAGATTTCCTCTGTGTAAAACAACGCAACTTGACGCAACTTCGTTTGGAAAGGGACCAGTGGTTTCAAGAAAGTGCCACGTTTTAGTAGCAATATTGAATCGCCACAACTCCCGAAATAGGTTATCAGCGAAGTGCGGAGAGTAACCACCAAATACATAGATATTTCCATCGTCAGCCGCACATCTATGACCACTTCTTGGATCAGGGATTTGAGAAGAGTGACACGGAACAACTGTTTTTACATCACAGGAAGCCATCTTAGCACCTTGTGATGATTACAAAGCATTCTGGGAAAAAACATCGCAACTTCCTCTCCCTCTCTCCGAAATATTTTTGTACACGAAATTTTTAAAAACGATGGTAAAATAATATTGGGGTGACAATTTTTTTTTCAACTTTCCTGCATTTTTTCAAACAGATTATGTTTCATTGTGTAGGCCCGCAGTTTATTTCAAAGATATCAAAGCCCTCGATTCAGTCTTGATTTCAAATTTTCTGACCCGCACCCCATCCCCGTTAGTAATTGCTTTTGTCCATCGTTACCAAGATGGCGGCAGATTTGAGTCCAGCAGAAAAAGAAACTCTTGAAGCGCTTTTACAGGTAAAACTTGGATAAATTAAGTTGGTTTTAACACCGATATTATGTAGGGAAAAAATGTTTTTCCTAAAATGTTGTAGAAAATAATAAACAATCGCAGTAGTACCATTCATGTGCTTTGTGCTGTGGCAGGGCATTACATTAACTGGCAGCATGGCAACATCCAGTGTAGGCTTCATTAATTACTGTATGCTTGGGCACATTGATTTCATGTCTTATTTTTCGAGTGTATTGTTTAAGGGCTTGCTGATTACGCATAGTTTTTAAGTTTTAATATGCTATTTTCGATGATGATGTTCAGTTGTTGATGATAGTGATAGCCAGTTTACAGGGTTTACAGACGTGTCTTCTTATGGGAGACCCTGAATAGTTGTTGTTGTTTAGCTTATCTGTTGGATCTACTAGTTAGTCATTAAATTGTTTCATGTGTTTTCGTTTTTTTACCCATATTTATGCCAGAGCCTTCAAAGAGATATCAACTGTCTGGCAGATGACAACAGAGGTACAAGAAAGCGAGCCCTGGAGAAGATTAGCAAAGAAGTTTTTTCAAAGAAGTCAAAGTTATCTGCTTCAGTAATGAAAACTGTTTTTGAAGAAATTTTAAAGCCTGTTTTGAAGCTGTTTTCAGACCCAACTGAAAAATGCAGAGAGCTTTCTTTACAGATGGTTACTGAGTAAGTTTATGGTGAACTTGTCCAAAAACTATAAGCAGACATGAAAATTTGGTGCGTGGTTGTTTTGCTGTACCATGAAATCGATTGGCTGCAAAGCATTTTTCTTTTCACTACATCAACTGCTCCAAAAAGAGTTGATTCACTTCAAAGCATACAGGCAACTCTCTTGGAAGCGACCACCCTTGGTGCACAAAAAAGTGTTTGCTTACGGGAGGTGGTCCTCTATGGGAAAACTCAAGGAAGTAAGCTTAAACTGAACTGATTAATGTAACTGCTTAAAATTATTATCTTACATCTCAAAATTAGGTAAACAGACTTGTAACTGGCAATGATGTTTCATATCTAGTAGTGCTTGAAACATTTTGAAACTTAAATGAAGATATGAACGTTGCAGTGGTAATTTCAATTTAAGAAATTACAAATTAACCTGAAAAAAAAACTTGGGACTCCCGCAGGATTCAAACCCATGGCTTCTGCGTTAGCACGGCAACGCTCTACCAACTGAGCTACAAAGACCCATACATTGTATCATCGTTACAATCCACCTTTTTACTTACACTCATCTTTTTTGTAAGTCAACTGCTATAATCTATCAATAGGCTTGGTCAGCACTACCGGAAAACTGAGAGGAATGGTTTTGTAACAGTTATATGTGAACATACATGGTGGTTGCTTGTGGGAAACAGAAAACAATTTCTGGTTTAAAAGGTGGTTGCTGTGAGAGAGTTGAATGTATTTACTTTGAGATGATTTTTTGTTCTACCTAATCATGAAGCTTCTCAGCTATTGTAGCCAAGTTGATGCCCCTGTACAGTTTGACTAGTCGAAGCAAATCCAAAATGTCAAATTAACACAACAACTTGTCTTCTGTCCCTGTTGAACTTTCTTAATTAATCTTCTTTTGATTTTCTAATTTTTAAACCAGGCAAAAAGATTAATGCCTGCCTTGATGCTTTACCTTTACCACTCTAGATTTGCTAAGCAAGTGGTGGACATGTCCCAGTTTCTTCCATATGTAATTCCAGCAGTGGTCCAAAGACTAGGCCAGCCAGAATTAGTTGAGCCTTGTGAAGAAATTAGACTTTCTACGGTGGAAATGTTGCTCTCTGTTATTGAGATATGTGGTGAAAAAGTTGGTGTATATATCGATGACTTGATAAAAATACTTCAGAGAACTCTTGTTGATCCATTTCATGATGTAAGAAAGGTAAGAAAGATTTGGGATTTAATTGTTTGCACAGGCTGCCCATCAACCCTCACAGGCTCACCCCATTTTATAAATTAAGAAACACTGACCAGGCGTGTTATTGCTGCCGCAGTGAGTGAGCCTGAAGCAAACAAACGAGGCAGCTCTCTAATCAGCAAAAAAATTACATTATAGGGGCATTCAATCACTTTTTCTTGCCAAACTCAAGGAATTGTGCACAATGGACTCGCAAGGAATTGTGGTTATGTGCGAATGGAAGATCTAGGATGCACAGTAGACTCGCAAGGAATTGTGGTTATGGGAGATTTAGAATGTGCAGTGGATCACCATGTGCTTTCTTCTCACACTGATTTTCAACTGCAATTTGAATAATTTGCAATCTCGTTAAAGTACGTCTAGAAACAAAAGGTCTAATCAGCAAACAAACAATTTTGCATGTGCTGCATACTTTTGCAGTTGGCCGACACTTGTCGACCGAGAACTGAAGGCATTCATTATGAATTAATTATTGCTGATGCCAAGGCAGAATGAAAGCAAAGTTCGAAACCTCTGTACATTTGGGTTTGTTTTCAGAAAACAGAACACGCTCAAGACCAGCAAAATAGCGTAGCATATGGACAATGAAATAGCCTCACTGGAGCAGGCAGCCATTTTATATTTTTCAAGCATATTTTCACAAAATGCAATATTTTATATATAAATCAGTTTTATTATTTGCTGAGGCTATATGGCCGGTAACTGGTCAAGATTTACAAAACACTAAATGACCAGCAATCCGATATTTTAAGTATAGTGATTGGGGTTAAGCACTGACAATACTGATCAGGGTTAAGCACTGAAAATACTATTAGGGTTAAGCACTAACCATACTGATTAGGATTAAGCCCTGAGAATAGCAGGGCTATTTATACGAGAAAACTAAAACATTAATGTATGATAATGTATGATAAGCTAAACTTTATCAAATTTAGACAGCAGGTTGACTTCATTAATAGCAGAGAGACGTTTTTGTTTTGTTTATACCTGTAGGAAAGTTGTCGATGCACAAATGTTTTAGCTCCAGCTGTTCCTGAGCAGTTTTATTTCCAAGCCAACTCACTTGTGACTCCTCTTCTAAAGTCTCTATCTCACCAACATTCTAAAGTCAGAGTTTCTTGTATACAGGTAAGAAATTATTACTGTGTAGATAATGTAACATGATTTTCAACTCTGTGGTGTTTTTCAGTTGTTACATTTTCCAGTCCTGGGCTCTAAAATGGGTCTTTTTAGACATGGTGGTCCAGACATGCACTGACAAAGGTTGCATAGGATAATTTCTATTATGTAGCAAGGTGTTTGTAAAATAATAGTTCTTATTATATGAACGGCAGTATTTTACAAGGATTTCTACCACCGAGAAATGTGGTATCTGAACACACGTAAAAATACGATATTTTTACATGTGAAGATATCGATAATTTCACTGACATCAGGTTTGTCTCTTAAATTGGACTTAAATTCGTTGGTGTATCATCGAAACATCTTCGGGTCTTCCTCGAAAGTGCTCAGCAATCTTTGGAAATCGTCGGACATCTTCGGAAATTTTCGGAAATTCTCGGAAAATGTTCGGGAACGTTCATCTGGTCTTCGGGACAATTTGAAAAATCGTCGGAAATCTTCGGAAAATCATCAAAAACGCCGTCATCAGTATGTTTATATAATAAACAGAATAATACATGGACGCTTGGACATATGGAATTTATCTTCTCGTGTTCACATTCGATATCTCACTCGTTCGCTGCGCTCACTCGTTCGATATCGATGTGAACACTCAAAGATAAATTCCATATCTCCGCGCGACCATGTATTATTCTCTATTTGTTTTTTTTGTTTAATCCTTCAGTTTTTGTTGATTTGAAATCCTGCAGAACAAATAAGCAACCCTTTAAAATATGTGCCCCCTAGTTTTCTTAAGTCAGAAAATTAAATATTTTTCAGGATTAATTTACAGTTTTAGACCTAAAATTTTGATTGACAGACAGTGTGTACACTTTTTCATTGTCATTGCTGTCTCCAGACGTTAGGTACTGTCATTAGCTATGGAGATGGCAAAAATGTGGATGATGTAGTTTCACATCTTGCCCAGAGAACATTTGACAGTGCACCAACAGTGAGAGCAGCTTTGACTGGTGTTGTTGGTGACTGGTTGTTAAATCTTCGTGACAGGTGAAAAAATAATATAGGAAGTTAGTACAGTGTACATGTACAGTGATTTTCAAAGAAAAGTGGAATAGATGGTGAGTCAAACATGTACACTCTCTTGGTTCATAATCACTCCCTTACTTTGAAGACTGAATACAGCAGCACTGCTGCTATGTTTGTACTCTAACAGCACCAGGGAGCTTGGGGCAACTAACTTTTGATTTTGGGAAACTTCAAAATCTTACTCACACATGGTTTGCACGGCCTGGAATACTCCTAGAAAAACTGCTAGGTCCTTGAAAAGTCCTTAAAAACTGTTTTTCTTCTTGAAAACTCCTTGAATTTGAAGAAGCGGTACTTGAATTGTATTAAAACCCATTGAACTCTTGAGACTACAACAAAATAAGTTCATGTTTGACTTCAAAAGATTGAAGGAATTGCTGAGAAACACATTTGAAGTCTCGAAAATGATGAGAAACTTTCTTTGTCAGGGCAATTCAGTGTTTCTTTAATAATCAAAGTATCTAAGTAACTGCATCCTTAATGGAGTTTCCCATTGCAAGTGTATTCATCAGTCAATCAGCCCCACTCTTAGCAAACAAAACCACAGCTGCTTGAGGGAGCTTGAAGCATGAAATTTATTCAAAATTTATTTGCATCTTTTTGTACTTACAGGTTTTGGTTTGTTGGCATGACTGTGCAAAATATGTAATATTTGTGACAAAATAATGTGTGCACCTGAGAAAAGTAAATGCTTGAATTTTCTTATTAAGTACTTGAAAATTTATGGAAAAGTTCTTGAATAAAAGTTTATGAAACCTTTATGAACCATGGTACATTGTGTTTAAGACAAAAATTTGTTGGGCACCCAAGACGTCATATATGGAATCCTTTAGGTAATCTAATCTTTTTTAGAGTGTAGCAAAGTCCAGTCAGGGCACTACACTTAGTCCAAATCATGTTGTTAAGGCTTTCTGAAAGTCAGCTACTTCCAGAGGCCAGATGGAGTTGTCTGGCTTTTAAGTAACACTCACTTTTTATGCCCTGGAAACTTGTACTCCACTATCTTGGACCGTTCAAATAAATCTAAATTGACATATTACGTGGATTTCACCGAAAAATCTGTGCTCCATCCTTTCATCAGAACAGAAAATCCCTAAACATGTGATGGAGCCCTTCAACTGATTCTTATTTGGCTTTTTTCAAACCTCTTTCTTAATTTATGTTTTATATACATTAGGTGTCTATGTATATGTCAAAGTTATATTCAGGTTAAAATTTTTTTTAACCCAGGTTGATTCTCAATTTCCTTTTTCTAGGGCTAGGAGACAAAGGAAATTGAGAATCAACCTAGCAGGTTAAAAAATTTTAACCTGAATATAATTTTGACATGTAACATTTACTAATACTATTATTGGAGAACTTATCAGTCACATTGTTATTTGTAGATATTCATATTTCCATAAGTTACTGCCATTATTGATGACAGGCTTGTCTGATGAAATGCCTGATATTCAGAAGCAGGCAAGACAGCTCATGGACAAGGTAATAAAAATGCTTCTTATTATGTGACAAGTATCAGTCATTAACCCATTCACACCCAGTTTAGCTGCCTGTAAATGCCTGAGTGAAAAGTCTCTTATGTATAGCCTGTGTAGTAGGTGCTTGGAAGTAATACACAAGAAAAGAAAGGTGCATGTGATGGAGACACACGCACCCCATTCTTTCTTGTACCCATTATTTCCAAGCGCCTGCTACACAGGCTACTAACACGACAGAGGCACATGCACCCCATTTGCGATTCTTTCTTGTGCCCATTATTTCCTAGTGCCTACTACACAGGCTACTGTCTTATGTACTACTGGTATGCACCATGTAATGATTGGGATCTTTTTGTGCGAGATTCAGCCACAACAAGTAGGCCAGAGACAACATAAAATCATGTGACTTTGACACAAAAATGAAAATGAGAATCGTGTTCCACTAACCCCTGTACTTTTCTTAGAATATTTTTAAGGGTTTTGAAGCTTAGCATTAATCTCCCAGCAAAAGTAAAAAAAGGGAAGAGAATCAAAAAAAGTGACGAGGAGAGAAAGTGAAAGATGTTAAAATATCTCCCATAACTGCAAAATAAAAAAAATAAAGATACATGCACACTTGGTCTTGTATGACAGGTGGGTGAACAGTTTGCAGCGGAGAATGAAGATGATTTAAAAGACAAAATGGATTTTGAGGAAATCCCAGATTACAAGCTTTCAACAGGTAACGTTACTTAAACAATAAATGCCATGCTTCTCAGATACATTAGTTCTACAGTCTGGAAATTTATAAACTTTAAGAAGTACCTCATTTTCTTCAGTTATAGTAGAACAGGCGAGATACGCAGCACACGAAGAAGGTGATACGTGAAGAGTGTCACCTTCCTGAAGGGTGGTAATTTTCACGCGTGGTCCCGCATTCTGCTCATTTCACTATCCCAGGAAGAAATGAGACTAATAATGACTAATGTTTTAGGCTAGGAAAATTATCGAGAATTTTTGCTTTGTTGTGCTATGCTTTTTTCATTCCATAGGTATGACACGCCCCAGTCTCGGATGCAGGGTTTTAGTTCAAAGAAATTTGTCTAAGATTTTACCTGCTGCACTACGAGACATGGCCGACTGGACTGCTGACACAAGAGTTAAGGTTGTTTGGCAATTTTTTTGATGTGAACTTTTTGATGATTAACTAACTGCATATCTCTTTGAACTGCATAGTGATTTACTGAATTTTATTAAGGAGATGAAACTGAGCTAAACTGAACGGTAAAACTGTGACTGAACTAATTTTGGGTATTTTCAATGTATGTACAAGTAAGAAAAAACGCGCTGAAGAGTGTGATTCTTTGTTCTCGCCCTAATCTCTTTTAATCAATGAACACTCGGTGAAGATCGCACTAACATTGCAAGTCAACAAACTTGTTTCACTTTTGATGGCTTCCATAAGCATTGCAAACAACAAATCAGAACATAAGATGTTTTAATTGCGGCGTTGTGCATTTCAACAAGGTTTCATCCCAGTTCCTTTGAAATTGCCTTCCAAACAGCTTGGTTCTCTGTGTGAGGAAAGTTTTTGCAAACACGCCAATCTTTGAAACCGTTGCTGAAAAAACAGCAGTCATTTCGCGACCGCACCGTGCCACTGGTTTCCCAGCAAAATAACATCCGAGGAACGAACTCAGAAATTCCATACTGATGACGTGTCTTTATCCAGGTCTGGGTAGTGCTTCTGATTGGTTGAGGGATGACCATTGAGACGCACTACCTAGATTTGCACTCGTTCTTCAGATGTCATTTCGCTCGGAAACCAGTAGTGGCGTCGCAAAATGTCGACCGTTTTCTTAGGCTGGCTGAAATGTGGCGGTAGTGGCAGGATCTGCTCTGTAAAATTGTGACACCTGTACTAACAGAGCTGCGATTTTCCCCTTCCTCAGGCTTCTTCTTTAGTTTATTTCTTGCTATTTTATGCTGAGGACCACACAACTCAACACATGGAAACACTGTTACAAGGGCTGTATAAAGCTAGTCAGGATGAAAATGAGCAAGTTGTTAAACAGGTAACACCTTATATCCTTCAATCGGCTAACTTTCCATTATAAGTCGAAACTGAAACAAAAAGAGTTGGCTTGGATTTAGTTACGTTAATTTTTGCTGAGTATGTGCCGCTGGCCACTCAGAACACCTTTCCCATTTTTGTCTATCCTGTGGCCAAATAAAGACCCCATCTTAGTCACTTTTGGGAGAATGTAATTTTCGCGATTCCAACTTGGTAACTTTCTTTTTATGCATATAACTTATAAAGCCTTTTAACTAGGTCATCCTGAAATTTTATTGACACATTGGTTAACTTTAATGAAGTAAAAATCTTCCCATTTTTAAATCCCTACCAGTACCTACCTGAATTTTCTGATCCCCCAAATCCCGAAAATGTGCGATCCCATTCTAGTAACTCTAATGAAAGTACAGCCCCATTATATTCAATGCAGTCGTGGAAATGCGAACCGGTCCAGCGGCACATCCCCATTAGCCTATCACTAGGAATTACTTCCCCCCCACCACGCCCTCGCGGAGAAAAATGATCTCTAGGGGGTTTATTTTGCTTGTAAGCGAACAGGTGTATAGGGAGTTTGTTGAATAACAAATTTAGTGCACCAGTTTTCTTCTTAGGGAAACATTTCTCTTCGACAGTCAGTTTTTGACATAAAGGTTTAAGGAAATAATAACAAAAAAACTTTCTTATATAACAAGCAGATTTATATTGGTTTCCTAATTGAAATTAGCCCAGGCACTGTATTTGGGGTAAAAATCGTAACTCCCTTTCCCTTGTTATTTTAATTTCAAATATTGATAGTTTATGCGTTACTCTACCAAGGTTGTATCAAGTGCGGAGCTGGTTGGTAGTTTCGTTGATCCAGCAGTGTTTTGCAAGTTAGCTCTCCCTCATCTCAAGTCTGCAGCAGGCAGTTCTGCTACTGGTTGCAGTAGTTGTTTGTTGATTCTTGCAGCATTGATAAGGGGTTGTAATCCAAAGCTCCTTAAACCTCTTCTAAAGGTAAGTTCCTGCAATCCTCTGACCTCGCAGACGTTCTCAGGGCTTCGTCATGTGTTCCTCCTTTACGAATGATTTACCTGCAGGAACTTAGCCTCTCATGGAGATGTTCTTAGGTCTTCTCAATCGTTCATGGCCTGAGGAACGCATTAACATTAAGGGCATTCATTTATTGTAACCAGTGCCACAAAAGTACTCTGGTAAAGTCCCTCACACACTGTTAAAAATTTGCCCTCAAAGAGCTTGAAAAGGAAGAATAGTAAGATATTTATATTTGTAGGCTTGGTGTCGGCCTATCACGTGTACAAGCACTCGCTCACCCCAAAAAGAGTCGCAAATGAACCCTTGGCTATCTCAGAGTTTATTTCTTAATGAAAAAAGTCCAGGTGTGAAGCTTTCTCTTCCCTTCCGTCAGAATCGCTTTCAACCACTCTGCTCACTTTTTACCCACTTTTAGCTAACTTTTAAGAAAATCTATGGGATCCTCTATGATTTTTCCTTTCAATGAACAAATGGCTGTACATAGGCCTTACGAAGTTTTAACAAATTAATTTTAAGTGATCAAAGTCTCGTTTCCATTTTTTCAATCACTGTTGTGATGTTTATTGTCGACTAATATTTTATTGTGTATTCTCAATTCTAGGATGTATGTAATACAATTTCTTTACAAGATGTCTGCTGCACAGAACAGTCTTCTTGTCAACAACACCTTTTAGCGACGGTTTCTGCCATTGTAGACAAGGCTGGTGAAGAGACCGGCACCCACAGTTTCACATTATTCTACGTTTTATTACATGTGATGGCCCTTCAGCCACAAGGAAGCCTTCAACGAGAGGTATAAGTTGCGACGGAAGTATCGATCATTATTGCTGCAAGTACAGTAGAACCTCCCGTAAAGAACTCTCTGAGTATCAGAGAACGCAGGAGCGTAGAATCCATATAAGCACATATGCCCGTGCGTACATCTGAAATGTAATCTGGAAAAAAAATATGTGCACTCAACTGAGATTGGGATTATATGTACGCAAAACGCAGGTGAAGTCAGTGAAATTAGTCAGTGACGGCACGTCACGCCCTTTGCTTGTAACCTCCTTGATGGCGTCACTGTTTTACCCTTTTTTCCCGTTATTACTGTAACCTTACCGATAACGATAGAGATGGGAAAAGTAAACAACTAACTGCTGCATTTTTCTTCGTATATATTTACTGAAAATGTCTTGCGGAAAAAGCAGAAAATGGCATTTCCGAGACCCTAAATGTCAGATCCCCCCAGTCTAAGCCACCTTCGGCGCTATAACTTTCATCCTGTGCATACGCTTTCAAAATCGCACGCTGCGCCCCTGGAGAGGGTCCCTCAGGAGAGGTGCCCTCTAAAGGGAGTTTAAAAATAAGGGTTTGTAAATGGCTTGAATCACGACTAGAATCCTAATGGTGCTTACCAAAAATTGACCAGACCCGGTTTTTGAAGATGAAATGTGCTTTCTTCGAAAGTTTAAGCTAAAAACCCATCACTACTGTGCATTCACCATTTACACATAGACCATAATACACCTTGCTTGCACCCCGAAATTTAGCATAATTATTGTCCTCGATTTTTCTTGGGACGGCTGTAATACCCAGGAGAAATTGGAAACAGTGGTTATGCAAAATTTTGGGGGGTAAAGAAGGTGCATTATGGTTTATGTGAAAATGGTGAATCGGCAACAATTATTCCACGACTGCTCGTTGGATGTGAGATGATAGATAGCCAACAAGGCGCGTACACTGTAATTTTCAGGGAGTTATAATTACTCCTCCAGCGGGGCTAATCTAACTCCTTACAGTGGAGTTATTTTTCGTGGAGTTATTTTAACTCCAAAAAGGAGTTTAAAGAACTCTTTTTCAGGAGTAAAAGTGACCCCAGATATTGAGGAGTTAAAATAACCCCAAAAAAGGAGTTATCCTGTACCTAAAATTTTTACTCCACTTTCAGAGTTAAATTAACTCCAAAAAGAGTAAAAACAACCCATGTAAGGAGTACAAGTAACCCCATTTCGGAGTGATTTTAACTCCAGACTAGGAGTAAAAAGATTTCTTTTTCAGGAGTAAAAATGACCCCAAATTCAGAGTTAAATTAGGAGTTAAAATAACCCCCCAAAAGGGGTTATCCTGTACCTAAAATTTTTACTCCATTTTTGGAGTTATAATAACTCCCTAAAAATTACGGTGTAGGGCCGAGTTGGCTATAATCATCTCGTATCCAGCAAGTATGAGTGGAATAATTGTTAAATAATTTGTTTTAATTAAAAAAACACCCACAAAATATCGAGAATTCTTCCCGACTTTATTTGTAAAAACAACCGATTTTCAGCTTGTTTTTAATTTTGAGCAGACGCGTACAGTTACCATATTTGGAGAGCATGGTATAATGGCTCATATACCATGTTGGCTGAGCCAATCAGAGCTTTAGAATTGCATTATCCGATGATTCAGTTTTTAATAATTAGGAATAGACTGACCTGGCTGGAAATTTGTGATTAACAGTGGAAATCTCTTTACAACTGGACTGGTCTGGCAAAGCAGTTTTGACTGATGGAATGCGCCTTAATTGTCCGCTTACCTAAGTGTCCGCTCAAGGTGGTTCGACTGTAGCTTGGCGCATGTACGTGCTGTTTTAGTATCGGATCCAATTTACTGTTTTGCGTTTCTGACTTCATTTTGACAGGTGAATGTTGTGTTAACCAAGCTTGCATCAACGCAAAGATTGGAAAGTGTGTCAAAGCTGTATGAAAATCACATTCAGGAGTTCCTTGAGAAGCTTAAAGTAAGCAGTACTGCTTTAGGTTATGCTGAGGCGGAAACACATTGTAAGACTAGGCATACTTCTTTTTTTAAGAACAATCTGACTTGTGGAGCTATGTACTCAGTAGATAGATACTTGTCTGTTTAGTAACTTATCCACCTTGAAGACCGTTTACGAAAATTATTCGGTTTCTTGTGGACAGAGCTTTTAGTCGCCGCATGATTACTGAGTGTTCGGTGGGGATCATTTGTTCGTACTAATGGTCTGTGTTTATAGTCAGTGATTAGTTGGAAGCGTTACTCGTTTGAATGACGTCTAGTCCACTGCCGTCACTGTGTAGACAATAGCCTAGTCGATAGGTGTAGATGATAACATTCACCTCTTTTAGGGAGACATTCACTTCTCCTCCCTTCCCCTGAGTTCCTTTCAAATACAGTGAACCTCGATATATCGAATAGCCGAGGTTTTATTTCCTGCTTCTTTTGCCTATATTTTACCATTACTAGGGCGAAGAATGTCTTTCGGCATACCGAAGTTCCACTGTATTTGCTCAGTGACCATTCCAACTTTTTATTCTTCAGGTGAGCCACACCTCTTGGACTCATCATTCTCCAGAGTGTCGACTGTTTGATGTGCTGTTGTCAGAATCTGGACCAGTAGTTAGTGGGCACCTTACAGACGCCATGGACATCTTTACAGAGTGCTTAGACAGTCAGAAGAAAGACCCTGAATTGCGACTAAAGTAAGTGGGTGCATAAGTGTTTCCTGGGGTCTCTGAGAGTCACACACCCTACTGACGCCAGCGCTAGTTTTCTGCTATGTAGATGAAGCTGTGTTCATCTTATTAAGAGTTACAGAAAGGCAAGAAAAAATTGGCCAGAAACAACTAGAAACTGATGCCCGCCCGATTTGGCCAACAAGGGTGATCGCCTTAAAAGAGATCAAGCGTTTGGTTAAGATAGCTGAATACTGGCCAAGTTCTTTTTTTTGCCCTTTTATGAACCAAGACAAGGTCTAGGTCAATAAAACTGCAAAATCGAACGAAGCCAGTATCCATCCTTTGTTGACCGGGCAAGATAAGCTTATTTTTTTTCGGATAGATAATCAGGATCACAATATTCCCTTCATCTTGCCCACTCTCGAAACCAGCCATATAACCGCCTGAAAAGGTTTACATGGGTGTCCGCCGAAAAAGAGTTCATTATACATGAATACAGAAACCTAACGATGACATACAGTGGAACGTCTGTGTGCCAACACTTCTCGAATTTTTCAACCATCAAAATCAGTTTGCCCTGTACTGGCCCCAGTTTTTCAAAAGTTGGATGGCGCTATCCTCCAGGGCCCAGTTGTTCAAAAGGTGAATAACGCTATCCACTGGACAAGTCACTATCCACTGAATAGCGCAATTGGTTCCCGTAGTACTCATCCGCTGGATAGTGATTTATCCGGTGGATAGTGCTATCCAACGTTTGAGCAACCCGGGCCAGGTAAATCACTATCCAGTGGATAAGTGTGAGGGAAACCAATTACGTTTTCCAGTAGATGGTGATTTATCCGGTGGAGAGAGTTATCTACCTTTTAATAATAATAATAATTTACCAATTTATATAGCGCGTATTTACATGAATTGGAGCCTCTCATGAGTGACCGTCTTCTGTGGAGCACCACCACATCTTGGCATTTTGGATGGTTGCTTGCGGAAGGTTTGGCCGTACTTCACTTCAATCAGAGAAGGAAATTATTTTTAAAACTTACTTAAATGGATTGGATAATTCATCGATTTAAATTCGGTATCATCGTTTCTGTTTTTTCCAACAATATAAGGCCTCTGTAACGAAGTTATATGGTGAAATATAGGTTAAAAAGTGGTAACAGAAAATTTGCAAATCGACACTTGGACGCCATCTACCTTCTTTCTTATGAAACTGAATTGTTGCTGATGCTTGCACGGCAACACAAAAGAAGAACCTCACAGTGATGGATCTTGCTAATTTAAGCTGTTGCGAATAAATAACTTGAGAAATATTGAAAATGCTATAGTTAGCTGTGTTGAAAATTAAATACTTCAAGATTATTGTGCCGTTAATAACACTTATTTTGACTGAGGTATGAAGCGAGTTAACGAAATATTTTTTTGTGAAATTACAATTACGATCCCACGACCGATCATTTAGCCTCCCTCGCAGCCGTTTTTGTCCCGTCACGAAACGCGCGAGACTAACTTTCTTTGAGTAGCGCGTTAATGCTAGTAATATTTATGTTTGGATTTACCCTTAGGATGTTTTCCTTGTTGTCACGTCTTCTCATGAATCCTTCCCAGTCGGTGGAGTCAAAGAACGCTTTTAGCTCACATTCAGTGACTGTTGTACAGAAACTTGTTATTCGTAACTGTGTGTGGCAGGCAGGAAGGTAAATTCATATTTAATGTTGCTGAATAGGTGTGCTGTATTTAATGCACCTTTTTAAACAGGACTTCTGACAATGCCAAATTTTTGTTACAATTTGAGCAACAATGTGAACGAACTTCTATTACTTCCAGAACTGCTGCCGCTGTCCGTTCTGCAGCCATCTCTTGTCTCTGGGCGTTACTAAACTCTAATTTGTTATCTTCTCAAGATGCCTCGCAAGTAATGAAGGATCTTCTCACTCAGGTATTGCAAATCCACACTTGAACTCTGAACAGACTTATAGAAGACTAGTGTGCGTTTTTTTCACAAACTGAGGCCTTTTTGTTATCTTTCTTACAGCTTATAACTTGCTTGGACGACCATAATCAAACAACACGGCTTGTAACGTGCAAAGCTCTTCAAAGATTACTGGTATCCTGCAAAGACACTTTTAATGGTAATGTGTTTCTTTTCTCATTTACGCTAGTTATGTGGCAGAATGACTGAACAGGGGTAGTGTCAACGTGATTTAGTGCTAGTTGTTTATAGCAATGCAATTTCCTTGAGAGTGACCAGGTCTAAGTGCAAATTACGTTAGAAGTATGATGTCGCTAATTAAAACTGTTTAAGTGTCTTTGGTTAGGGAGGCCTAGTAGTTAAGGGGGTTGTTAGTCGTGGATTGAACACCGCTTTCTGTTCCAGGTTATTTTTAATGGCGAATGTTGTCTTTGGAGGTTGTCTCGTTTGTTTGTACGACCTGTTTAAAATGAGTGTTCGTGAAAGTCCCCAAAACAGTACCGTAAACTGCCGCTTACAAACCCTAAGCTTACATCAACTGGGAATGGTCGTAAGTGGGAGGGGGTTGGGGCTTAAAAACGGCAGTTTACGACGGTAGGAGTTCGGCGCGGTGCCGCTACCCAAGTTACTAAGAAGGTAATGGCAGGATCTGACGGGATGGAAATAGTTTTAGCCAATCAAACAGATATTGCGAGGTTTAATTCCGCTATAGATGAGGTACTGTGGGACTAGCACCGTCTTGTACGTCTAATTCCTAGTAGAAGTAAAGTTTACTTTGTCCGATCTGTCTATTTTCAGTGGACATGCTTCACCAAATCTACCCCGAGTTACTGAAAAGAATGGATGACAGTAGTGATGAAATTAGAGTCGTTGTCACCAAAACCTTTCTTGCTTATTTTAGGTGAGGATTATAAACTGTTAGTCAAGTACCTTTGTAGATATGGTTCAATTTCATCGTTGGTATTGATTCATTTTCCTTTGTTTTAAACTCATCCACCATTACTATATCCAAGAGCACAGAAATATAAAATTTGATCTAAGGAAAAAATTGAGCCACAACATAAACGCTCTAATATTTAATAGACTAACTAAAAAGAGGAGTGTTTCATCCATTATCTAGACCGGGTCTGAGAAGCGGAATGATGAGACGAGGCGCAGCCAGTTGAGCGATTTTCGTCCCTTAAAAAATAGTTTCAGGAAATGTTCGTTTCAGTCCTCGCCAAAAATCCTTGAAACACACATGCACTTCCCTTTCCCTCTGCAATGTTGAGAAGTGATTGCAACGTTTCATGGCTACAAAAACATTGCAAAAGGGAGGAGGAAAAGGAAAGGGAGCGAAATTTTCCAAAGTTTTTCAAGGTTTTTGTCTGCCAAAGTGGTTCGAGGTTTTTGCCTGAGACTGTGGCTATAAGGCAGAAACAGTATTGTGCGATTGACCAAAATAAAGATTTTATGCTTGGAGAACCACACTGATCATTATATCCAGATGCGGGGTCTTTGTTCTTCACCTTTAGAGAGATTTTGCCCTCTTATTGGAATAGTATATCACGCACAATAAGGAGCTCGACCTCGTAAGGCTTTTGCCATTGACACACGGGTTTCTAAAGCTAAGTAGGTAAAGCCGCCGTTTTTCCACGTGGACTGTCATATCCTGAGCCTGTATTAACTCCTAAGACTACTTTCGACTCGATTTAATTTTGTATGCCATTTGGGTTCTGAAATACCCCATTGACCTTTCAGCGCTTGTGGAAGACATGCACTCGAATGTATGGTTCATTGTAATGCAGTATAATATGTCGTTTTATGGTTACTGTGTATTTCATTTCCTGCCAGAGCGTTTCCTTCAAAGTACGACCACGACTTGTACAAGTTACATTTGGAAGCCATGTTCAAAGGTCTTCTTGTTCATCTTGATGACCCAGCAGCTTCTATACAGGTAAAATTACTCTTGCTCATCTGACTAATTAGGGCAGTACGCCAGGATTATAAGGTAGGTGCAAACCACCTGAAGTATTCAGGATCAACTGATGGAATTGAATGAATAGCCAGTAAACCATTAGCTACAGGCTGTATGATCTAAATGAAACGTGTGTTCAGGGACCTATGTCGTTGTCACAAAGACCAGTTCTTTGGAGTGAACTTTTCAGGTATACACAACAATAAAAAACAAAACAAAAACATAAGAAAACTAGCAACAAACAAAAATACAATGGTAGGAGTGAGTGGTTAGATATTGGATCTTGAGTAGATGGGAATGGGGTGTTCTGTTAACATATATTGTATCATGAAGAACAAGCGAGTTATGTCAAATCCTCAGCTTTTGGGTCTTTTTTGTCAAAAGACATGAAGGTAAATTTTAGCTTCTAAGACGGAAAAGAGATTTCCGTCTTATAGATCGTTTTCACTGTCACGCAACAAAAAAATAAATTGGAAACCGTCCAGTAGAAGAAGCCAAGAAAATGAAATGTTATAAAAGACTTTATGGCCCGCAGTTTCTGAGTTATTTGCCGAAACGTTTCACGCACCTTTGTAGAGCTTTGTATGGAGACGCCATATTGGTGCACCGTTTTGGTGCACCAATATGGCCGCCGGAAATCAACAAAAACGTCTGGAATTTAATATTTCTATAAAAGCTCTTTCGTTTCACTCGAGAACTAGCATACGAACGCATAAACATATCTTCTAATACTTGAAATAGTTATACTGCTGAAAATCAAGAGGAGAGACTTTTTTCAACGAGGTGGTGTCACGCACTGTAAAAACTCGGAAGTTCAAATTGCTGTATTTTCGAAATGAAACATGCTACGGGAATGGAAACTTGTACAAAGATTTACTTTTTGTTTAAATTCAACCTAGTGTAAATGAGAATTCGTACAACCTCGCTATTTTGACTTTACAATTTGATGACGTCACGGTGAAAACCATCTATAGAGAGTCAACTACAAGTAGTAAAGAAAGGCAGGGACAAACTCTAGGCGTCCGTTTTAGTGAACTGTCTGTCATAGAGTCAACTAAAAGATATAAAGAAAGGCAGGGATGAACTCTTGGTGTTTGTCTTAAAGAGAGTCAACTAAAAAGAGTAAAGAAAGGCAGGGACCAACTTTAGGCATCCATACTAGCAAGGTGTCAGTCTTATAGAGGTGTCTATTGCAGGAAGGATAGGTATTGACTAAGTGTTATTTTACAGGTGTGCTGTAGTTCGGTGATGACCAGTTGGAATGTAGTGTTAGCCAATGACGAAATAGTAAATTCTGCTCTATTTACAGGAAGCAGTTCTCAGTGTGTTAAAAGAAGCAGCACATGTGCAACCTCTCTTGTTGAAAGAACAGGTTGAGTCTGTTAGGCACAAGCACAGAGTGGCCAGGTAAAACAGACAGTTCTACAATTTCTTGTATACTTGTTACCTGCCCTAGTAAACACACAACTCACAACTACTTCTGTTTAACAATCAAACAGAGGAAAAGTGTCTGATATCTTTTCTTTATTTAATTATAAACAACGTTTTTCACAGTATTGTTATCATCTCTAGACAGGGGGTTCATTAAGGGCCGGGCACCGGGCAAATTGACCGGCTGTGAACACGACTTTACCCGGCTGCTTTACATCTCAAAGAACTTCTTTTTAATACAGGGAACGATCAAAAACAGTTTTAAGTTACAATCGTGCCCATTTCTTGATGAGTCGTATCGAGTGTAAAACATACTTTGCGGTGCAATTTCCACTTTATTACACGCGGCATGAAATCCCCTCGTTCTTTGTGTGTTAAAAACAAGAATCGCCCCATAATACATTGCGAAAAGAACTGTGCTTCATAAACGACCACCTGAAATGTAGCAGTGTTGCGAGCATGTGAGCATGGCGGCCCAGAAAAGAACGCGTTCGATAGCGTATTATTTTTCGGCTTCAACCAAAGGGCCTCCAGTAGAGAAAAGACCAAGAGATGAGTAGACTTCTTTGTGATTTAACCTTTTACTTGCCTGTATATATTGAATGGCTTAATCATCATGTTCAACGAAGCGAAGCGTGATTTTTGTTCGTCTTATGGTTTACGCCAATGAATTAATTTTCGGTGCGTTCACGTTAAAACAGTGCTCCTCCCGTCTAGTCATTGAAATTTTAAAGATAAGTTGATTACGGCTCAGATGCTGACGGTGAGTTGGAGTAAAGATTATTATGAGCAGAGCTATTAAAAGAGAACCAAAAAGTCCAATTTGTGTGGTGGGTATTGGTATCAAATCATGATTAAATTGTCTAGAAAAGTTATCTTTTTTTGGTTGTTGAAAGTCATTGTCTGCAGCTTCAAAATACAGGAAAACACATCCTTACGACTATAGAATTTCAAAATTTTCCGGGGGAGCATCCCCCCAGACCCCCCTAGAGGGCAAGGCCCTCCGGGCCTTGCCAATTCTTTGCCCGGGTGTCAAACTCAGTTGCCCTCCTGTTCAAAACCTTAATGAACCCCCTGTCTAGAAGAGGTTAACTGAGAAATGCCTAACTGTGGTATTTTGAAGCAAAACTTGAAAGAAATGGCCAAACCAGTATCATGATTTCAGGAGTCCTGTGTCTTCACTGACAACGTTTTTCTCACTCTTGTTGTTTGTAGATACTGCGAGGAGCTTATAACACATTGTCAAAGCCTTACAGCCAAGTCATAGTCTTACTTAGCTTCTTAAAAATCATTAATATACCATCAAATGATGAGCCCACTATTAGAAGCTGATTGCAAGACCAGAACGAACTTAAATGATTACCCTTGTACATGTGAAGGAAATGAGGAAGCAAAGATGGACACTCTGACAAGCAGCGTTTTGAGGAATACAAAATAGATACATGGCGTCAAGAACAGGCTGGTCGGCAGAGAACCATTTCCTTTAATAGTTACATGTCTAATGTGCTATTGCTCTGAGTTGTTCATGAACTATGGCTGTTCAGGATTAACTGACAAAGCCTGTTTGTATCATAAATTATTTTAAAGACTTCAATGGAAACGTGCTTTTTAAATTATATCAGACAGTCAGTTGTGAGCAGGATGTAGATTTTTGTTTCTTGTATTGACAGGTCTGGTTTTATGTACGCATTTCTGCTAAAACAATCGAATTCCTAATGCATGTATTAGAAAACCTATACAAGAATCTCACAGAAAAAGGAGATAATCGTCTCTGCAGGAACACTGCTCAGTAGGTCAGATTTTAACAAAGGCCATTGTGTGATGTGGGCAACATAGTTCTTTTTGACATTCATATAGCACTATGAAAATTATTCAACAACAAATTATTTCCTTTAACTCTGCATGTGAACAAGGCACAGGTCATTTCTTAAGTGTTCTGAGCAAGGATAATTTCTGAGAAGGAAAAATTCCTTTGAGAAATCCACAATGGTCTATCACTCTGAGGCAGATTCTAAAGTTTAGTAGCTTTTTTCTGCAATAGGATTGGCATGGATGGTCACATTCTTTATTCGAACATCTGTGATAGGCCGATATGTTTTCTCATTCACTGGCAGTTTCTCTAAATCATCAAGAGTTTCCAGACCATCAATGACCCTGCAGATTATAAACAACAACGGTAACTTATGCCTTGACCTGAACAGTTGTGCTCAGACATGACTCAGCTACTATAGTCAAATTTCTTATATCAAATTTAAATTTCCAACTGTTTGAAAAAGGGGCTTGCAGGTCAAGACTTGAACCTGAAAATTAACTAGAAGAGATTAACAGAATCTGAGTGACCTTGGCTGGCAAAGAGTGACCCCTACACTTGAGTAATAAGTAAATTACCTTGATCACACCTGACTTGATCTCCACAGACCAAGGCAAGACCTTTGTCTTTTGCGAGATGTATGACATAGAATCACATGCTACAGCTCAACTCCTTACAAATATAGCTATTTACCTTTAATGATTGACAATATTATTATTATTGATTTGCAACACTTTGCTCTACCCATCCAGAGGCAGGTTTTTAATGTTATGTAGCACTGAGACTTAACAACATTTTACTTGTAACATACTTTCCAAACACAGTATATTTCATGTCAAGGTGAGGTTGTTTGCCATAACAGATGAAGAACTGTGACCCATTTGTATCCTGTCCACTATTTGCCATTGATACTGTTCCTCTTGCATTATGCTGTCAGGGGATAACAAAATTAGATTTAGCCTAGAAATATGTCTGGAAAAAGGCAAACAGTGTGAAATACGGGGAAAAACCCCCCAAAAGACAGAAGAAATAGAAAAGAAAATATTGCGTTTCAGCTGGGACTTGGGATAGTACACAGGAGAGGAGACAGAGTATGCCTTGAGGCAGCAAAATCCTACACTCTTGATTAAATCTAAATACTTAACCCATTCACCCCATTCTGGTCAATATCTTGCTGAAGAGAACTAAATGTCTTCTTTTTTCAAGTAATTGAGCACTAGGCTACATGCAGCTTTTGCTCTTCATGATCAGATGCTGCTTCCAACGACGTGCAGCTTTGTTTGTGGCACTTCTGTTGCCAGGTAACTGCAGATAATAGTCTGATATCTATATTCATATATGTATAAAGGTGACTCAAAATCCCACGGCCCTTTGTGATCCATGGATGAGGCAAAATTAATTTCAACCAATTTATAAAACTTGCTTTTCAAGGAGTGAAGTATTATGATCTTTGAAGTTAAATTTTCAACTTAAGTGGATGAAAAAACTTGAATGAATTCAAGCTTGATCAGGAATCATACCCTGACCTTTGCATTATTGACTGCAAGGAAAGCTTTACCCAATTTTAAGGCTCTGAAAACAAATTATTATTTTAACCTTCAGGATCCTTGTTCATTTGAGTTGTTTACATAAGTGTATAATGTATCTACACCCAAACTTACCCTAAGTGATGGACTTAGCTCATCTGCAAATTTCTTGCCCCAGATGCTTTTGCCACTTTTACCAGTACCTGTGTCAAATAATTATAACTCTCAGTCAAGAACAGAGGTCAATCAGCGATGAAATAGCTTTTCAGTCATTGAAAGGTGTGGGTTATTACAGTAAACCTTTTTACTCTACCTGTGGGGTCTCCAGTTTGCACCATAAAACCCTTGATGTTTCTGTAAAAAAATGTACATGCAAACTTTAAAGGACAACTTTAACAGTTTTTAATATGAGCACTACTACCACGACTATTAACACCTCTACTATTGATATTTCTATTTTTAATATTGTTAACGTCCAGACAAAATGATTCGGTGGAAAGGAGTAATTTTTTATTGACAGAAACGTTACTGCAACAGACGTGAATGAAGACTTAACATTGACCTCTATGTTCTTTAATTTTCTTTCTTTTTCTTTGAAGTGGCCCAGAATGTCTTAAAGTAACAGTTATGTCTCAGAGTAATAAATTATATATTTTGTACAAATTTACCGACTATTTATTGTTACAGTATTACTAGACTGCAATGTTTTAGTGAGAATTGTTTCACAGTTTTATTTTAGAGGTGTTTTCCACCATTTTGCACATGCTATGACATTCCTGTTTGAGTGCTAAATTATAAAATGATTGCAGTCATAAGTCAAATTCCTGTTTGTCTATTCCTAACCACTAAAATATGGAATATCGTACAAGGCAAGTTAGGAATCAATACACATTGTGCATTGAACAAGTCTACTTTCACTAAGGGAACTTACCTATGGAAAGTGCAGTTGTCGTAGTAACTGCTGGCACAGAGAGCTAGAAAGTTCTGCAAAAGATAATCATAGCACAGTCTTTGAGGTTGTGTGCTTGACTTGCTTTTCCCACTGCTTGACATTTTTCAAGACAGGGATTTTGGCTTCAAATTACATGAATGCTCAATATGGCAAATTTAAGAACAGACTTCCACTGATGTCCTGAGGATATTTTCTTATGAGCAGGTCATAACTTAGCTAGAAAACTTTTACCGGGATCGGTTGGTTCTTCATTTAACGTGCATATGTGCTGATATGTAGTGAAGAATTTAATGCACCGGATGTGCTCATTGTGTTCTGTGAAGACTAAACTGTCAAGGGTACTGAGTCAAAAAACAATCTTACAAAATATCGATGAGCGATTTCCCGAAACTATACCTGGCAACTTTATGAGTACATCCATGTTGTGAATCGCAATTTGCTCGACTTTCTTGCTGTTGCTGCTTCAGCTTATCTCCTAAATTTTGAATAGGACTCGACTACGACAACACTGTAGTTAATTGCTTGTTTTCACTCGACGATTTTGATTATTCTGTCGTTCACACATGGGGCAACGATAAAAGCAAAGCTGTGATTGGAGGAGTCACAGTACCGCCAAGGTGGCGCAAACACTTTCCAGAAAATGGGAACTGAATTATAATTGGCTAATCACGGGAAAGGAATGTAGTTCGGTTTTCAGCAGCCGTTAGTGGGGAGGAGCGATGCGTGACGACACTAAAAACGGCTGTGTAGCAGACTAGTCATAACTGGATTTTACAGTCAAACTTGTATTAAGAGAAACTGACAGTACTAAGTGGGCTCTTTCTTAAGTCCCGGAAAACTGAAGTGTATTACAGTGCGACTGGGAAAACAGTGAACACTTGAAATATTTCAGGAATGTTTCTTGTGTTATGACCAATCACAGCAAAGATCAGGACATGTGAGCAAGCCACAAAACCACAAACTAATTAATGTCCTTGCTTGTAGTTTAGTTTTCTCACACCTGATTGGTTTTTTTTTGCACCACAATAACATTCCAGAAATATTTCTGGTTTTCACAGTTTTCCTGGTTTGACTGTAAGTGGTCACCTCTATTAAGCAGTCGTGATCAATTTTTTGTACCTCCCAACAAGTGTTTTAATTGTCTTCACCTCTTTTAAATGGTCCCTTAATTATCAAGGTTTACCATACCGGTGCAATAGACACCCTGTATATGGCATTTGGTGATCTTTTATTTCCTTATTTTTGCTCAAGAAAAAGTCAATAATATATTAAAGGGCAATCATTTGTACACATGATGGATACTTCACATACCTTATAGAACTGTCAATCTCTAATAAGCAGTCAGTTGACTAATAATTCTCCAAGGGTGATTACTTAATATAGGTTTGACTGTAATTGTATTTGTCATGCTCTAAATGAGTGAAAAACTGACAATGATATGCCTCCACAAGCTTCTTGGCATCAATTGGACCGACAGCACAAAGGTCAACAAACATGCCACACTACAAGTGCTCGGTCCAAGCACTGAGTTCTGCAGTTTCAGAAATTCCTAAAGACCCTAATACAGCAGGTATTTCTTCTTCTGTCAGAATAACCTAGAGAGTGTTTTTAACAGGTGGCTTGCTACTGTCTGCCATGTTTTTGATGTCCCTCTAAACAATCCCTAGAGCTTTTATGGCTATTCAAAAGGTGGATATTATCCACTGATGCTCTCTCCTCCGCAGAGGCTTCTTTGTGTTGTGGGGAGGCTGGGGAGAAAGAAAAAGAGAGCATGCGGGGCACGATGGGAAGGGGGAAGAGAGAAGAGAGGCTCCCTCTTCCCATTGTCCCCCGTGTGCTTACTATTTCTTTGATTATTGTTATATTTTTAAAGGGATACCCAGCAGGAGCCTCTGCGGAGGAGAGAGCCACTGATGTAGATTGACTGTGGGGAAGGCAAGGTAGTATTCTTTTGTCATGTGATGGAGGACTGACTGGGAGAGAGGTGGGGAGGAACCTTGACTGTGTGGGTGATGCTAAGGATTACATTTAGCAAACCTTGGCCTTAGGACATAATAAAAACCTATGACACCTGGTCTGTGTATAGAAAAACAACTTCTATATTTTGAGCATGTGCAGGGCAATAATTTATTATAGTGCATTATTAGTATAGGTAATAGCATGATTTGTGGTGATATATGGCATAAATACCACGAGTGATATTTCAAAATTGTTATACGTAATTTCACGAGCCGATAGGCGAGTGAAATTTGATACAATTTTGAAATATCACGAGTGGTATTTATGCCAAATATCACGAACAAATCATGCTATTATTTGTTTATACTACTACCCGCAAAAGGTTTGTAATTTTCACATGTAGGTATTTCAAATTAAGCTGAAATACCACTGATCTAAGCCAATCAAATTGCAGAAATTTCTCATGTAGTAGTATAAACAGGTGAAATTCTGGTTAATGCTCATATTCTCTTCCATCTTGTCTTCCATAAAATAATTAAAATGTTTAAAAAATAAAATGAACATGAAAAAAACAGTACATAAATAAGGTAAGATTTCCGTACAGACACATCCATATGCATATTTCTTTCTGTGAAAAAGTATGAAATTGTTGCATGCATAATAAATGTATGGGGCTGTACGGAAATTCTACCAAAGTTACCTCTTACCTCACAGGCTTTAGGAGTGTCCTCGCAAAAGAGTTCTATTTTCAAGTCTCCTAAGTCGGTATGCAGAGTAACAGACTAAAAATATAGGATTGAAATTGAAAGTTATTTGTTCTCAGTTTAGTAGGTTTAAAGGCTCAGCCAAACCAAGAACATCATAACCCACCATTTTTAGTTTACTATGACGAAACGATGCAGTTTATAGTTGGGGAAGCGAAATCATATCAACGTCTCGTCAACGTGCCGCAATCATCCGCCATATTTATTTAAGGAGGCAGGGTTACCAAGCTCTACACGACAGAGTATCAAATAAATCTGTTACATGAAAGGGTAGATTCATTGTGCCCCGAAGATTTGTTTTCATTGAGTTGATTGCTGAAGAATGCCGCGAAAAAAACCTTTTAGCAACAAACAGAAGAAGAAGCAGCTGCAGGAAAAACGCGAAAAGAAACGTTTTCAAAATCAGGGTATGCCTTTGGGCTGTACAGTCTCAAATACCCACTCTATATTAATTTACTAGGTAGTGTCAGGCCAGGTGTTTTTCCATTGATATTGTTTTCTTCAGTTTTCTTGATATGAAGCGTATCTCATTAAAATAGACGAGCCAAGTAAGTCCTCGAACGACGGAAACTCTGCAGATTCAGAAGGAGGAGAAGAATCGGAGATTGGAGATAGATCATTGAATTCTGATAAAACTGTCAAACTACACAATCAGCCTTTACGGCCAGATGCACTCAAAAAACATGATCCAAACAGGTAGTTAATATAGTGTTTATACGCTTAATTCTAGTTTTATTTCTTATTAATCAACCTGCATAGTTACAGTGTGCCTACATAGTGTACCCCACCCCTATTACTTAGTATTTCACCGTGACCTAACCCAGCTTTTCCGTGAGAAAGATATTAACACTGGCACTTCGGTTGGCACTTGAAGCACGATTGGCCTCCCAGGGGGCGGGGGGAGGGGTGGTTGGTACTCCAGGGTTAAAGTGAAGGAGTCGCTCAAAGGATTTTCCTGGGTTGGAAATTTTCCATTTTGGGTTGGAAAATTTGGCAAGTATTTTTTGACATGCAATGATTTAGATGGTTTTTTTGGGTTTTCAAAGTTTAACCCCCGAAAATCCTTTGATCAGCCCTGTCACTTTAATTCTTGGAACCCCACTGGGTTATACGTGTATGTACCTCAAACAGCCCTAGCCCTAGCTCATGAATAATTTGGGCTAGCAGACAAAGGAAATAGGGAATTAAACCTAAGTTAAAAAATTTTAACCTGAATTTAGTTTTGACCCGTAACAGTCATAATAGTCTTTATATTATATCTAGGTACCGTCTGCACTTTGATCGTGAATCTAAAGATGAAATTGAAGCAAGAAAAAAGGCATCCCGAGAGCCTCTAGAATATGTTGCAGAGGTGCCAAGACCTTTCTACTACTATTACTACTTAACTACTACTACTATTACCACTACCACTACCACTCCACTACCACTACAACTACCATTACCACTGCCACTACCTTTGCCACTAATACTACTACCACTATCACTATTATTATTATTATTATTATTACTATTATCATTATTACTACTATTGTTGTTGTTGTTAAGTCTCACAAACTTTAAGGCAACTACCTCTTTTTGCTTCACCAAAGTGTCAAACCGCTGTCTTTATTTGTCTGGGCACTGACTTAAAGTACAGCCCAATGGTTGAGCTTATTAACTTTAAATTACCCTGTCTATTTAGGACCTTTTAAGAGCTTTTAAAATGCCTATTTCATAATCACAGATTTTTTTTGTCAAATGTAGGAAAGCCTTGAAGTGAGTTTAGAAACTATATACAATCCTGGATCAGGTCTGTGCTTCTTGTTATTATTTAACAAAATCATTGAAACAGTGGTTATATTTTATGCATGCATATTGACTTGATTATTAAAATTTCATATTGTTTATATTTGTTGATTGCCTGTAAATTTATGTCAGCAGTTCTTGATGTGCCTAAACGTCCCCCATGGAAGTACAGTATGACAAAACAACAAGTGGAAAGAACTGAGGAGGAAATGTTTGAAAACTTCTTGGAAAAAATTTATGATGAATACAAGCTGTCAGAATTAAGTTACTTTGAACGTAACTTGGAGGTAATCTTGACTAATAATACTATATTCTTACTGGTGGCAATTAAAACTTGTCCATCTATTTTTGTCAGAAGGGGAAGAATTTTGTAACAGTCATGACTTTTCAAAAAGGCAATCATACAGTTACTCTAATTAACAGCTGCTAAGATGAAGATTACTAATTACAATGTGTATGGCAATATGTGAGACATTACTGACTGGTTAAAACATAAAGGGTGCCTTCTTTTATGCGAACCAGGGTTGTCAGTAAGTTTTCAAGTTGCCGGGTAAATGCAACAAGTAGGCGGAGAATCAAACAGCTAGGGATTTAGTTTGGTTCTATTTTTTTTCTATTTTCCTATGAAAGCAGCCAGGGGCCACATTCATAGTAGCCAGGGGAAATCCTCAGCCCCCGCCTCTTAATGGCAGCCCTGCGAACGTTAATCTCCTCACAACTCTTGGCTCTTTGAGCTAAAAACTAGATCAATAACACTCTTCAGTAGATGTACCTTAAAGGAAAAACATGCTTACTCTACATGTACTTATTAATAATATAATATTCAAGTATTGATAGCTATAGATAGAAATGGGGTAACATGAGCTAGAACATATTATGTGTTAGAGTGACATGCTACATTGTATTTTTCATTGTTTGTGTTATACTGTAGACATGGAGACAGTTGTGGAGAGTGTTAGAAGTTTCAGACATTGTTGTCCTGATCGCTGATATTCGAAATCCCGTAAGTGAAGCTTGACAGGTAGTAATGTGATTTTTGTTTATTATTTGTCATTATTAGTTTCACCATGGCTCCCCATAATCAATGTATAATATTTTTGGAACAGAGATTTGTTTTATAGAAATTGAGTAAAGCCATTTAAGCTGCTTCTCTCTCACAATTCCCAACATTAAACTAATTTCTTATTTTTCAGGAATGTTCAAAACATTAACTTAATTCTCTTGGGTTTCTCTGTTTTATACTTTCTCTGTTTTAAAGATTTCTTTTGTATAACATGGGTCTGCAAGTCAAATATTCTTGTTTTTTTTTATTTTTAGTTTAAGAGTCTCACAGTGTAGCATTGATTGTATGTATCTTCTTTAATAGGTTCTTCATTTTCCTCCCACACTCTACAATCATGTTGTGAAGGACTTGAAAAAGAAGTTAGTGCTGGTCTTAAACAAGGTACTGAAAATTACTGATGTCTGAATCTACAATGAGGCCAAGACATAAGGCGATTACCAAAAGGCTGAAATGGCATGCTGGAGTAGTCGTTTTGAAAGTGAAGTACCTTAAATCCTCTATTGGCCCCCCCTCAAATATGCCACCTCCCTCTAATAAGCCTCCCCCTTTCAAGGGAAGAAAGTCAATAAGCCCCCCTCCCCCTCCCCTATTTATTCTTCTCTAATAAATGATAGACTATATTAATCAACCACGACTGTAAAACTTTGTGTGGACTGGTCCGGGATGGTTTATTTACCTACTGAAAGATGGGATTTGATTCTGATCCTCTGCTGCATGACCTAAAAATTCTTGTACTTGAGCTTTTCCACTTTGTAATCTTGTTCTTTATGGGGAACTCATACCATCGTCGTTTGGGTTTCTGTGCTTTGTTTACCAAACCACAGTAATTTTGTTATGGGAAATACAGTTATATCTAGATTAACATGTGGTTTAAAGCCTTAAGGATTAGAAATATACATTTTATCATTAGAAGCTGTCAATTATTAGTAGAGGCTGTAAATAAAAATTTTGTCTGTTACTTTTGATGGAAGCAGCTTTCCACTACTGGCTTTGCTCACCCTCTCAAAATATAAACCTTGGTTTTACAATAATGTACTATAAAGTAACTTATTGGTGTTGGAAGGCCAAACTTTTTTGTCAACATTTTTACAGATAGATCTTGTCCCTCCAGAAGTAGTGACAGCTTGGAAACACTACTATTCAACCAAGTTTGAAGAGCTGAATGTTGTTTGTTTCACCTCATTTCCCAAAGATGAGAGTGAACGCAAGAGAGAACCAGGCAAAGGTACTCTTATGTAGAAATACCTTATTAATAGCAATCTACTAATTATAGAAAGACTTTTGTCTCTTTGGTTCAATGTTCTGTTTGTATGATTAAAATTGGTATGCAAAATTTGGTAATTAAAAAAAAAAGTAATAATAATGAAAAATGAAACGAAAAGAAGAGAAAAAAGAAGCGAAATGAGCAAAGAATAGGCTGTTCCAGGCTTTCATACAGTGATGACGGTGTAAAGAGAATCGAGCAGGAAAAAGAGATGATCTCTTGGCAGAAAAAAAAACTTTGGTGAAGGCGGGGAGGGGGCTAGGGTAATTTTGTAGTATTTTCTTCGCGTTTTATAATATTGTAGGATAATGTATTTTTTAGTACATACATGGAGGAATGACTTTAAAAAAAATTGCAAGTCTTACAAGGGTCAGGGTAATGTATTTTTTAGTATAGACTTAGGAGGAATGACTTTAAAAAAATCGCAATTCTTACAAAGTTACAAGATTAAGGGTCAACGAAAACTTATTTTTGACAATTGTTATGTAAGATTAACCTGGCATTTAGTGATACATGTGTATTTGATTTTTTTAAAACAGTTTTATCAAAGCGTCGCCGTCGTAAGAGATGTTTCTTTCCTGTTGGACCAAGAGCACTTCTTGAAGCGTGTGAGAGATTGTGGGGAACGGAACGTATGTGCACCAAAAAAAATCTCTATGTAAATTGCTTTACGTTATCACTGTTGGTCCTGCAACTTACTTTCTATTTAATTTCTTTAAGTTGATTTTAGCAGCTGGCATAGAAAAATTAATGAACAGGAAAAAGGTGAAGACGAAGGAATTCTTTATGATGATTATGGCAGCTCTGAAGAATCTGAAGGTATTGTCTGCTTGATAATTTTTATCACTAGTGCTTTTCTTTTGTTCAGTATGACTTCTGTAAAGATTTTGTTCATTTATTCTTGACATTTAAAAAATATACGTTAATTTTTTTTGTTCCGTGGCTGTTGAATTTCCAGCAGTTTTCTTCGTTTTATAGAAGAGGAAGGCAGTGGCTTTGAAGACGTTGAGCACAACGAAGACATCCTAACTCTAGGGCTAGTGGGTGAGTTTTCTTCTGCTGTAACTATTTTCATGTAATCTGGAAAATCTTGAGCCCGTTTGGCGAATCAGTAAAAGAACAGCACGCATTTTACGACGGATAGATGTGTGCAGTAAAGGACAGTCGTTCACAGTCTTCGGTCCACTTTCGGTTCTTTCACCACTAATTATTTAAGCTGTGTTGGTTTTCCTGCCGAGAGTTCCCTTTATTTGGAAAGATCCTTGTTTGGTTGACCTATTGGATGAAAGTAAGCAAGAGAAGTCCAAGAGAATGTTTCCGTCATTATGCTTGTATGCTCCGTTAAACCAACGGTAAAAGCCGCGCCCGGTTGTCTTTGTTTGCCAAACCAATCAAATTGCTTCTTTCCGCTCACTCTTCGTTGTCGTTAGGCTCACGCGTAATTAATAAACTTTATGCGACATCTCTCATAAGGGTATTGGTAGAATGACCTTGTCCAGTGTTACTACGAGCACTACTTATCTCGCGATCTACATAATTTCTTATGCGCCTGCCACACGGCTTAAGTTGTTGCTTTCAATGTCACTGGCTTTTCAGAGTGTGTCAAAATACCAGACTATAAAAATATAAATAAACGTACTGGATTACACTTAATGGTGAAACACTAACGGTTAAACACTAACAGAATGGTTAAACTGACACTAACGTTTCTTTCATTCTAGGCCATCCAAATGTTGGAAAATCGTCAGTCTTGAATGGACTTGTTGGACACAAGGTAAGTAAGAACTGTCTTTGAGGTTTTGCATGTTGTTTGGATTTTTTCGTTGGAAGGGGTAAATTAGGAGAAGATGGACCCTCAGTCACAGGAAGATAAAACACCGCGAGAGGAATCCTCAGTCGGCGGGTAAAAGAAGGGAAAAAATGATATGAATTTTCTGTTTGTTTGTTTGTTTTTTTTTTTGTAGTAGGAATTTCCTTCTCTCAATTTTCCTTTGATGAAACTAGCAATCAGCTCGTGCGCTTATGAACCAGCTTTAAGAAAAACTGCTTGCCATCCTTTTGTTGGAAAACCGCGCATGAAAGTTTCTTGCACCCAGGGTAGTTGTTGGGTGTCCTGTGCTGTTTTATTATTATTATATTTTGTCTCATCGTCAGGTTGTGAGTACATCCCGTACTCCTGGTCACACAAAGCATTTTCAAACCATATTTCTAACGCCGAATGTAAGACTGTGCGATTGTCCTGGACTGGTGTTTCCGTCCATTGTTAGCAAACAGTTACAGGTAAAGCGTCAGACAGATAAGTATTAAGTCGCTACGTTGGAAATTCAGGTTGTTTACCATTTACAAAAAGTTTCCGGAAAATCCGGTTAGAAAGTAAATGGAAAACGACTTTTTGGGTCGTTCCAGCGGAAAATTTCTGGGAGAAACGGAACGTCTGGAAAGGTAGTCCTGTTTTTCCGAACTGAATGTTACAACTAAATTCGTGTTATATTTCTTCAAGGCCTATCCTTGGTGCCAGAGGGTTTTTTTTCCTGTTGTTTGCAGCGAAAATTGAGCGGCCGTGACGAGCGTGACGACTGGTTTGCGCTCGTCACGATCACGGCTTGGCCGCTCAGTTCTCGCCAAAAACAACAGGAAAAAAACCCTCTGGCACCCAGGGTATTCAAAGCCATCCTTGATACCAGTTTGAGGCCTTCGCGGTTGTTGTTTGGTGAATGGAACTGATTTGTACAAATAGTAAACGCGATTCCGGTATGAAATTTACCAGCTCTTAATTTTGCGCACCATTTTCCTAAATCGTGGACCGACCGGTTTGTCCATGTAAATGGTAAATAACTACAGTTGAAGTTTTTTTTCATCAAGTCCAGTGACCCACTAAGTCAACAAGGCACTGGTCACTAGTCACTCTCAGAGCAAACTATGGCGAGATGGTGTTTGGTACCTCTAACTTTTAACTTTGTAGTGACGAAATCCTGTGCTGTTACCATTGAAATGAAACCCCTTGAGCAGAACGTTTGTATAGTACTACTAATTTCTCAGGATTGTACAATTTGATTTGATCTGATTTTTTTGTGAACTTTTAACTTTGGCCGCTATCAGAACTGAAAGGGTTAAGATAACCCACCAATAAAGGTATCTTGGGGTCTTATGGTTATCTTACTCCCACTGCGTCCTCAGTAAGAGCTCGTTTAATTATAACGGCCATTATAGTTTAGTCAAAAGCTTATATTCTTTCACCTCAATACAGCAGTCATCCTTTACTCATTTAGTTTAAACACTGACTGAAAACTCAGTGAGGCAAAAAGTGTTAACCGTGACAATTTTTCAATACTGTTGTGCTGCACCTTTTGCAACTTTCCTGTGAAGTTTTAGCAGGAGCTGTCCACATCACGAACTCACTTCAGTTCACAGTATCATTTTTTATGGTATCTTTTGTTTAGATCCTGTCTGGAATGTATCCGATCTCCCAAGTTCAGGAACCCTACAGTGTCGTGGGATATTTAGCTGCCAGGGTACCCCTGGTACACCTACTACAGCTGGTCCACCCAGCGAATAGAGAAGACTCAGATGGGAAGGGAGGGATGGCGGCTGGAGAACATCCCTGGTCTGCTTGGGACCTTTGTGACGGTAAGAAAGAGCGGCATTAATTTAACATTTTTGCCTACATACCGTGAAAAATTTTAGGCTCTTAGTTTTAAGTGATACTGAAACAGTTACTCACGCGTATATTGCGAGTACTAGGGACTTTAAGCAAATCACTACGGCGACCTCTACTACGGCGGTGGTGGATGTGGAGTCCTGGGGAGAGTACATCACCGTAGCCTGCCAGATTTCAACGTTAAGCCGAGCGGCACCCAAACAGTGACTACGGGGTTTCTCGCTCATTCGCTTTCGCTGCTGGTGAAACGCAGGGAAGACGTAATTACTGGAAAACCAGAAACGTTACATACTTTCTTGATAAAGTGCAAAATAATCTGTGATAGGTTTAAAAAAAAAAAGATTGTGAAAAAAAGCGAAAAGTCGAGTTTTATAGTCACGTAGTAGTGACTACGCCACAAGACAGGTCTTCACGTTATAGGATTTTGCACTACGGCGGAAGGTTATTTCCAAGCAGGCGCACTGCGTCATTTTTGGGCTTTTTTACTTTCGGCCGCCGTAGTAGAAGGTCGCCGTAGCGATTTGCTTAATGTCCCTACTGTCTTTGTCACGGTGGTGTAGGTCACGACATGATAAGGCAACCTCGTTCTCAGGGTTCTCTCCTACCCGTCCCCACGGAGCGAGAGAGATAAGCTTACCTACTCGATGAACCAAAAGTTGGCTGCCTTTAGGTAAGGTCAGTTATGACTGAAATGAAAAATACGAGCCTTCTCTGGTTTCTTGTGGCATACGTTTATTATTTACGGACCAAAAGAGGAAAAAGTACAGAACAGCTATCCTTGGCTGATAATACCAAGACGCACTATATTCTGAGGCAGATTTATGAGTAGAGCTTGTCTTCGATTAACCGCAGCACATATGTACGGCATTTTGACTAACTGAACGTAAATAACTGTTCGTAAATCAGCCAAGTGGGACTCTTCATCTCGTACAGAGGATCCATTACTTGGAACTTGTTTTGGATCCCTCCATGGCTTGCACAAGAGCCTATGCTAAAATGGCCATTAACTCTCTAGCCCTCAAAAATCTCAATTTCTCAGCTGAATCATCCCAAATGAAACCTTAACGACAGGTATTTCGTCTTTGTTGACAAATAATTAATTACTACATGATCCTATATTCATCTAGGCTGTTTATTAGTATACGATCACCTATATTCTCATACTTTTATAGTTGCTTTTGATAGCACAAGGATTTTAGTCTTTTTTACTTTTAATTGTAGGGTATAATTTTGTTCTTTTTTGTAATTAGGATATGTTTTTAATTAATATGTGCACTGGTCCATAAGCTGTACTAGCTTTAATTTTAACCGTGTTTAAATAAAAGTTGGTGTTGCTTTATTGAAAAAGTCACCAAAGAAAGGTTGAAAGAAGATGTTAGAACGACAGTCCTTCGCCAGTCAGCGAAAATCATGTGGGCATAGCCTAAACTAATTGTTGTGTCTTCTTCGCTTATTTGTACTTGTTTTCGTACTTCCTTTTGGTATCGTTGAGCTTGGCTCAAAACTTATTTTCCTTCAGCCTGGGCCCATAAACGAGGCTTCATGACAGCGAAGGCCGGACGTCCCGATGTCTACCGTGCAGGTAAGCAACGTCCTGTGTATTTTGAGAGGTGGGAAGTCCCACAGTTTCCAGGCGTTCAGACAGTGGGGAGGGCACGAAAAAAAGAATGAAGCAGGAAAAAAAGCATAGGGAACTGGGGGAGAGGGCGGGGAAGTCTGTCTCTCGTGTCTCTAAATCCTTATTTTGCGTGGCTCCCTGGCATCTGATCCTTAAGAACAGGCTACCCACCTTGGACCATCTGAGTACCCAAATTATTTTGTTAATACACTGCCATAAGTCGCACTGTGTTCTAGGCTAAGCGGAAGAGGCGACCACTGATTTTTGATCAGTTTCTTATAGCCTGGTGTTTAATATCAACGCAAACACAAGCTCAAGCTTGAGTGCAAGCATAAACCTGCTTCTTTCACAGTGAAAATGGCAGTTCAAAGATCAAAATTCTCCCTTTTCTTGAAGTTGGGATTGTGCTGATGTTATCGCGCTTGTTTGTATTCACTTGACTCGAGACCCCTCTGCTTGTGCATGTGTTTGTGCTAGGCTAACCTTCGATCAAGCGATCCTTCTTCCTTTTTTCTCCGGTCGTCCGACGAATTTCGCGCTTCTCCGAAAAGAAAAAGGAAAGAGCTCCTGATAGCAGCTTAGTGTTATGCTTGCGTTACACTGAAGGTAAACATACACAATATCAATTCCTTGTGTCATCTGTTAGCCTGCGATCATGCCCTCCCTGTATCTCTATGGCAGTCGTGAGAAGGAGGGCTTTCTTTTTCCCCTCTCTTCTCCAAAAAAAAAACATCGCCTGGTCGCAGGTAAAACGGGCAGCAAAACGTGTAATGTGTTTTGCAATATTGCTGCCAAACGAATTGAAAAGCGGTGTTGCGCGTTTTACCACCAACGTTCGAACCTATCTTGCGACAAATCAGGTTGTTGCAGATTGCGGAAGTAGTTGCAAAATGTAGAGAGTAGTTCTACTTTTTGCAACAAATTCTGTACATTTTGCGCGTTTTACGGGCCCAAGGCAAACTTGCATGGCAGCGAGTGACGTGATTCGCGCGTAATTTTATCCAATTAGAAGTCAGTATTCACGCAACTTGCAACAACCTGATTTTTTACAAGAGAGGTTTGAACGTGGTTGGTAAAACACGCCCAACATTGCATTTCAACTCGTGTTACAACAATGTCGCAAAACAATTTGCATGTTTTTTTCTCTGATTTACCGATTGCCGTCCCCGGAGATGGATAATTCGTTTAGATATAAATCTGTTGCTGTGTCAGTTATGTGATACTTGTCAGCGGACACCTTTTTTAAAGCTATGAATTGACCATAACGTGGATGTCCATTAAAATGTTTCCTCACAACCAAAAATTTCTTGGATGCATGTACAACCCAATTTTATTATCCATGGTATTCTGTTGCGTGCGTTTCGCGCGAGAGGGAGCTCCGATAAAACAGGTAAAATGCTTGGATTTAACGATTGACTTAAGCTTGTTTTGATTACCTTTTCATGGAGTCTATTTTTCCCTTCTATTTAGCGAATAGTCTCTTGAGACTGGCTGTGGATGGGAAGGTAGTGATGTGCGTTTACCCTCCGAGTTTTATCTCTAAACGAGGTCAGTTCAGTAGATTTTAAATGTAAAGAAAACTGTTACGTTCCAAAGAGAATGCTTTCCAGTGTAGCTCATCTAGCAAATGGCTACTCTTTCTATCGGCCTGGAGGTGCAGCCGCAATAAATAATAATCCTGAGTCTCAAAATTTAATAGCAAGTTTAGGAGCCCCATTAAGACTCTACTCGGTTGTCAACTTATTTAACTAGAAATACTAAGGAAGCCAAGAGAAGCCTGCGTAGCTGGTGATTTTCTCTAGTTAAAGAAGTGCGCACGAAGCGAGTGCGACCTTCTTCTCGCGGCTTCACCACTTAGGGTTGTACATAAAGAAATTTCTAAATAAAAAAATTATCGTCATACTTAACTGTGTTGGAACAAGGTCTCTTTAGGGGTTAAGTAGAACTCGAGCTACGCTCAGATTGTTCTTCTTTAGGGCATCCCCGTATCTCTCACTTGGGAGTTCCTTCCTGGGTCAAATAGACTTTGCTCTAACTTAAGGCCTATACCCCTTTCTTTCAAAAGTGCGAGACAAACGCAGAACACTTTTTCGCAAGGGTTTAAAAATACGGCCGCTGGCATGGTTGGCGCAAGCTCCTGGTGTTTTGAAGTGCTATCTCAAACTGACTTGCTTTTGCTTACATAATCGTTAATAAACGAGTGTACTTTCCGAGATTCAAGTTACGCAGTTTATATCGACTGTCATTAGCCAATGGTGTTTGAGTATATGTTTTCAACATATTTATCATTCTTTTCTACTTTTTGACAGCTGAGTGGCAGCAGCATTCCGAAACAAAGGAGATAGCTATTCTACAAGAAAGGCACTCGGAAAGTAGAAGATTGCGGCATCAGGAAAACGAGGCAGATGAGTTGTCTACTCATCTGCTTGCCCCTCCTGGAAAAGGCCACAGAGATGAGAGACCAAGTAGTGACGGAGATGATGAACAGGAGGGAGAGGAAAGTGAGGTCGTTTGCACCAACCCATTTGCCCTTTTATCTGACGAGTGAGGAAGGAGGAAGGAACTCGATACGTGGATTTCCTATGTCAACTGTCGAGAGGCCGGGTGAGAGAAACATAACATGTCACAAAAATGTCCTACTTTTCAGAGAAAGCAATCACCAGAAACATCTCTCATCTGCGTCAGTGGTTATGTTACATGTGTTGGCTGAATTCATGGCTCTGAAACGCACGATCTTTTGAACTTCAATTCCAATTAGGAAAAACTTTGTTTCAATTGGCTCCAGCTTATGCCAACCTATCCCGTGGAAGCATTTATAGGGTTCCCGCTAAAATGTCCATGTGAAAATTATGGAAGACTGATACTGACAAATAAAAAGGCAAGAGAACGATGAACAGGAACAGGTTACTGTCTTTTCGAAGGGCTGCTCAAGCATTCTACTAGCGGTTATTTTTTTTTTACGTTGTTGTTGTTTTTTAAAAGCCATTTGAACTAAAATCGTGTGTCCGTGTCATTACGAGCGCTATATCACATACGGTGTTTCAGCTATTGCAGCGAAATGTGGAATAAGACTACGACAGCAGAGGGTGCTTTACCTTTCTAATGGAGAACCACACCTGTCCGTGTCATGACGGACTATAGCAGTGGATCATGGGAAGATCGACGATTGCACATGTAATCAAGATAACGGCCTTATCTTATCAGCTAGAACGTACGTGCAATGGCGTTGCCAAAAAAGTTGCAAGGCTCTGTTATATGTTGAAATTTAACTCTCGAAACTGAATCAAGTACAGCTTCTTTGTTTTGATTCAGAGCTAAGGTAGCGTAGCACAGACAGCGTATGAAGACTAGTTTCATGTAGGGGTATTACCCGGTGATTCGTGATACGATTGTGGTAGCATTTGTAGAAGTGGAACCGGGAACATCTACTTTTCGTGAAACTTCAGTTTCTCCGAAAGAAACGCGACGTTTTAACCGAACAGCTTTAAGTTTGCAGGAGAGTGTGTAACAGGTTATTAAAGGCGCTGTGTCCCTAATTCAGACTGTGGTGGAGGAACTACAGGGCCAAGTTGTTCGAACGCCGGTTAGCGCTAACCCAGGGTTAAATTTTAACCCGGGTTTCTTTTTCTTTTTATCAAAAGCACTCTCTTGGATAATTTTCTATATTTCTTTTAGAGCATCCAATCATCAAATTGTAGGCAAAGAGCATGAAACTGAATTTGTTTTTTAAGCTCTCATGTTTGAGTTCAAATTTTGCACTAACCCTGGGTTATCTTAACCCCGCTTCGAACAATCCGGCCCTGGGTCGGTTGCAAAAAACATCTTAAGATTAAGGGAACTCGTAACTATTATTTCAAAACAATAGGTTATTGTTCCAGAACAAAAGTTAAGAGCCCTCTTATCTTGAGAAGGTTTTATGCAACCTGGCCCTGGCCACTAAATAGGTCATTTTCGATTTCCAAAAACTCTCAGTTTCAAAACGATACTTAGTGCTTAACCTTTCTTGTGAAAATGAGTGTTATCTGCATGAGAATTAAACAACATCATATTCATATCAATAGCTTCGCATTAAGCCTCGCTTTGAAACAGAGGCTCTAGGCAACTCGGAAGACTCGGAAATGGCCTATTGATGAACCTCGTTCCCAAGGTCCTCTCGTGCCCCGGGGCGAGAGAGGAGACAAACAGGAGACGACCCTGGAAACGAGGTTGTAAACTGTGTAAAACATAAAACCAGTCTGCGCATCAACATTAAAGGGTGGTTAAATAACACAGCATATGCAGGAAAGGAAACAGCGCGCGTCTTCCCAGTATAAAAAAAAAGAGGACGCTACTATTGTGCAGGCAGGCATTCTAGCACCGTTAATAACTCTTCTTGGGGTTAAGTTAGAGAGCTAATATTGCCTCTTAAATGAGCTTTAAGAGATTCAAAGTTCATAATTATTGGAAAATAAATGACAAATTTCTTTTTATTAAACTTTGACCAAAATTAACAGCGTATTTATATGAGATATCCATTAACAGAAAAAAATTTTTTCGATGTACAAGAGCCCAGTCTCGTAGGCATTCCTAGTTTAGTCGGTCGGTCGATAAATTTCGGCTTTTTTGAAAAGCATCCCATGGTTGGTTTTAACTTTTCCTGACTTAGACGGTCAGAGCTTTTTTTGGCATCGCATTCTGCGTGCTGTAGCCGAAAGTCATCCCATACCGGAACTTCTCACCTGTAAAATGCCGATTAAAGAAAAACACAGGGCAATCAGTGAACAATATACATTTAATAGATGAAGTGCATAAAAAGTTTGAATGCCAAGGGAAACCTAGACCCTAACCTGGGTACCAGACGTTTTCTCTCGCGTGTGGCGAGATGCTTCGATGTCGGCCGCAGGCTAAAACATCTTCAGCCGAAGTCTCGAGCGGTGCACTTCACCATAGAGACTCGACCGAAACCGGAAACTGCGCATGAAAATTCTCTGGCACCCAGGGTACCTAGCCCCAGTCGTTTACTGAAAGTGTGGATAGTGGTTTAACCAGTGGATAGAGCAAGCGCTGTCCACATATTAAACATCCGGGCCCTGGATTTCGATTTTTCAATCCGGATTTTTTCCTATACGTGCACACCCACCCCACCCTAGTTTTTTTTTTCAGGTCCTTGGAAAATTCTAGAGGCTGGAACCTTCTAATTGTTTCAGTTCTAAGACTTACAATTTTAATACTTCTCCCTGTAAAACTGACATTTTCTATCAGAAATACAAACCCCCAATAACCACACTACTGAAAGCAAAAGCTAGAGGGCGGCAATATGCAAATGTGCGAATCAGCCACCGAAGCAAATGTGCATGATCGGTACTTCAGATCTCCTTTGAAGTTTTGAAAAAAAGTACGGCTCACAAGATTTGTAATTTAATTTTCAGAGAAAATCATAGGTCCCTTCATTACGTTTAATGGAAACCTTACCTGGTACATGGCCAGTGTAGTGCGGGACTTGTCCTGAATCTTTCAAATAAATTGGCTTGGTGTCGACGATTTTGATCACGGGACGTTCCACCACAACGGGTAGGTCCTTTACTCGTTTCAGACGGTCGCTTTCATCTGTAAACTCGCAGAGCGCCTTATTCGTCAATAGCGGGTATCCCATCCCCATTTGACCTCGGGCACGCGGGACAAATCCCGTATAACCTGACATAAGGAACTTTTTCGGGTCGTCGTAGCTCATGACGTATGGAGAGAGCGAGTGCTGCAGAACGTTTGGAGAGTAGTAAGCTTTAGGTTTTATGGTTATTGACTGCAGTGGGGTCCTGTATTTGGTAGTGATGAGTGTGTCTTTGGATAAGAGCTCTGGTGGGACTTCCTTGCCTTTCTGGAGGTCAGCAATTGTTCTCAGGTCCCGAATTTTACGGTGGTGTTTAAGCTGATCGCTTTGGAAATCTGCGATGGCGCTCAGGCAAGTATCCGCGTAGGGTTTTCCAAAGTAATGCTCTCCTTTAGGAATATAACCTATAGAATGTAATAACGCTCAATTTCATGAAGAAGTCTATGAGAGTGCCTTGGGCGGGATGCATAAAGCAACTGAAGATTAAAAGTGGAAGTTTTCTGTAACCGTTTTTGCCTCTTTCCCCTTTGAATGATTTTATCGTGATCTCTTTGTTTCATAAACTTTTTGCTTTCCTAATATGCTCCTTATTCTGCCTCAGTTGCCGAGTTATCTGCGATACCGTGCAAGAAAATCATCCACACAAAGAGAATGGTTTCAGAAAAAATCTCAGTTAATCATATATGTGTTGCTTTCTGTGAGCGGGCTCTAAAAAACCTCTATACCTTGAATTTTAATATATCCAAAGAACCCTGTTGCACGCGGATCTACCCACGGAAGCTTATTTTTTCTTATTTGTCTGTTTATTTTGCGTGACACCTTCCTCGCGGCTGGTAATTTAAACCCGCGCTCGCGTGCTTCGCTGGGTGTACTACATACAATGTATAACACTCGCAAATCTACCTTTTCTCATTAACGATTGAGGCAAAAGCTCGGTTTGTAAAAGAACGCTTGGTACACATGTCAGAAGCGTTGCAGCTCGGCCTACCACTCGATCAAGCCAACAACGAATGGTCTTACGAAAAATATATGCAAAAACGGGTAGGAAAAACATGACAAACAACTGATTAAAATGAGCCAATGTTTGATGACAATGCATACATTACGGAGACATAAATTAAACATTGGCAAGACGTCGCTTCCTTGGTTACAAGTGTAAACTATGCTCTGACTCGGCCGCCGACAGTCACACAACAGAACAGAAACTTTCGTTTGTTGGCTTTAAATCTCTTTTTTGAGAGATCTGCAATCTTAATTTTCACGGGAATAAACCGAAATGGTTGTATTTCGCCAGTAAATTTGTCGGTTCCTTTGATGTTGTTTTAAATTGCGGCAAGGGAAGTTAACACAAAGGTTTTCACACGTTTGTCTAAATTTTCGCTATACCCTCAATTTTCGTTTTGCACATAATGGGTACTAGCAGACTAATTACTCTATCTTGGTAGCCAGATAAAAAATCGTAGAAGTAAAATGTACAGATGAAGATGGCCTGGATATGTTTAAGCGTTATTTCCCACCAATACGTTGACAGTTCCCGCGAAAATGCCTTCGGTATTCAGTTTTTTGTGTACCCAGCTTATTAATAAGGATTAACCAATTCAGTGCTTAAACTCTGGAACCAACTTGAACAATTACAGGAAAGAAACAAACAAAATTTATCCGCTTACCTGTGTAGTTGGGTACCATCTCATCGCAAAGCTTTTGGTCGCCAAGATTTAAGCATCGAGCCGTGATTAACGCTCGCCTGCCGTCTTTCGGTGGCCGAGGCTGTGGAACAATGTCAGACAGAACAGGCCTACCGGAGCTAGCAACCGATGACGTTGTCAAAAGCTGCGAGGTCGTTCTACCGAAAGTTTCACCGATTTGGTACTTAAATTGAGGACAGTAGCCACAGTAGCTGTAAAGGTAAATTGATCGTAAGAGTCCATTGCTATTGTAGCTACAGCTGAGGAATTATTGATGTACATTTGTTTGCGAGTAATAAACAGAAAATTTGCTCGCGCGCCGACATGTTAAGGTGGTTCTTAAAGAAAATTCACTTACCCAGGTGTATGGTATGGATCTGGAGTCATGAGAGTGGATTTTCGCGTCCCCCTCATCATTTTAGCGATATGTTTTCAATCGAATGAACGCGTGATCTTAGAAACACATTATTCTCTAAAACCACTCAAGTCCAACTGCAAAGACAATTGACTAATAAATACATTATGTTTAATTATCCGTATGACATCATTAACAATACCGCACAACCCCATGGGAATCAGAAAGGTGTTTCGTTCGAACCTGGTTCGAATTCATTTGTGACTGCAAAAGGATTTTCACTGCAATGCGCAATTTCTGGTTACTTTTTAGCATAGGACCCATAATTGGTGAATGGCTCCCGTTCATCGTTGCTATTCACCGTCCACGTTACCTTAAAATTTCAATCTGCAAACGACTGCAAAACTTAATGAACTGACAAAAAGGATAATTCCAGTTAATCTTGAAAATTAAACTGCAGTTATGCTTCTACCGCAATATTGCTATTTGCATGAAAAGAAAGGTTAATAAAAAAGAGGCTTTTCAATCTCCTTCAAATGAAAAAGCTAGGCTGTCAACAAACGTTTTATGTTCGAATGTGGGTGATTTTGCGAGCGCGCGAGGATAAGTGCGGAGCGCGAGAACCAGAAAGAAACATCCACCCCTTGTGTTAGCGGTCAATACACTGCTAGCTCGCGGTTTTGTTTTCATATGCACGCAAGAAAATAGAAGGTCTGTGAACAATGTTTACTTTCGCACTGACTGTCAAGTGTGTCTACTGTGGCTATGACGGTTGTATAAGAGATCAGCCTTACCTGCAGGCGCCCGCGTGTCCCTATATATCCCTTTGCAGTCATTTGTCATAAAAGTAGGTTAAAGCTGGTTAAAGTGACATCACGAGCCGCCCGTTTTGCATTTAAAACTAGTCTGTTCACAGTCCTCCTATTTCTCACAGAGATCGTCGAGCGCGCGTATGAATCCGCAAGGCATAAAGAGAAAAACGTCAGGCTTCCATGGCCGGCTCCCATGAAAACGTCTGTGGACGGGCTAATTTTATACTTTCGTAGCCTGCGTAGCAAGCATTTCCAATCGAGTTATTGCGTGGCCTGTGAATACAACCGTTTCTCCTTGTTCCTCGCCGCTAGCAAGGAAAAACGGCTGTATTCGCAAACCGAGTTATTGCGTGGAAGTTGCTCTCCGCCCAATTAAGTTTCGCGACGACCTCGCGAGGACAGGGTTGTGCTCTCGCGGTTTTCCTGGTTGATTTGTTTGATTCTCCCTTCAGATATTTTGTGTGAATAATAAAATGCACTTTTCCTAGCTAGAGCTCATAAGATCTCCAGTTTTCAAAGAAAATAGTTTAAAATCAGTCACGTTGGTCAATCACATGACAAAAAACAACTAACTTGTGAATGAAACCGCCACGGGTAAGATCAGGCATGATGGTAAAAAGCCGCCCGCTATAAGAACCAATCATCTTGTAGGATTTGGAGAATCTTGCGTGTTAGGCAGAAAATTCTACCACCAAAGGTTTTGGGAAAATATTCCTTCCGGGGCTTTGAAAACTGCACGAACCCCAGGCGAAGGCTTTTTTACGTCATCTTCGGACACTCTTCGGAAGTGTTCTTATGACTCGTTTACACTCGTTCCCAGTTTGTTATGTGTCCAATGTTGGCGCGAGACTTCGAAGATGCTCAAAAGCATGCGTACATTGTGTGGAACAATCGCGGTGAAATGTAGATGAAATTCACTTGAAAATTCAGCTGAACGCTTATCAGGTGAGAGAAAAAGTCGTCAGGAGGAAGTAGACGTGATGTTCAGAAGACTTTGAAGGAAGCAGGTCCAGCAATGGCGACAGCTGGATTGTCTCCAATCTGCTACAATCATCCCGAGAAAAAGGCAGATTTCAAGTGCTTTGACTGCAAACGTGGTAGGTTGTTAGTTTGTTCATCCATGCTCTAACGTACGATTTTATCTCGAAGAAGTTTAGACATTGCTTGCTCGTGAAAAGAGGAGCATGAAATTGTCCACGTACGCGTTGCATTTCTTGTCATTTCCTTTACACATGTGTCAAAATTCAACACATGATCTGCTTGTCATCCTGGATAGCACTTTGGTCAATATTTGAGCTAAACTTCAGAATACCCGGCCACTTCTTTGCGTATCATTGAATAACAAAAGTGCCCATTGTGTTATACCTCGTTCTTCAAAGCGTTCCGACAAATGTAAACGATGTGGACGGGTATTCTGAAGTTGTCATTATGAGTGTTCAGTTGTATAAGAGAGGTGGCAGGGGATGGCAAAATAGCAAGAACCCTCAGTCAAGCGCCCTTCCTTTTCTTTTCAAAGAGATATTATTTTCAAATTTTTTTGGGCAAAGCTTCCCACTGGAGCGTGCTACATAATTATCTTATTTTTATTTTGACTTAAAGTAAATTTGTTATTTGGGAAATTGATAATTGAGGTAAATACTGTAAGCACCAATGCCTCACATGAAGGCCCTCCAAAACAGCAGGTGGTAGAATGGCAACAGGTATTTCCCACCAAGATAACAGTTTTGCTCTTGGGGTTTTAGGGTGAGTTCCAAGTTAAACATGCTGATAAGATAATAATATACAAATACTCTGCAAACTATATTATCTGTATTATCTATCTAACGATCTCATCATACCCTGTACGAATGAAGACAGGCCGTAAAATATCTCAACCCTCTATTGCTCCATGTATCACTTATTACAAACTCAAATCACATGGCTCACTGTGCCCGTATTATAGTTTCATGTGCATGTACCACGTTTGATGTGGTGTTGTATTTTGCTATCTTTCAGACTCGGTCATCAATTTGTGCCCACAGTGTAATATTCAAGTGCACAGTCTAGATGTATTCAGAGCGCACAGAGTTGAGCATATCGAAGTAAAGGTGAAAAAAAACTACATGTACAATTTAGTTGGGATGTCGCTATTTCAAGTTGCCGAGAAAATGTGATTAGTAGGGAGGGAATTGAACAGCTTTGGCTCAAATTAATTGCGAAAGATATTATTGTTTTGCAGGACAGGGAACGGAGGCTTTCACAAGATGTTGATGACATTGAAAAGTACGTAAAATAAAAAACAGAAGCGCATTCCCGTTACTGTTGTCTGGGCTTCTGTAAAAGTCATCGGCTAGTAATGTAAAACAAATGGCTAAATGTAATTCTTACTTTTGGGTCTGTAAACAAATTCTTGTGGCGTTATACATGTATTTTAAATTCATGAAGCCCCTTTGGTAAATTTTACTATTCCTGTTTTTGTGTTTTTGTAAACTGAAACTTGCCATTCTCTGTTGATTTTTTTTTGATTTTGGGTGGTCACAGAGTAAAGTAATCAATGTTTTTTTTTAATAAATGTAAAGTTACATGTATTCACAAAACTAAATTGATTACTTTACTTTCTCCCTTTTAAGCATGGTTTCATTGCTGGGTTATTTTCTTTGGATAATTTATTTTTCTTTCTGGTCAATGAATTCTTCCATTTACATGTAATTCATGTTTACACAGGTTTACTTTTTCTAATTCCTGTTTACGTTTTTTATTGAAATGTTTCCAGATTAGTAGCTGTTGAAAGCGATATTCTTCAAAATGTGCTGGCTAGATTGAAATACTGTGAAGAAGAGGAGAAGGTATTTATTATTACTGCTGAAACTGAAGCTACGTATTAATTACAATATGTTTGTGTTGTAGATAAAACTAGTTCTCAGGTTAAATCTTAGTTTCCTTTGTCTTCTATAGATGATAATTAGGGTTAGCTAACAAAGGAAATTTAATACTGATTTAACCTGAGGTCAATTTTACCTACAACCTTACTTTGTCAGTGCATGCTTTGATTCATTGTTGTGATCTATTTTATATTCTTTTTTGTCACTCAAATTTTATACATCTCAGATCTTAAAATCAATTTACAAGAAGAAGTCTGCAAGCTTTTAGTAAAAAAAGGTTAAGAAAAAAAAGAAAAAAAAAAAATGGGGGGGAGAGCATTGCCACTTTGCTAGGACCCAGACCTGGCCTCCATTTAATGATGAGGAGATTGCAAAGCACTAGGCGATTCATGTGCGACAAGTTTATCTTTATAAACTTTGGTATATGTATACTCAGAGGCCTTTGGCCTTCACCTTGAGGGGAGTAATCATACACCGTAGAATGAAGTTTGCTTTAAAGACCCACTCATCCAATATTTGGCAGAGAAAGTTGCATTTCAGGGATTTATTTTGCAACGTTTTATATATTTACAGTAAAAAAAAATATTTGGATCTATATCCAGTAATGAGCAACTGTTTTTGACTTTAACTACAGTAGAACCTTGTTAACTCGAACTTGGATATCTCATATTCCCTGCTAACTTGGCTAAAATTAATTTCCTTTCCCTTGATCAAATTTTTACTGAAATTTACCCCGATAACTCAAATTCCCCACTAACTCGAACTAATTTTTTGTTTTCCTTCAGAGTTTAAGTTACCGGGGTTCTACTGTAATAGTAATAATTAATGTCAAAAATAGTTAATTATTAGAATGCCCCTTCTGACAAGTATCCATGGCAAAATCAGTGAAACCCCCATTTTGTTACGATGTATAGCCCATCTTGTAACCTAACTGTTGCAAATTTTGTTGATAATAAAAATCAGTGTCAGGATCGACTGTCTTGGCAGTTTCCTTGCAGATCATAAATTCACCATTTTTTGTGGAAGATGGCACTTAATTCTGGTTGTGTTGTTTCCTTTCAGGAGACAATAAGTCACTTAATTCAACTGCAGACTGCAACAAAGAAACGAATTGCTGAGATCAAAGAATGTGAGACAAGAATTGAGAAGGCTTTTGGTTATCTAACAAAGGTGTTATGAAGTCTGTTTAGGAAATTAAATTTGAAGTTAAATTGTTTCAACTTTGATAAATACATGTAATTCTCAATTTGCTATTCTCAAAAGTGCTGATTATTACTGGTTATGATAATAACATTGGCAAGTTATTTTCTCGTTAAATCCAATTATCACTCTTGCTTCTGGAAATTTTAAAAAATGCCTCTAGAATCAAGCTGTTTTCTGGTCATTGTCTGGCCAAACCAAGCTAAAACTGTTCAAAACCCGTACGAAACGAGCAGCACTGCTGCAGCGCTGCAGAATGGCTTCAAGAAGCGCTACAAAAGAGCTGTAAAAGCGCTGGGCTGCAGCAGCCGCAAATTTTGGCTGCAGTGGAAAGCCCTTTGACAGCAATAAACAGCGCTTTTGCAGCGGTGCAGAAAATTCCCGAATCACGATCTGCGCTGCAAAGTGGCTGCAAAGTGGCTTCGAAAAGACAAAGAATGTTGTTACCGGTAATGGCCTACCACTCGTTAGTACAAAAAAAAGAAATGCAGGCTCCAATAATACAATAATCATGATACATGGTAGAGGAGTTGACAAGGCCTTAGTAGCAGAGTAAAAACCATTAGAAAGTCAAAATGCAACTTATACTTTATTAGTATCCACATGTACATGTTACAAAAGCAAGTGGCATAGAACAAATCTGCAGCAGTTGCGCTTTGTAAATATTTAGCAATCACGGTCACTCATCTGAATGTAAGAACATGCATTAACATGCAGACATTGAAAATTATCTTTTTTAAAAATAAAGAGAATAACAGAGATTGTTCTACATAAAGTTTACACGGACAGCAGCCAAATGATATTTTGATTCGTTGCAACGGGCTAAGCTGGACATCGCTCACCTTGATGTTTTGTCCATGATCCACGATCTTCTACACTTTTTTCATGAAAGAAATCAACCCAATTTTACTTTGGTCGTCGTTAAATTTTACAATGGACTGAGGAACGAACATTACCGCGAGCGTATAAGAATCTTGTAAGTGCGAACCCCATCTCAGATTCTTGTATCTGTGTTGCTTGCTCTGGTTCGATTCGTCGATACTTAGCATAGAAGTCACTGTTCAGTGCATTGTTTGCAAATACGTTTGAGCTGTTCCATCCAAAAACTTCAACAGAACTTCCATCTCGAAACAGAACTAGATGCAAAAAAAACTTAGAATGTTTGCGCCTTTCATTCAACGGTCGCAAATGTTTGGACGATCGTGTGTTTGTCTAGAGAATTTGTAATGGAATCTCATGCAGAAGGACCGACCAATTAGATTACGGCCTAGAAAGTCTCCAGGGAATTAGCGATAACATTCTCACACTCGCCGGTCACGGAATGAAATTTATTATTTATTGAAATCTTTATTCCGAAAGCACAGAATTTCGAGGTTTATTCAATAAGTGATCTTCCTTGCACACAAGCTTACTCACATTTCTTAGAGGTACAGTCAAAGTTGTCACGTTATAAAAGGCGTAATCTGTGCCAAGGCTTTTTCCGGCGATTCATGTTATTGGTGCTCAAGAAGGTCAGATCGACCGCAGCTGAATTGTAGCATTACAGTACTGCAGCTACTTCGCAGCATTTGAAAGTCGGCAACTGCGCTGCAAAACAACTGCCGAGAGCTTCAAAGAGCCTTCAATGGCTTGCTTTTGCACCCCGTTGCAACTTGAATGAAGCTGCTTTTTGGCTTCTAAAAGGCTGCCGAACAGCTGTAATTTAGCTGTACAGCTATTTTGAAGCGATTTTGTGGCGCTCTACAGCGCTGCAAGTTTTGTACGGGAATGCTCTTTAAGCCAAGCACAATTCTTCCTTCTATTTCTAATGTCTGACCATGCATGCCCAGGACAAATTGTGGGGTCTAATAAAAAATTCTTAATGTCTTTTTTTTGTCTGCTGGTCCTAACTCGTGAATAATCTGGCCATGAGACAAAGGAAATCAAGAATCAACCAAGATAAACAAACCTACACATGCCATGTGTGTTACATGCTGTAGAGACATTGATGGATTTAATGTGAAGGATTTTGTATCTGAAGCAGTGAAGGGGTACAGCTGTATTTAGGGTGTGAAATTGGGTGTACGTATAAGAATGGAGGCTGCTCAGGGCATACCCAAGGTAATCCATATGTCACAAACACCCACGGACACGGCCACTTCTTTAATTACCCCCACCCTAAGGGAAAAGCTTTTTACCAATGTCTTTTAGTCAGCTTTCTCAAACCATAACTATAAAATACAGACTCTATATCCATGCAGCTTTTTTCTTTTTGCTGTTTTTTTAGGTATCAACCTTGTTGACACAGTGTAGTGCCCCTGTTGAGGACACTAAAGTCACTGTAGCTTTTAAGGATCCCTGTTCTCCTGAGCATGAGGCTACTGTTTCTTCTACTGCTGCACCCCAACAGTCTTTGGTACATCCTGCACAGGAGCCAGCAGGTGAAACCCAAAATGTTGTCCCCACGGAGCCTCTGTTGAAGCTTCCTGATGAGATCATAGGTAAGTAATGATATGTAAGTTATAGGTTAGTAACCTTTTATTCAGCAATGCACTTACAGATGTATGACTTATTACAAATCTTTCGACTCTCTACAGTGCAGCTTCTTCAAACCCAATAGTCTTTTTTTTTTTGTTTTTTTTTTACAACAATACCCCACAAAGTGAAGCTGTCAAAGTGAATAACAAAAATAGTTTTTTTCCTGCCTGATACATCTAATCTGATGCAGACGCTTTTCAGCACTGATGTGTACACGCATCTGATTTGTATCTGCATTGTTTGCTTTACCTTGGCCTGCACTACTAGTCAACTGAATGTACATGTACATGTAGGACATTGTTTACTGGGTGACAGAATTTATTGTTCTTCTTAAGGATACAAAATCGTTTGCATCATGCTTTTATGAAAGAGGGAAATGACTAAGAATACATGTATTTTGGTTTTGGGGATGTTTGTGCATTGTCAATTCTGTCAAGATAAAAATACAAAATGTTCTTGAACAACATTGGACAGCATTCAGCTGCTCCAGCTTTTAGTAGGCATTCTACTAAAATATTGGAGAAAATGCACCCAATCAAACATAGTAATGAAGATTTAAAATTCCATTGGGCAGGAGGCAAACTAGTTAAATATTTTACAAACGAAGGGGTTGAATTTGGGACAGCCAGGAAACAATTGATTTAGAGAGTCCAATCCACTGACTACTTGGCCATGCTGCCTCCCTGATAGAAAGTGCATGGAAGAGCACCTGATCCAAAATGAAATTCTCCCTTTGATTCATAAGGACCCGCAAGGCAAATTAAAAGGAGAATCTACATGTAGCATTTTAGCACAAGTCACCCTAGCTTTATTCCGGGTGCACAAGGATGTTGACACCCAAGGCAGCAGGAGAGAAAAGCACTGCTATGACATTTGGAAACGATTTTGCCTTTTAAAATGTGTATCTGTTATTCCAGCTTTAATTGTCCTGCATGTGCAATCATGCTAGCAGAGATCATCAGATTCTTTGACATCATGATTGTTGTTATGTTTTTTTGTATCTAGGAAAAGACATCTTTCCTGTGTCTGTGGTTGGCTCTTTGGCCAGAAATGGGTCTTTCTGGATGATTAAAGTTGGGGAAAGTGATTTGCACATAGCACAACAAATCCATAGTGGCTTAAGGTAGGTGAATGTTCTCCATTTCTGAATTATGTTTTATTTTTTGGTGAGCATCGGAAAGCTTTTTCTACGTGTATGGAAAATTATCACGAAATCTGTCATGGGTGAATCTTTTGTTTTCTGTCTCGCTAGACTTGATCCTTGACTTGATTCTCAATTGCTTGTTCTCGATCCTCGATTCATGCAGCAATTGAGAAGTGCAAATCAAGTCAAGAATGGAGAATCACAACAGACTGTCAACTTACCTTTGAATGGTACTGAACTTTTAAATCAGAATTTAAGTGATTATAATTCCCTATTATATGTTTTGCCCATACATGTAGAACCTATTACCACGTGCATGGTTACAAAGACACTGTTGATGTCAGCGTGGGAGCAATTTGTGCAGTCCTTAATAGAAATAATAAAGAGTTCTGTCGTGTGAGAATAGAAAGTATTGCAAGCTCTGGAATGGTAAGATCATTATTATACACTCTTGGGGTGATCATGGTAACACTTAAACCCCAATATCAACCTGTAGATTCTCTCAACTGACCCAGTCAGTGATTTTGTTACCTCTGCGTTCTGCGTCCTTGACACATAAAAATCTCCACAAGGTGCAAAATAATTTATAGCATGCATCCCATCGGACACAAAGAATGATTGATCGATTTGAAGATTTTTTTGGAAGAATATCCAGTTGGGGTGATTTCTGGGGCTGTTGTTTAAAGATGCATATATATTTTAGTCTTGTGCTTTGAATGTGTCGAAGGACTATAAATTATTTTAATTTCAGTAAACTGAAATAGAGAGTTTTGGCATCTGTCTTCAGATTAACTGTCTGGTTACTTAAAGGCCCCAAGCATTTTCTATCTATTCTTGTTTTTTTTTAACTGGGACTCACTGGTTATGAACAGGGACTCATGATTTTTTCACAAGATGAGTAACAGGACTCACCATAACTATTTGTAACAAAATTGGGGGCTTAATGGGTGAACAACTTTGTGTTTGTATTTTATCGAATGTATCTACAGTCAACTCTCTTTTTGTGGACACATCACAATTACAGACAAGTCCTATTATTATACATCTTGCTCACTATCTGTCTTCTCTTTGGCTAAAAGCCTACCATAGTAAATTTTGAATATCATGGCAACCTATCAGTAGGTTATGAACTGAGTTCCATGCGACAGTGTGCTGATCTTTATTTTCTTCAAAACAAGATGATTAAAACATTATTATTAGATTTGGTTTTTCAATATCAGGAATAATCAAGATCTTAGTACATGTAAGTGTTATCAGTCTCAGCTGTAGGCTCGGCTGATAACCTTGATTATTCCGGGTATCACGAAAACCTCATCTAATTTTGCTGATATTGTTCATAAACCAACAGTAGTGGAATCCAGCAGTGTAATTGCTAAAATTGCAGACGCTATTATTGTGTGCTCTTCAGGTGAAAGTACGCTTTTTAGACTTGGGATTTGTTGAGAATTTTCAACCTTCAAGTTTATGTAGACTGCCTCCAGAATTTTTGGATATTCCATTTCAGGTAGGTTCTACCAGGTATGTGCAGAAACTTTAAACAGTATATTACTTCTATTGTTTGTTCAAGTTTCTGTCTTGCCTGGCCTCGAGAAAGCATGGTCTTTTCAATGTAGTGGTCCATGTAGTTGCAGTTGACTTCAGACTGAGAAAGCAACCAACATTTTCACCACTGGTTTTCCCGTGAAATGATGTCTGAGAAGGATTCTGATGACATTTCACTACCCAGATCTGGCTAGTGTGTGTGATTGGTTGTGGCACAAGGAAAATTTGCTTTAACCAATCAGAAGTACTACCCAGTAGTGACGCATCGTCAGAGTATGGAATTTCTGCAGTTGTTTCTCGGACATCAGTTTGCTAAGAAATCAGTGGTGGTGTCGCGAAATGTCAAGTCAACTGTTTTCTCAGGCTACACTGGTGTGGTGATGGTCCAGGTTCAGGCCCTCAGCACATGATACTGGTAACCAGCAGGCTGGTCTGGTTGTCACAGTGAACTATGTATTCTGTTCATATGGAAAAAGCACAGTTACAAACCTTCAAAAAAGATGCAAAACATGAAACTGTAGAGGGAGAGCAGGAAAGGTGGAGAGAGAGGGAAATGCTTAAGATTGTCATTATATTTTGCGGTCATTGTAGTGTTGTCACTGTGAGTATTATGTACATGTGTAGTACTGTCAGTTCTTGGTGCAGCACCTCCTTATCTGGGTTGAAATTAAGGCCTTATAGTGGCCATTCTTGGTGTATAATCCAGTGAGCAATGAATTCATTGATACCATAAATAGTTATTGTTGCAGTAGTTGTAAACATAATAGTTTATTGAAAGGAATTACATATACAGTACATTTACATCAGCTGCATGTCTGGCCAAGGCATTATTTTGGCCAGCTAAGCCAAAGCTTAGATTAACTTTGTTGGGCTTGGGCCAATATTGTAGTTGCTCATTGTCCGAAGATTATTATACAAGGTATGCATCATGGTTAGTTGCAGCTCTGTAAAAATGTAAAGAACTACTTTTTAACATTCATTGCAGGCTCTAGAATGCTGTTTGCTTCCAACTCTTGATACACAGCTTCCTTATGAGGTGATGTTGTACAATTGACTGCACTTCTCATTAACACATGAACTCTGAACTTTAAAAGTCTGCTTACAATTCCTTTGTCTGCCATCAATCATAATTATGCTCACTAGAAACGAACCCTGAAACACAGAAAATCACAAGACAGATTGAAATCCACCAATCAGAAACCACAAATCATGACCTTTTGAACTTGTTGAAGTAAACTTCTGTTGAGGTCTGCTAATAAGATGATTGACAGTAGCAAAGAACACAAGCGTTTGTTGACTTTTGAACCTCGGAGTTCGTGTGTTTTTGAAAAGAGCAGCAACTGCCATACATAACTACAGAAAGTACCATTAGGTTTTATATAGCAGTACATTTTACATGTGTGTGTGACTGTATTTGACTGTTATTTTTGGGCTGAAGAAGGGTTTCTGTCATTGTCACTGATGTTACATGTAAAAGCTTACACTTGTCAAATCTTTGTCCATTTTTTTAGGCAAAGTGGTGTTTTAAAGATTTAACCTTTAACAAATTCTTAATGGCAGCACTTGAAGACCAGGTATTTTTTGTGTGATGTAACTTCATTAACTTCATTATCATTTAATAGTATTACCAGTGTGAATTTTTGAAACTCCTTTTAGACAACAATAATTATTGCTAGTATTTAACTTATGCAAAAGGACAGCGGAGGAAAAAGCAAGACAAACTTTGTGTGACAAGTGTGTCAATAAAAATTATGTTTGAAAAATTTGCCATCAAACTTTAGCTTCCTTTAAACAGATCTTTTTGCAATAGCCATGTCATGTTTGTCCCACAGAAACGTTTTGCCATTCCCTCTTTCTGCTGTCCTGTCATGTAAGTGATATTGTATATCATGGTTTTGTCAAGTTTCTATTCCAATGAATTTCTCATTGGTCAATGTTTTAATTTTGTGCTATCCAATTACGAGCTGTAAACATTTTACTGACAGCTAAATCTACTGGTACTGTGAAAGGTACCTATTTGGTGGCAGTGGTAGTTAGGATTAACTGCAATAATATTATTTATTTGGTTCTTACAATAATTTGAAATAGCTAGACATGGATAAACTTTTTTCGTGAGATAAAATTCACTTGCACTGATTTCAGCAGTCAGCCTCTTTAGAATCTTATTACATTATCAGAACTTCTTTAAGGGTCTACATTGGGTTTTTAATAGGCCAATTTCTCATTTGCACAAAATCTTCCTGGATTTATCACTTTAACTTAAGAAAACAGCCAACATTTCAGGACACCACTACTGGTTTCCCCACAGAGTGACGTCTGAGGAATAAGTGCAGAAATTCCATACTGATGATGTGTCACTACCCAGGTCTGGGTAGTGATTCTGACTGATCCTATTGTAAGGGAAATTTGCTTCAAGCAATCAGAAGCACTATACCATGATCTGGGTAGTGACACATCATCAGTATGGAATTTCTGTGCTCGTCCCTGAAATGTCATTTTGTTTTCTATTGACAAATGGTACCTGTTTCACATACCTAGTTTAGAAATTTGCATCCCTTTAACTTTAACTTATGTGCTGTCTTTTAGACAGGAATCAATCATGAAAAGAGAATGTTTTCTCGACTTTTAAAGCCATATTAAAATTCATCTGTTAGCCCGTTTGGGCCCTTTTACAGACCCAAATGACAGCTAGATTTTCCTACCCTTTCATATACCAGAAGCCTGGAAAAGGTACATCTTTCAGGGGGAACCTTCCCATATAGGAGCATCCTCCCCTGGGAATATCAGTTGTTTTCTCAGTCTACATGGATCTCAACATGAGACCTTCAGTTTACTCAAATATTATCCCAGGCTCTTTTGAATGATTTTTGGTTTGTATCAACGAGTCATTGATAAAAGTAAATTAGTAAAGCTTGGAGCTCAAACATGTGAGAATAACTGTATTTTGTATTTTCATAGGTGACTGATAGTAAAGGCCATACTGTGAACCATGTAACACTTGCATCATGTGGTGAAGCGCCAGTTTGCATCAACACCAAAGTAACACAGTTAGGTTGGTTGACGTTGTACATGATATTGTGAGAATTTTATTACATGAAAATTACATGCATATCTTTGTTTAGAGTTGGAGCATATAAGAAAAGCACTTTCAGTTCTGAAGATTAGAGCCTTACAAAATAAAATGACTAGGAGCTGGGACCTTTATGGCCTACAATTAATATATTGTAATTTTATGCCCACCTCACATTGGAACTCACTTTTTGACAACTATAACAAATACATGTTAAATACATGGATCCTGCTGCTTGCTACTTACTTATTTTGCCCAGGAAATCAGGAAGGGTAAGAGAAAGTATGAGTCAGTAAGACCAATGTTTTAAAAAAATCATCATCATTGATCAGTAAAGAAAGATAATTAGTTTAGGCTAAGAGATGAATTCAAGAAGGTAGGAAAGTATCAAAACAATTTCAGTTTGTCGCAAGCATGTGACAGTGAAAAAGTTTACGTCTTAAAAGAGATTCAAACCATAATCGCCTATACACCAGAAGAATTATTTTATTGTACAAAGCAAGCTTCCCTCTCTGAATGAGTGCACTTTCAGTGGTTTCAGAGATTTATGTTGAAGTCTAGACGAGAGTCAATAGTTAGCATACAAAATGGAACAAGGTTGAGGGGTGGATGGAAATCACCGTATTATAACTTGTTAGGAGGCTTTGATTTTTACCTTTGTTCTTGTTCTTGACTTTGTTTTAGTGGAAGAGCAGAAACTTGCTTCAGAGGTGAGAATGTGTCATCATAATAAAAGGAAATAACATGCAAATGATATTTGTAAAAGGGTCATTTAATTTATGTTATATTAAATAGTAAACTCTTTCTTTGTACCTCAGGTCCGGGTTGTTTGAAGCTGGATTAACCCTTTAAGCCCCAATATCAACATACAAATTCTCCAAACTGATCTCTATACATTTCCTTAATGAATGAGTTGAGAGAATTTGATAAAAGATCAAAGTATTTTCTCTTAGGTGACCATTTAATTAATCCTCATAACCTCATCTCATGACAATGTATGGATATCGTTAGGAGAAAATTGATGTTGGTCACTACTGGGACCTAAAGGGTTAAGATAACCCAAGGTTAGTGCGAAATTTGAACTCAGATATGAGAACTTAAAAAGCAAATCTAGTTTAGTTCTCTTTGCCTACAACTTGATGACTGGATACTCTAAAATGAATAGAGAAAATTATCCGAAAAAGTGCTTTTGATAAAAAGAAAAAGAAAACTTTTTACCTGGGTTAACATTTAACCCCGGGTTAGCGCTAACTGGCCTTCGAACAACTGGGCCCAGATGTTTAATGTATAATTTATTTGATTCTTGGTTATTCTTCTTTTACGTAAAATGTTTTTCTAGGATCGCCCCATTCAACCTAAGGCAGAGGAAGTGGAGAATGATCCAGCTGTAGTTGAGGAAATCAGTAACGAAACTCCTTCACAGACGGATGTCCCATCCAGTTTAATTCTAGATGCTTGCAAGAATGTTGACAACAGAGAGAAAACAGAAGAACAGCTGTTCGAGGAAGGTGACAAGATCAGTGTTGGTGATGCCGAGGTTCCAGCATTATCTGACCCCGTTAGTGACAATGCTGTCATTCATAATGCAATTGACGACCCGCCATCATTACGAGCAGAAGCAGCTGCGTTTGTTCCAGCCTCATCTTCATCCGACAACAACCCACCAAGTAAAGCCCCTTTGGATATTTCTTCGGAGAGATGTAACATTCCTGGAATTTTACATCTACCGCTGATGGCTAACAAATTTGTCACTGCAAAACCTGTTGAAGAGAACAGCGATACCGTGACTTTGTCTGAGGTCAATGTACCTGAGGGCTGCGTTGACTTTGCCATGTATAACCACATCATGTCTCAGTGTTCCTTGAGTTTTCTTCCAAAAGAAGCCTTGCCAAAGGCACGGTTCTTTATGGTCAGATGTAACATGAAGAGGGTTATAGAGGCGATGAAGTGTGGACTCTGGTGTTCTCTACCAGAAAGTGGTAAAAAGCTTAACCGTGTGTTTCACGAGCAGGCGAACAAGGGTGGGAACCATGTGTACCTCTTGTTTTCAGGACTTAAAAGTACAAATTTCTGCGGCATGGCGAAAATGGAATCTGCCATTGATCCCAACATTAATTGTCCAACATCAATCAAGCCTTATCATCTATCTAACTCTTTGATTGGCTGTTGTGTCGTGAGGTGGTTCTATGCACAAGATCTTTTCTTTGGAGATGTTCTTACTCCTGAATGTGGATTCCACAAGAGATTTCTAGCAAACTGTGGTGATGGAACCGAAATCCCAAACAAATTAGGACAGCTTATTGTTCGGAATTATGAGTCCTGTAACTATTTCCGTTCAATTTTAAAACCTGCTTTGCAGTCATACCAGTTGTACTTGACTGAACAAGTAGGGATTCCCGGTACAGTCAAGCCTTTGATAAGTGCTGAGCTACAAGAGCGAGACGAGGGGTTGCAGTTGCCACAAGAAGAGGACTGGGACCAAGAGGTATTTTCTCTGGGAATTCGAATTCTGAAATTTTTAATGGTTTCTTGAACTTGTCACGTTCCATATCTCCCACTCATAGGTCATGGATTTGTAGGTTCCTTAAGGATTTGTAGGGCAATTGTATCGTGCTTGTACTCATTGAGAAAAACTGTTTCGATTTTGGGGACCTTGTGGAATGTGACCCGTAATAAACAACATACGGAAAATTTTGGAACCCACAGTCAGGAGAGTTGGAGAAAGTGAATTGAGATAATTGAGCACAAAAATGATAATTTTTAACTCTTTTACTGCTGAACAACGATAACAATTTTGGGACGCAAATGACCGAACGGCCGTCGCGTTTTCTTGCCGGCAAACAAAACTTTCGAAGGCATTTGTTTAGCTCTTACGGGGAAATGTCTTCAAAAGGAGTTGTGAATTCTTTTTGTATTTGAAACCATTTTGTAAAAAAACTATTTACATGTAATTTAGTTTTAAGCTTATTTATGAACATGTCAGAATAACCAAGCGTAACGCAAGACTTAATATGCATCTGTAAACAAAAAACCTATTCACCGGTTTCATCGATAAATTCAAGTCAAACAGACAAAGCTTTACCTGTTAAAACTTCCAAACCAAATTTTGTCACCTTGTTCGTGTATTTCGGGAACAGCTTGTTTGATTATTTGAAAAACATTTATTGTTTGTTACGGCAGGAATCCGGGAAGACATTTTACTCGTAACTTACGCGAATTTGGCGCGAAGAGCTGAAGGTGCATCAGTGAATAGCACTGGATATTCCGAGTTTGAGTTGCTAATTAGAGCGCGCCAAAAACTATCCACAGTTTTAGTATATACTCTTTATTATTATCATCATCATCATCTTTCTGCACCAGAAGAATGTGTTTGATAAAACGACATTTAGAAGACACACTGATCTTTTGTCCAATAATAGCAAATCAGCTCGAAACTTAAGTTTCCCTGATTATATGCACTACTGACCAGAGGTTTTTGTCGTTGTTTTCATGGTAGATCGAGGACTCCAAGGCAGCAAAATCTTTAGAAAGTGAACCATTGGATGAAATCCCTAGTGAAAAGAAGGAAGTGACAAAAGGTGTTGCTGTGTCAGAGACAACTGTGTCTGATTATTCCACTGAAGGGCTTAAATCTCTTGGTGCGGAGAGCTTCAACAATGAAGACTGGACAGCAGCCAGTTCTGTAAAATATGACGACGAAGTGAGCAATGTGAAGCAAGATGATGTTGCGCCTCAAGAAAGTGTATCTTCTGTCTGTTTATCCATAGAAAAGACAATTGCTGACATTTCAGAAACTCAAAGCTCGTCCGAGCCTGCCGCATCAGCCTGTGCGGAAGCTGAATTTGGAAGATCAGCACCTGACATTGTCACAGACAGTGAGAGTGACTGGGAGAGCTGTAGTCCTCACAAGACGGGTGGTAGAAGAGCCCTCTCGGAAACCACAGAATGTGAATATGTAGAATGTGATAGTGCTGTGGATGAACCTAATAATATTCCACCAGATACTCATGGAACGCAAACACACGAAGAAAACTTGCAATGTGGTGAAGCGTTTGATGTACCCAAAACTGAATCTGAGAGTGTTGTTTATGATTCGGATGCTTTTCCTCACCAAAACTTGGCAAATGAGCCGACAGATAAGCAAACAACGCTTGAACAGAGGATACCAGGTAAAGATACATCACAAGAAGATGTGGGGCAGCTAAATGGATTCAAAAACACTGTAGAATTGCAAACTCCACAAGGAGACCCTGGTGATCTTGAAGTGAGCAATTCATTGGAAGTAATGACTGATGAAAATAATCCTGAATGTGAAGAAGAACCTTCAGATTTTCGACCTAGTCTCTTGGTTAGCGGTGATGAGAGCAAAGTGACAGACACCGTTACAGGTATTTACAAATAGGGAAATTAAAGCAGCAACGTTTTTGAGCGACGCACGTCAACCGGAAGTGAGCCTTTTTCTTTTTTAAAGTGCCTTGACGCTACCAAATTTGTATTGCTGAGTGTCTTTACTCTTACAAAGACGATTTACCTAAGCATTTGTTCAAAATCACGGCTGAAGAGGTCAGAAAGTCGACTTCCGGTTGACGTGCGTCGCTCATTAACGTGGCTGCCCCTAAACTCCCTACTGACCGGGCGGCTTAAATGACGTGTGCTAAATGATCGTTTAGATGTTATTATTTAAAAAACATTTTCTGTATTTTGTTTAAAAATGTACAAAGTACAAGTTTGAACAAGTCAAAGACAAATTTCTTGAAAAAAGAGGCAATTCTGGTCGCGGTTATCTTCGCAAAAAATTTCTGTAGAGTTGACTTAAAACTTTCTCAAATTAGCCAAGTTTCGGTGATGTTAGTCGATGTGCTTGACAAACATTCTAGTACAGGACTGGCGTTAGTGAGCTCGGGCTCTCTTGAGGTTGGGGGCCTGAGAGTGCATTTGTAAGGGTTGCCTTCTTGTTAGATTAACCCGTACGCTGCTTTCTCTACAATTCATATTCTGAGGAGAAGAATAAACAAGGGATTCCATAGTAATCCACCGTGATGCTCCTACCCTTTTGCAAACCTTGATGTCAAACTTCGACAACATTTTATCGCATGAAGCTGTCTATCTGAAAAGTTTGAGTTGAAAGTCGTACGCGGTCGAAATTCAGAAGCCTTTTCTTCTTGCGATTTTTAACTGCTCTGAGGCTATTCGACCAGTGGAGAATGGAATTAAAATTGTGCTTAACACATGTGCGGAACAAGCGTTTTTCTTAAACTCAGAATAGGAAAGGTTTTGTAAAAGGATGATTTTAACAGAGTGACGTAACGATATTGTTTTTCATAATTAATAACTTATTCTACTTTTAAACATGAAGTGAGAATTCAAAGTGATTCAATTCATGTAATGTGGATTGTTGTGAAAAGGATAAAATACATTTCCCTCTATAATGTACTTTCAGATGAAAATGAAGTCCAAGAGGCGGACAGTGAATGTGGAGATCAACAAGGAACTTGGGCTTCTTCACAGGCAAATGGTGTAACCAGCCAGCCTGCCAAACCGGACCCCGCATTCCATGGGAGCTCAGAGGACTTGCTCTGTGAATACGAGGATTTACCTGTTGAGATTGGTAAGAAAGGGAAGAGGCTAGCAGTCAATTGAGTTCCTGTTCGTGGTTGTTTAAGATCACGATACGTGCACGTCCATAATATGTTTCATTCAAACGCGACAAGAATTCAGAGGTAATATTATGCTAAAGGACTGTCCACAACCTGGTAATGAATTGGTAAATGCAGTGACTATTTTATTATCCCGGCGGTGCTTTCTAAAAGCAGTATTTCTTTCAGTTTTCCAGTATATTGCAGGATAAAATGTAGGATTTTGCTTCCATTTTAAACTGGATTTGGGTAGCGTTGGGAAACAAAGAGGTCAAAGTAACAGATGATACATCAACAGAGTAACATTTTTTCGTAGTCGTAGTTAGCTGTTAAATTGATAATTGATTTGCTGTGTCGTTTCCAAAGTCACGTTTTATCCTCTTTAGATCGTCAGTATATCATATTTTACAATACATTGCACTTACAGCAATATATCTATCAAAACAGAGAACTATGACATTACTAACTCATTCCGCTTATCCGTCTGTAGGAAAGGAACAGTACATTTATGCTCTAGAGAGCCTCTCAAACAATGGCACTTTTTGGGCTCGTGTTCACAAGCCAGGTGAAGACGATCAGCGTTTCATAGATGCCATGGCACGAATGGGGTTAGTAGGACTTTATGCCTTGTATTTTTCAAATCCATGCTTGATTTACAAAGCAAAGGCAGTGCCTTCTTCCTCACTTCCTTAAACCCTTATATTGGTATTTGCCACGGATTCAAACCGGGATCCCTTCTTCTGCAGACGAGGGCCCGTTTGTTTTTAACAGGAATAAGATAACCCAAGATAACCACTAAATTTGAATTCAAATCAGAGCGCTTTCAAGACAAATTTCCGTTTTTTTTGCCTACAATTTGAGGTTTGGCTGACGCTCTCAAAACGCGAGATAAAATGAACAGGAGAAACGCCGTTGAACAAAATAAACAGGAAATCGAAATAAAGATTCAACCCTTGGCGATAATCGGCTTTCCGACAACTTTCCTGCTGCGCTAATGCTACCGTGGTTAAATGTTAATAGTTGGTTCTATTATATACCAAACATAAAACACAACAGCGCTCGATGGGTGATTTGTTGACTACCTCGCGGAAGTGGACAGATTTTTATTTACCTTCTAGTTGATAAGGTAAACGCACATTCCAAGAGGATATTGATTCTGTTTACAGGGCTCACATCGAGGCTAATAACAAACCTCTTGAAAGTATTTTTATGTACAAACATTGTGCCGTAAGGGGATTGGATGATTATTGGTACCGTGCTCTTGTTGAGGAAACTTCAAGTAAAGGAAAGGTGAGACTACAAAAGGCTTTGGTGCGCACTTATGGTTTATGACATGTTATATGTGTTCAATGTTACAATTGCAAAGGTATCGTGATATGAAAGAAACAAACCCTGAAAGTAGCGATTACATTGAAATTTGTAGTAAGTCCTAAATGTAGTCGAGTCTGCAAGAAAAGGCTAAGATAACACTGGTAGGAAAAGACGAAGAAAACCGTTCAAAACTGCCTGCAACTTGAAGTCACTCATCAGGCTTAGAGTAAGCTCAGAGTTTCAGGAATTTAAGTTTGCTTTAATGAAGCGATAGTAAAAGGTTACTGAGTAGGAAAATGACAAATTTTTGGACTTATTATAGTTATCAAGACCAAGAAAAGTTAACTTACCCATTTTTCCACATCACAGTTAAAAGATAGTCTACGATTTAAGTCAGGAGTTATACGATCAATAAATTCTAATTTATAGATCTAGCCAGAGCTAAGAGCGAGGTTCTGATTTATGCATTTTAAATTTACTTCAGACTATGGACTTTAAACCTTTGCAAAGAAATCCGCAAATCTACAGTTAACTTTAGCGGAGAACCATATGACTGAAAAACATAAACTTGAGCCAGCGATCAATGAAAAGCTAATAACTGGTCAGCGGAAAACGCGTGATCTCGATCTGAGCCCGCGATATGGACGTGTGTCTCTGGTCAGCGGTTACCCTGTTTTGACAGCTGTCAGTTGACCATAATATGGATGTGTATCATCAAGTAAACACAGGTTACAGGCCCCACACTAACTAGAAAGTTTAACGTTTCACATTGGTTTCCCTGTGGTGCGGACACGTGATTACCAAAATTTCTCGAATGTCCAAATTTCTTGGTAATGGGGCTTCGCTTGCGCGTGCTTCGTGCGCGCATGGAGCTCCGCTATAATTGACTACTTTTCATTGATATTAGGTTGGTATCAGACTGCTTGACTTAGGAGATTACTGGGAAGTCGATCAAAAGGATTTACGAGTGCTTGATGATGAGTTCTATGTCGCTCCTCCTGCACAGGTCAGTCTAGACAGTCAAGAAATTGTTTTTTGAGTGGTAAATAACCTACCGGTAAAGTCATTGCTGCATAAGTATTATAAGACGCACAGCCACTGCTAAGATCTCATATCATAAGCGTAGAGTATATTACCGTGAGAGAAGTTTAGGACGAACTTGCAAGGTCTCATTTCATAAGCATGAGTTGGAGTACATTACTGTGTGAGTAGTATAGGACACACTGCTAAGGTCCCATTTCATAAGAGTGAAGTGGAATACATAACCGTGTGAGTATTTAAGGGTGCACTGCTTATGTCCCATCTCATTAGAGGGAAGTATTCGTAAAACAAATAAATGCCATTTCGTCTGTCTGTTAATGAGAGCGCAAGCTGAAAGCACTTAAAAGAGCGTTTGATTACTGCACCACCACCGCCTGCACATTGTGTGCTACAGACCTGTTTATTGTACTTCATTAAAAATGTCGTGTGTAAAGGTCTGAATATTTTTGTTTCTTCATTACTTTTTACAACGCAGGCTTTTGAGTGCTCCGTCTGTTACGAAAATCCAAATAACAAAAAGGTAGGAAAGTCTCTACAATATTAAGTTGCGTCTTTAACCACGATTATCCTAATGACAAGCTCCCAGTTGACTTGCCAGCTCAGTTGGTTGGTTAGAGCGCTGCACCTGTATCGCAGAGGTCAGGGTTCGAGTCCTGGCAAGACTGAATTTTTTTAGGCTTTCTTTTGTTAACTGCGTAAGTTGCCCCTTTAAACTGCGATGGTCTTCTTTGCATTTATTTCTTCATTCCGCGGTTCCAATAAATGAAATTCTTATATTCACCACTTTAACTCAATAAGCTAAATTTTCTAAGGAAAAAATTGTTTCTCTTGATCCGCAATTGCTGTACAATAAACCAGCCGCTTCAAGGGAATATAAACATTAATGTCATATGGAACGCTGCAAAAGCTCTTGGCTATAGCGGTGCGTCATGTGTTTGTTGGTTGTAAGGGAGAAGGCATCACCTCTTCATTGACTCAATATGACACAGACCTTCACTGTCAGGAATAAAAACTGTTCGTTGTTGCGATGACTGTGCTCAGAAAATTGCATAACATAAGAGTCAGTGAGTCATTCCCCCGGCAAACCTGTTGTTTGGAGTGTTGAATGGGCCTAATTAGGCAACAGAAAGCTATAAATTTACTGTTAATGGTGAAAATAAATAAAAACTAGAAAGAGCTCAATACAATACACGCTCAATTAGCGTTGATTACGAGAAAGCACTCAACACAGACAGCCCATTTGTATGAGCAGCTCCCTTTGATGTCCGTACTAATGATACCGTTTTACTACGTTGTGTTTTTGAAGGAGAAAAACAGAATCAGCAGACTCGTCAAGAGAAATAGGAGGCTTCGTGTTATTGTGGTGAGTCCATTATTATGGTATATACGACTTTGCGCGTTATAAGTAAGAAAATTATTATTATTATTATTATTTATTAAGGTTTAAGGTTCAAGTTGTTGACGCGCGGTAGTTAAAAGGGAAACAGGTTGGACTTTTCCAGTTTGAGACCTGATTCTTTTCATTAAAGTTAATAATATAACGATTTATAAACACGTTCACGGCAAAACGCAAAGTTCAACTTTTTGCCACGTGACCAAGTTTTCCTTTATCGTTTATTGTTAACTATGCCTGCATAAAAATAAGTAGTTTCATTTCATGCACGGTTCAATGAAATTATTGTTAATCAACCTTCAGGGTGGATTTCCACTGTCGCGTAATTTTTACGTTCGTACCCGCGTAAAATTGACGTGCGTAAATAAAATAGAGGCAATGTATGAAGAGCCGCGCGTAAACTTAAAGTTGAACCTCGCTCGTCTTTTACGTTTACGCGCGACCCTTCATACATTGCCTCTTTGTTCTTGTCCACCGGCATGCCATAGTCGCAGTGACGTCAGCTGAAAACCAGCAATTAGCAAGGCGCATTTTCTGTGGCCACCATTGATGTTCCGAGTTGTAGAACATTCGTTTTTTCTTTTTCGTTTGAACAGAAGAATTGCAGCGAAGGAACAGTTGGAGTTCAAATCCTTTGTTGACAAGACGGATACAGCTACAAGAGGTAAGTTTCATTGCGTTATGTATACTACGATTTTCACACCGGTTTTCCGAAATCAGTGATCTGTTTTCCCTGTAGTCCGTGTTAATAGTAATAGCTTAATATTGACTATTTAAAGTTGCCAGTGAGTCAAGTCTTCCTTAGTTGATACATATCACAACAATAACCTATTGTTAAGGAACAATACCTAGGATATATCTTTTCTTAAGAGCTGTACGTGAATCAGGCTCAGGGGTGTCAGTAGATATAAACAAAATGGTGTGATGTAGTGTGACGTCACAAAAGTTGCAATGTGTGAAATTACGGTATTGGTTGGCGTACTCAGAAAGACCAAGATGAAGAAAGCTTCCTCGCCAAAATCCAGCATGTTAGTGCAAATAGGTGAGGTGATATAGGCACAGTTATGCTCTGATGACTTAAAAAAATCCTTCTAAAATTGGCTTAGATTGTAACCTGTACGATCCAGGCCTGTTTTAAAAGGATTTGTATGGGGTCATCAGATTATAACTGTGCTTAAATCTCTCACACTAATTTGCACGAACAGGGTCATCTTGAGCAAGTGATCATGCTCGACCTACTTATTTTTCATCTCTTTCTTTATGGGTATGGTAACCAACTCCATTATTTCACAAATTTATTTTTATGACGTCATCACTTCTCTTCCGTATTAGGTAAACCCCTATTATCTTGCATGAATATGCATCCATCGCGTACCTTTTTTCTGAGGTTTTTAGAGCTGCTACCCAACTGACGCTGGCCTTTACAGGAGCATTATCGTCTCTGCTTTCAAACAACTAGACATTCCTTTTATTTCTTATTCTTTCAGGTCGTTGATTTTAGCCGGCCTCACGTGTAGAAATTTTCCTTTTAGTTCAACTTATTCCAAACTGTGTTTGTTTCAGTTTCCATTTACACATATGGCCGTTTGTTTAAAAAAAGATGTCTGTAAAGTACTTGGAATAGTTTTTGCTTCCTTGACGGACTCTCAAATACAAACTAATATTATTTTTATGAAATTTGTAATATATCCTTTGGTACTTTTATAATATATCCTTCGCTTCATTTGTTAGATACTTGTAATAATCACAGCAACCATGTTGACATTAAGTTGCTTGTAAATAACGTTCTCTTTGGCCCTCATTACAGGTCTGTTAGTGATATCGCAAACGCGCAAGTAATTCTCAATAAAAAATTCGATACTCAGAAAACGACAAGCGTTCAGCTTGATTGATGTATTCTTCCATACACTGAGTGTTTCGACTTTCTCCCTTCCCCGGATACAAACCTCGGTTCTTTCGATTAAGGTATAAACTGGACAGTGTTCATTCAAAAACAAAACCAATGAAGTAAAGCAAAAGCTATTTAACACCTAATCTCTCGCCGCCCGCACCAGATTAAACGCGAGTTCATAACGTTTGCTGGTTACTTTTCGTTCATAGCCCCGGTGTTATAAATGATTGTGCTATACCGTTATCCCTTAATCTCGAACACGTTTTACTGTTAAAATGTTAAAACCTCTTCACTTTTACACCTCCACTGCTGCCATTCACTGGTATTTCCGTTGCCCTATTTGATGGCGCTTACATTAGCAGTTAACAAAATGAAACAGCATTTTAATGGTTATGGCGTCAATTTTTCGCAACTTGCGGCCACTTCTGGTATTTCTATGAGGGGCCATTAAGTCATTGGGTGCAGACGTCCTGGGTTCTAGTCTTAACTGTTCTATCAAAACTTGTGTGGGGGCCCTGTGGTCCCTAGGCCCTAGGGTGTTGGCAAGCGTAAACGAGGAACCTTAAAAATCACCTTTCTCTGGGGCTGAAGAGAATTTTCCCTTTTAAAGAAGTGTCTACAAAGTGTGGTGCGACTGATAAAGTCACAAGTCCTTCAGTGGTGGGGACATTTGTCCAAGAACTCTCACTTTCAAATGGAGTTTTATTTGTATGAGAATAAAAAATCATTTTCATTCCAATGGAATCGCACTTAACCTCGCTTTGAAATAGAGGCTTGGTCCAACTCGGAAATGGCCTATTTGTTCGATTGTAATTGGAAAACATCAGAAAACAAAGGTCCACACAATTATCACTGAAACATGCGGCATCGACTGACCAATATCGATTAGTGTCGATTTTTATCATTCTTTGAATACTCGCAGGGTAGAAAGGAATAACGTCAGGGACAACATCAAGACACTGCTTACATCGTATTTTATTTCAATTTGCCTCACTTTGGCAAATAGCCTAATATGTCAACGTTTAATAATATTTCAAATATTAAAATTTGTATTAAGTTAAATTTCTTGTTATTGTTACAATATTGTTACATGTTAAGCACCGAAAGCTACTTTCTAGGTGGCGAATTAGCAAAGCACAAATTAAGAACACGGCCGTATTTCATCGGTCCCGCCGAAAAAATGAAAAAGGTGTCTGTTGTCTTACATTTTCCGGTAATGGCGTCGGGGAACGATGAAAGGCGGCTATATTTGCCAACAAACATACCGTAAGTGCAGTGTTTCAAACTTTCCAATCACTTTGGGATTTAGGCACAATCACAAACTTTTAAAAGAGAAATAAAATATTCCACTCCTAGAAACATTTGAAAAAGGTTCAAGAAGTACAGGCAGGAATAGGCGAATCATTACTGACGTCATTCTTTACGTTTGTGCTCAGTAGCATAAGAATTAGGGCCTGTTTACATGGAGGTGGGGGACCCCAGGTAGGTGAGGTAACCCGCTTAGGTGGGGTAACCCGCCTGTCCATATAATCTCTCATTTTCATTTGATCACGTTTACATGATAGGTGGGGTGACCCGCCAAGGCGGGGGGTCACAATTTGTCATGTAAACGTTTCAAGGTGTGGTTACCCGCCTGGCCGGGGTCGGATTCGTGATACATCAAATTCGCGCAAAATTCACTTTCGCGGTGTCGTTGCATTATGATTAAAGTTAACAATAGAAAGCTATTGCACTGACGGGTTGCAGCAAGAGCAACAAGTGAGTGAAGAAGTGCATTAATCGCCGAAACTCGTGGTTTGCCAGCAAAATTCTTGTTTACGTGCTTAGCGACCATTCAATAATCTTGAGAAAGTGCACCCCGGGAAGGCGGAGTTGTAAGATTGCATGTAAAGGAGGGTTATTTTTTTACCTCACATAAGCGGGTTACCTCACCTACCTGGGGTCCCCCACCTCCATGTAAACAGGCCCTTAATCAGTAGAAGGCGTCACCGTATGCACTCGTTAATGGAGGGCTTAAGCAACAACGACGGCGACGGCAACGAAAACGTCACTTAAACTTTGAATTCGCGCTGCCTCAAACGTTATCGCGCTTATTCCATCTCGCTTAATTTGTCATATGTGCGGTTGAATTCTGAAGGACTGTATCAAAGTTCAGGAAAAGAAAAAGAAAGTTGTTGTCTTGTGTTCCCGTCCTCAACAAAACGTGAAAGTAGGCACGTTCACGTTGCAGCCGCGCAACGACGGCTAAGAAATGTACAAAAAAGGCGCGCGATGCACGTGCAAAGTTGTTGTTTTGCTAATCTAACCTGTTGCCTTTTTGCCGTTGCCGTCGCCGTGGTCGTTGCTTAAGCTCCCTATTGAATTGAAAGATTTGGTTAATTTGAGCAGCTTGTGCAATTTTCAGCTCTTTGCTGGCAATAACAAAGGAAAGAGCAGTGAAAACTGCGAAACTGCTGGGTGGCAAAGACTTTAATGAGCCTATACATTCTTTGTAAAGTTTCGGGGTTTTCAAAAACAATGTCTCCGAAATTATTCGGTATATCGGGCTAAAATTTTCACTGAAATTGTTATGCCCTTTCGATATTCAGGGAGTTATTTTAATAGCTTGATCGGAGAATGAAAAGCATAATTTATGTTAACAGTGCAAAAAATGTAAACAAAGATTCGCTTTTTAAGGAAAGGAGTGTGAACAGAATTAAAACGCTGAAAAACAGCAACAACGAAAACAAATTTTAACATAAAAAAAACAGCTCCAAAGTGCCAACGGGTATATCTCTTGTAAATGAAGCTTCAACTCACTCTATAGTGAAGATTAAATAGTTAAACATTAAATGATTTTCGCACGACTTTCCCTCCTCACAGAGAATTTATTTGCTAAAGTAACCCTGAACAATTTGTAAACAGGTCTATATTTATCACTGGATTATTTCATTTTATGAATATACAGCAAAAGAAATTATTATCGCTGATACCTTTACTCCTCTTGACAGATCAGCTGACAGATGAAGGAAGATTATTATTATTATAATTCGACTAATGGTTAATAGCAATATGCCGAATGAAATAATGTGCTCAACGAGTGCTTAAACCAGTCACGTCAATAAGTTACTTGGGTTAGAAATATTTTTACCTATATCGTTAAGATTTCTCACATGTAGTTGAGGCCTATAGCGGTCTTTGTTACAACAATTGATCGGATGCTTAAACTTAAGATGGCTCAATGTAACTACATATGTTCAACATTCATCTTTTTTCCCCCTCCGTTGCCATGTACAACACAGATACTTTGTTGCTTTTTAAACTCTGCCTTTCGGCCTTTTCAAAACCGCCTCGAAATTCCGAAACAATCGAGAGCGTGACACGGCCCCCTTCAAAAAATGTTTACCCTTCACCATGGCGTCATCACATTGAATTAAGGGAAAATTATTTGCAAGTCACGCAACATGTGCGTGACATGTACATTGACACTACACCAGGCAGTTTAATTTCGTTATCGTCTTATCTTGTCCAGCAAGGTCACGTTAGCCACCATGTATTGGTACGGTCATGTGACTGTTTCCTGCACGCAGTAAATTCTCACGTGCTCACAAGATGCGCAGGAGGAAGACTCCACCGAATTGAAATAATTTTTAAGTCTTACTTCTTGTAAAGTAGGGCGTCGTCTCTCAGGCTGTGTGAGTCTTGTAGTCTCATCTGTAAAATACGGAAATATGGGCCATATGTCGGTATTAGTCAAATATGCGAGTGTATTAATCTCCACATTTGGCAACTGGTTGCCTTGATTAAGCAGAGCTAGCAAACTATTTTGTCTGTTTGTGACATGGGTGCCATCAAAATATTGCAAAATGAACCATTTAAATATATGCACAGAAATGCAATGGTTTCACTTGTTGTCCTTAAAACTCGGTTATCATACACCTAGCTTTTACTTTCTGTCTTTAAGGTGATTTTCACATATTTTCTGTTCCCGACGAACAACATACATTGAGGCAGAATTTGCCTTGATTTCAAAGGTTACGTTTAGTGACGGGCTATTCAGGGGTGGTTCTCTTCATGATGTTTTCGAGCCACCCGTTTTGTGCGGCAATTATCTTAATAACAGTGTAGTTCTTACCTGCCAAAATTACGACAAGCACAAAAATGCCATTTTACCCGTTTTAAAATGAAACTAAACTATCCAGGGCGTGAAAACAAAAATACATTTATGCAAAAAGGGATACAAGCAACAAGACAAAATCACAAACGTGGAGAATATACAGTGTTATGTACTGTAGTGAACAGATAAGAGAGGAAAAGGGTGCAAAATTAAAAACAGTTGCAGTTAGGAAAGGACAAAAAGACTGACCAGGAGGCTTTCGCGTCATTGCAAATCAAGAGCAACGATGACAAACCCCCGGTGAAAGCTGCGATATTCTCCTAGAGCAGTGTAGTATTTTTTCATGTGACAGAGACGAATAAGGAGTAGGTAGATGGCCCCTTTAAGGCCCGGCAGGCAAGGGCGGATCTAAGGGGAGGGTGCAGGGGTTGCGCACCCGCCCACCTCCCCCCGCGAGATGACCTGCGGCTTTCTAATACAACTGGTGTTCCGCAAAATATGCAGATATGTATGTTATGTATTCTCAGGAGTTCACATTATGTTATTGGTTAGTCAAAAGCGTTCCTCATATTCTCTTTTAAAATTTTGTTTACGTCACCAGTCAGTTACGCTATTCCTTTGTGGTGCACCCCCTCCTAAGAGAAATCCTGGGTCCGCCCCTGGCAGGGATGGTGCTTTTTCAAGTGAAAGTTTGAAGTGGGATGCAGACGGGTGGCTTAAAGGGGTTTATGTAATTTAGCAAAGTGAGTGCTGGTACCGGTAGCATTTTTTAAAATTTAAAATTTAAGTTAGCATTTAATTTAGCAAAGTGCAGCTATTGGTAGCGAAGAAAAGGGAAGAACCCTCCAAACTGGAGTTACATTGCACAAATTCTTGTTTTTGACGAGGCTGCTGGCTGTCTGACTTGAAGTGCTTGGGGCTTTTATGTCATGTGAGAAATTCTCAACATTTTCAACCCAGAGAAGGCCCTGGAAACGAGTGAAGAGGACTGACTGACCTAGCTAAACGGGACGAGCTTGCATCCGGCACAGTCCTTTGGGTGGTGTCTGTCAAGAAGAAGAAGAAAAAGTGAAGAAGGACGAGAAAGAGTTGAAAACCTGTCTGCCAAAGCTGATTAGAAATACAGTCAAAGTGCATACCACCTGAGAACTGCGTAATCTTGTACAGAGCTATAACTTTGTCCTGCTGAAGTATTTTGGCTTACAATATAAGGGAACCAGTTTATTTTTACTTTTAACGTGCCAAAATTTGAATATCACGCAAGTTTATTGCGGGTACGGTCCGAAGAAGCCATTATCCTATTTTATTCGAGAAATACCCCGATATTATTAAGCAAAGGAAGGGTTAGTTGGACGGAACCTGTCTGACTGGGATATATCGTAAACCTTTCTGGATATAAATACAATTGATGTCCGCATAAGGGAACTGAGCATTCCTTGGCAAATTTTCTGTTATTATGACGACATAAACAAACACTTTAAGGGATTTGCGACTGAAGAGATCCTTGATACTCAGGTGATTGAGATCTTTAAACATCGGAACTGGACAGAAAGGAGCTGATGGTTTTCCAGTGTTGTGCCCATACAACGACTCGGAAGTTAATAGCAGAAAAACAAGTCAAAATTCATTGAAGAAAGTGATGCAACACAAGAACCCTCACATAACCCTCGAGATAACCGCTTTCGCTCTAGCTGCATGAGTTTTACTGTTCTCTGGACAGTGACGCGAGGCTGGTAAAATTTCGACTACACAAATGGCCCCTTTCGTGAGTGAAAGTGATGAAAACATTGGAAAGGCTAACTGTTTTTACGAAGGATCAGTGTCTTGGACATGAATCCAACTTAACAGTGATATGTGTGAAAGGAAGAAGGAATGGAAGAATGGGGAAAGGAAAGGAACAAAGCAACATCGAGAAAAAGAATCAAAAGAAAAAGGAATAGATTTGACGGTTTGTAATACGTTGGCATTTCAATCTGTTAGGTGATTAAATACATGGTGGATAAAAGAAAAGGAAGGGATTATTTGCACTTGCCTGAAGGTATAGTGCCGTGTGAAAAAAAAAAACAGCTGACAGAGGTAAATTGCTTTCAAAGTTGAACTATTTCAACTGTCCAGACTGTGAAGTGATTGAAATCAAAGTGCAACGGAGAAAACAAAAAGGAGAAAAGTGAAAAGTGATTCAGTTGCACTGACCTGAGGGTATCGTGCAGTGTGAAAGACAGAGAGATATTGCTTTCTAAGTAGTTCCAGACGTGCATGTCCTGAAAGACCACAACAACACGAGCAGACAAATTAACAGGAGAGAGGAAGAAAAGCAAACGTGTTCGAGGGTTACCTCGGTGAGTGTCTTTTGATTGTTGGATTGTTGGACCTAAAACTCAAAGGTAAAGTACGCTGGCTTGATGTTTTCTTGTTGTGGAGGCTCAGAGTTGCACGAGCACGTACCTAGTGCGGAGTCTGGGGAAGAACCAGCCTCGTCTTCGTCACGGTGGCTGAACTCTGAAACGGAAAGGGAGAACCGTTTCATGTAAGTTTAAACAATTGTCAAACCGTACAAAACTAGGTCTGATATAAGCGGTTTGAAGTGGTAGCATGATAATGACGACTTTTTAATTTATCGTTCCAGATGGAAGCCATGTGACCTTGACTGAACTGATCAATTGTAATTGTAATTTGTTTACCCACGGAGCGTTTAGGAGTTCTTAAGAACTCGGGAAAACGTGTCTGTGCGTTCCAGATCGAATTGGTTGTTGGAAGCGTTGGTTTTTAAGGAGAGGGGAAAACCGGAGTACACGGAGAAGAACCTCTCGAAGCAAGGGAGAGAACCAACAACAAAGTCAACCCACATATGGCGTCGACGCCAGGATTCGAACCCGGGCCAATGGTGGGAGGCGAATGCTCTCACCACTGCGTCACCCTTGCTCCCCAATGTCGTCAATGACTGCAAAGTACTCTGGAACATGTTAGACCCTTAACAAAGAAGAACATTGTTAAAAACGATTGAAAGACAACCTTTAAAGAATACCATACCTGAGCCTTTGTCGTGATTAACAGCAACCATCTTTCTGAAATTACAGGTAAATGGCACGAATATGTACAAGTAAGTTTTAAGGCATAATATTGTATTGAGTATTTTGTTAATTTGTCATTTTTTTCTCTTGAATCTTGTCCCTATGCCTTTCCGCTAACAACAATTGACTTGGGACAGTTTGCCTTTTAGTGTGATCACTCTTGTCTAAGGAAAAGAAGACAGTTTAAACAGAGCGATTTAGACTCGCGTTAACGGCAAAAGGAAAACGTCAGTTTCAAGTTGAAACTGGCAAATAATCCAAAAAATTTTTTGTAAATCAACCTGGGTTCTGAAACTGGCGTTGCTCTATTTATTTCATCGTAAGAAAATTTCTACCACAATAGCCTGCGCAGCAAGCGTTTTCGCTCGAGTTAATGGGTTAAGTTTTGGCCCTCACTACAACTTTCGCGCAATCAGTCGCGCGGAAACGCTTGTCGCGAAGGTTACTTCAACGAATTATTGAAATTATTTTGAGAAGCTATCTGAAACACTTGACCTGGTGTTTCATCCGTTGTGAACAATCGAACAGTATGTCACCCGATATCCAGACACCTCGAAGTCTTTGAAACCCTTTCAACCCACTTCTCGTTGTCTTGTCTTCGATAAATTACTGCACTTTTAGACAAAGTTTACACTAACTGTATTCTTTCTTGACAATAAGGCACTCTACTTACTTCGCGGGACCTGGGGTCCTGATCTTTTCTACCGGTGAATTTGGTTCCTGAAACCGTGGATTGCTGATTGGAAAGGAAATTCGCTTCTTCTTCTCCTCGTGAATCCTAAACGAATAATAGAACGCCATGTAATGGGCTAACACGCCTTCATACACCCTGCCTTGACTGCATGGATTAGAAAATGCGATGAGATGATTTAAAGCAAGGTCTAAAGCTTACAATTCAGGTAAGATGAAGAAAAATTTCTCTTGCCTATTAAACGCCCGTGTTATATCACCAAGTATACCTTAAATGAGTAAACTTTGATTCAACAAATACAGGAAACCATACCTCAGCACAAAACAGAACTCTGGTGATTAACTCAAGTCAGGAACTCACTTAGTCATAAAGCATAACTGGCCTATGGTTTATCATTTTTTCAAAATTTCACGTAAGTTTGATTTTTTTTGGCATTATTTTATCTCACTAGTTCGTATAACTTTTGTAATTCTTTCACGACACGAGAAAATGTTCGCAAAAACCGCGTGGGGGCTGGGGAGAGACTGGTACGTGGAGCCTGTAGGCATTGTTTTCAATACCTCATTCCGGTTTACCGGCTCCTGGTATACCCTATGATTGGTCAATTTTGACAGTTTACTTCAACACTTACGTCAATCACTTTAATTCGCGCGGACAGAATAAAATAAAATATGGCGAGCGCGTGAAACCCTTCTACACAGTGCTCCTGGTTCGTCCGCTTTTTTCGCTCGTCCCAGTGGACTGGAGGGGAGCCTGAAACAGGCTAATTTCGCGTTCAATGACCAAAACACGATGCATGCCCGATAGTTATGTTCTCGATACTGCTCTCAATTGCCTTGTACCTAGACGTCTCTGTTGTTTTGAAAATTTCTGCGCAAAGGAAGATAGGACGGGAAAAATCAGTGAGAGGTGCTACGCCCGCACTGCTCCTCTACCCCAAGCTGCCTCGCGCTTTGCTTGTTGTGACATTAATCGCGTTGTCTCGCAAGAACACTCGAAACGCCTGTAGAGGAGACCGAATCTATACATACATTTCGTATCATATATATGATATTAGATATGTATAGTATACGCTCTCTGCCTAAGATTATTACATTTTTTCTCTTAGTTTTCATGAGCCCAATACTCGGAGCAATGACATTGTAGGAAAGTGTAAGGTGAAAATAGATGCTGGACACAAATTTAAAAATAAGTTCAAGAGTTTAAAACTGTACAATTCCCATGTTGACCCCAAAGTTATCTCAAGCCAAAACATGACCACAAGTGGTTAAAAGAAACCCCAAAATGATCCCAAGAAGCTTTTGGAACGAAGTTGCAAGTGATGTGCTTATTGTCTTACTGATATAAATTCAAATCGCGAAAAGATAATAAAAAGAAATTAAAGAAATGTGAATTCCAGTGACATATCTCCTGTTTACTGACTACTATTTTAATAGTGAAATGGTTAATGTATGAAAGTGAATGATGTTTAGCGACGATTTTGTAGCTGATATTTTTGTCTATACGCACCAATTAGTTGTGCAGTCATAGCTCTTCATCCCCATTTCTGCTTTAGTTGGATTACTGAATGTGTAGGATGTGGAGAAGTTAACGTAATAAAATCATGTTAGTCGTTTTTCGGTTAAGTGACGAAATAGCCATTTATTAAGGATATAAGATTATCAGTTAGTGATCGAAGTTAAATTAAGAGTGACAAAAGTTAAACGATGATGTATTTTATTAAACATGCCTCACCTAATGTAGATTTTCAGCGTTTTGATTAGTTGTCAGATCGAACGCTATCTGAATCAGAAAGACTCGTTTAATCCATAAAATTTAAAAATACTCGGGCTGTGGCTAACAGATACCATCAACTGACGTGAAGATGACTACTGCACAGGTTGTCGAAACGTCAGTAACTGTCAACAACAACAGTGCTATTCAGAACTACGTTCACCCAGACGATCATACTCAACCTACTTGCGAAATGACTCCTGGGTTCAAACCTTTCACAGAGGGTTTTCTAATGCGAGAGGAGGAGTCGTAATCAGAGCTAGTAAAAATGAAACTACTGGAGTCGTAAACGGAGTCGTAAGGTGGACAAAAACGGAGTCGCTAGTGTACGCACAAGTCTACACTACGGTCATCTCTCTATTCACTAAATACTTTCTATTCTTAACGTTATCTGAGATAATTTTGCGATGTTGTGATTTCGGACGTTTTCATAGTGTTGATCATTTTAGGATAGGGATCATTTCGGGGTTGTGGATCATTTAGAAACGGAATCATTTCGGGATTGTACAGTCAGTGATGTCTAAAGTCAGTTCCTTCTTTATTGAGTAAAATATACGTGTGTTATTTTCTAGTGGATAAGAACACACATTTTATAGGCTGCATCCGCTCTAAAGGACTTTTTCAACTTTAACTAAACCATTACAGTGAATTGTCCTTGGTGTCTCTATTTTATACGTCTGTTGGTGAAATTATGCGTCTTCTTTGGTAGTACTTTCCCATAGTGCTGTTTGTTTTACGACATTTTACAAAATGAAATCTGGAATTTTCTTGAATATTTGACTATGTGTTTTTCTTGCAAGTGAATGGGTTAAGCAGAAAACAAGTATAAATCTTCCAAACTGACCTCTTTCTGTCGAGCTTCAATCGATAAAATCCTCTTAAAAATGCCAGCATTATAACAAGCACAAGACAGGTTCCCACGGCATAAACCACTGCATCATAACTGCTCCCTCCATCTTTCTTGTATGCCGCTTTCTGTGACGGCACAGCTGTAAATATTGCCGGAAAAATTAAAAAAAAAAAACTCTGCCATTAATGCGATCAGGAATTTAGGCATAGGTACCCCAAGCCCCCCCCCCTTAAAAACGCCAAGACGAGGTAGGCTTTAAATATTCGTTCGTTCGTTTGCTTGTTCATTCATTCATTCTTTTTTTTACCCAGTGATACCTGTGATGTGCGGATCTGAGAAGTCGTTCTCCTGAAACTCCACATCTTTAAAAGGCCCTGTAGACTTGAGGTAGGCACGTAATTGAAATCTACAAAAGGAAAAAAAAAGGCGATTTGTATGCTTTTTTGTGCTCAGGCAAGTTTTGTAGTATTAACATCATTGCCGGACTGTTAAAACCGGCATGACGTAAACAGTACTTGAAATTAACACCTTAAGTGGAATGGTTTTGAAACTCCTTAGAATATTTCTTCAACTTCTGTTACAAACTAAATTCAATCAAAGACTGAAGTGCGCATGCTTTTCCTTTAGTGTGACTTTGTGTTTTATTACGCGGCTGGTCGGGGTGTCACTATAACGGTAATGCGATCACATACCTGCCTCGTCCTCAAGCCTTCCTAAGGCTTAGTGGCCAGCATGGAACAAGCGGGAAGTGCGAAGCGCGACAGTTGAATTCAAGTGAGAAGTGCTAGAGGGGTTCAGGAACGAGTGCTCTTCGAGCGACTGGAGACGAGGCTGATTACATACTCTCCTTGTATCACCAAAGAGAAAGAATCGAGGCGAGGGAAAAAGTGAAGAGGGGGTCATTACGAGGTTGTCTAGAGAGTCCTCATAGATAGGTACTTTATCACTGTGTAATATTGTGTCTAAAAAATCGTGATAATTAATCCCACTTATTTTTGTCTAAAACATCTTTATAAAACTGTATCGCCGATTTGTACAATACTATATCATCGTTTCCTGTGCCACCTTTTCGTAGTAGCTGTGCTGATGACAAAGCACGACAAAGGCGACGGGATCCTTTACGACTCCTCTCTAATGAATAACTCCATAAAAGGCAGAAAACACTATCGGCTGAAGATCGAGATAGTTAGCCGGTGCAATGTTTAACTCACCTGTATTTCACACCAGACTGTAAAGGCCCATTGCAGTAGTCTTCATCCCCTCGTTTGTTTTCACAGTTTTCTTCATCGCCGATTGTCAGTTCCAATAGCCTAGCTGATCTGATTGCCGGGCTGGATGGTATCACTTTGGTGATATAACGTTGATAAATAGAATTTTCCTTTGTGGCGGCTTTGTTCACTAGGTACCACGTTGTTGGTTCTTTCTTTGTCATTTCCTTGACTAGAACAAGAGGGGGAGAAAAATGTAAGCGCCATATTGCGTCTATATCTAAATCTTGGTATCAATACTATGAGAAAAAGAACTGTTTTTATTAGTATTTTGAAGCTTGTGCTCCTTTTAAATTTTGTTCCTTGTCTCTCCCCACCTGTCTCCCCATCCTCTGAATCGATCGGTTGCGGATTCAGAGTTAATTCAAAGTCCACATTCTTAGCTCCTGCCTCCTAGCCGTTTTTCGCCGAAAGTAATAAGAAATGATATTTAACAGAATTATTGAGGTCTTTATAACAGTCCGGAATATCCCTAAATTTAAGGACAGGGCCAACTGGTCACGCGACACTTTTCAACCAATGAGAAGGCGCCCTTGTGTTTATCAACAAACAAATCAAAACATCGCCCCAGTGATCAAAAATTTTCAAAACAACGGACGGAGTCGGACAGAATCAGTCATCGTTTCGAGCTTCTCAGGCATATTTTTAAGACTTTCATGAGGCATAGACAATTTTTTTAAGTGGACAGCGTATCGGAAGCTATATTGGAAGGGTCTCGTGAAATATTCAGCACATTTTGTGGTTTATTCTTCTTTTATCTTTTAAACAACGCGATGTATCGGAGAGATTTTGGTCGGCTTTCAAGGTAGGTGAACAAGTATCTATTATTTTTTCGATTCACAGATTTTTTACGAAGTTCTAGATATTTTTCCTCGATTGTCATATCGATTAACTTTTATCATGTTGAATGTGGAGGTGGCAGACAACCTAGAATTTTGATAGACAATTTTTGAATTCCCAGGTCCAAAACACGTACGTTTTCCTCTCCCGGGTTTCTCACAAAAGCCGTGTTATTACTTTTTTTCGCATTAGTACGAGCCTTTGCCTTTTTTCTTTTCAAGGCCAAAACAACTTTATTAGTCTTATGGATATTCACGTCCAAAATCTCGCCTCACTTTGCCGAATTTGCGGGGATGAAATTGAAGATCATAAGCGCAAGGTAGATACTAACCGCTTTGTTTCTGAAATTCACTAATCTGGAAAGATTTAATGTTGTTGGATTCTCCAAATGTTGAAACAAGGCAAATCTCAGTTGTAAATGCTGTATTTCGCTACTCATTGAACATGCACTGATTATCTGGGATAAATTTAAAACATTGCAGGTACTACAGCAAGCAAAGAAAGCACCAGATGCGTGAAGTCAACACAAAACAACACAAAAAAACAAACAAGAAAAATTAATAAATTTGAACTACTTTCTTTTCTTGTTATGATGACTGGTTCTTTGATTCTTGTCCTGTAGAAGTTAATAGGTAGTACCAATGCTGTTTTGTACGATCTCAACAAATTTTCACAATCTCTCTAAGGCTATTTTTACACGGGAAGAGTTTGCTTCTGTCAAGTATCTTGCAAACCATGCCAGTGAAGCCAAGACCTCTGCGATCGGTCCGGAATCAGTTCGAACACCCCAATGATTCCTTGCAATGATTAATGCTCTTATTCTCTTACATGACATGTTTTCTTTGAAATATTAAATGTGAAACCTAGACGAGTACTGTAAGTTCATCTTTAATTCTGTCCGACTCCGTCCGTTGTTTTGAAAATTTTTGATCACTGGGGCGATGTTTTGATTTGTTTGTTGATAAACACAAGCGCGCCTTCTCATTGGTTAAAAAGTTGCGCGTGACCAGTTGGCCCTGTCCTTAAATTTAGGGATATTCCGGACTGTATAAGAGTAGCAAACTGTATACGTACATTTGGGATCATCGTCAGAATACTCTTGTACAAGAACACCATATTTGGCAATATTGTTAGGCGCCAGATACTTCAAGTTAAACCGAATAGTGATGGTGGTTTGCTTTGTTTCCATGAGAATGAGAGTGGACTGGAGCGGAGTGAATATCAAGATCGAAACATGAGCCTGGCGTACTGCTTTCAGCGGTGGTGTTCCGTGATCCATGACGGACACAGTTATATTAAACAGACCTAGGTTCTCTCGGTTTAGTCTCTTCAACGTTCTTATGGCTCCACTCCTGCAGAATTGAAAAGATTAATCTTACCCTCAACCAATCTTCTACTTCTATAACGATCGCTCTTCGAGAAATGTTCTGGTTTTGACTTCCGCAGTGGTGAGAGCACTCGCCCACTAACGTCAACCGGAAGTGAGGCTTTCTCCTTTTTAAAGTATCTTAACGCTGCCAAATTTGTAATGCTAAGTGTCTTCACTCTTACAAAGACGATTTGCTCAAAAATGTAGGAAAAACCGCCGCCTAAGAATGCAAAAAGTCCACTTCCGGTTGATGTGCGTCTCTCAAAAACTCTATTAGGGAGCTTAAGCAAAGACGTTTTTGAGCGACGTACGTCAACCGGAAATGAGGCCTTCTCCTTTTTAAAGTGCCTTGACGCTAACAAATTTGTAATGTTGAGTGTCTTTACTCTTACAAAGACGATTTGCTCACAAATTTAGGAAAAACCGCCGCCTAAGGATGCAAAAAGTCCACTTCCGGTTGACGTGCGTCGCTCAATAGGGGAGTGAGTGGAGTCCCCGCGTGGACACTGTTGCATGTGTGTTGAGTTAGTTGTTGGTTCTCCTTTCTTCTCCCAGAGATTCTTTGCCGGATACTCTGGTTTTCCTCTCTTCCCTAAAGCAAATATTTCTTAGTTTCTATTCAACAACAAGGTGCTTTAGAAAGCTTAAATGCAGTTGGTCAAGCCTGTGAATAAGTCCTTTAGGTAAAATGAAAAAAAAAAAAAACACTTGATTTGTGTTACAGTTGTTAGTCATGCCGGCTGCATAACAGAAGTAGGCACTGGGGTTGGGGCCAGCCTACCACCTACTAGACTCTGGGGTGGTACCTTGGGCAGCAGCCCCCTAGTCACCCTCGCATGTTTTACAATTCCCCTATAATTTGAAACATTAAAGACGTGACTTACTTTGAATTAACTCTAAAATAGCCTCCCCCTCCGCTAACCAGAGAGTATTCCAGCTCGCGATTCTTGCCTCTGTCATCATCTTGCGCCACCACGTTTGCGACCACGGTTCCGGGTTCTGGTAGTGTAGATAATTTCTCTTTGTAGTTCTGTTTAAGAAAATATGGTTTGTTGTCGTTCACATCAAGTACTTGGATTCGAACTCGTGCAGTGGCTGACTCGTGATTTCTGGTATCTAGAGAGGAAAGTAAGCCATATCACGGGAATAAGATACAATCGGCGACAAAATTGTGGATACACAGCCAATCAGTCAGTCAACAAACAATTAAGCCCGTGTTTAGGAACTTTTGAGGCAAAAACATTTAAGTATGATCTAGAACATAGTAGAGGAGACTGGTTAGGAAACCTGGCAAACCCGGCAAACATAAAAATTAACTATGTCTAGAACAAGACAGGGTGAGAGTGGCAGAGTACAGAATAAATATTATTGTTGTCAGTCATTTTAGCTTTCTTATTACGTATATTAACCTCTCTAATCTTGAAATATTTTATTATCCAGCTGTTTTAATTTAACTGTTTTGACTGTTTTGCGCTTTTCTCCCGCTCACCTCTCTTTCGCCCTCCCTTAAATCTAAACGTCTGGACGTGACAGGCTAAAAGAACTTCAACTCAGTCTGTACCCTTAATTCAAATCTTCATGCCTAAGGTTTTTTCTCGGAATGTTCTTTGCATACTTTTTAGCGAAGTTCTCTCGCGCAAAGTGCACCATAGGTAAGAAAATTAATTTAAGGTTATCTATGCATCTAACTATGCATAGTTTTATTTATTTATTAGCTGTTAATTGATCAAGTTTGTTTTTCACTCACAGTATAGATTTGCAGTGGTCCCAAATTCATTGTCTAAAGTAAATTATAAATGCATATACCGGAGCTTCGCTATTAGCTCTGGCTTAATCTATGTATTAGCTAGACTTACCTACAGCTCCTACTTCAAATGGAAAACGGTCCCTCGTTTCAAAATCCAGCGGTGTAATTAGTTTTATGATGCCCGTTTGGGGTCCAAGAGTGAAATATTTTTCTACCTGTGGGTCACGCAGTTCAGTAAAGTAGTAGGTTATTTTGCCTTTGTAGCGACACTTGCCTTCTGTAGCACTCACTTGCAGGATTTCTGTTCCTACGGGGGCACTTTCGTTGACATTTGCTAAGTACTGCGCAATCGGAAAGAGAAGCCTGTCCGTGCATCGTCCAGAAGATCGTAGAACTTTTATATAAACGGAGACGGGTGTAGAATTCATCGGTTTTGTTCCGAGATCCGTAGCATAAATGGTCAAATTAAAGAAATCGGACGGTACTCTAGTTAACTTTCGTCGCACTTTTAAACTGCCATTGTTGTCCAGGGAAAAGGTATCATTAAAATTGCCACTTGCTATAGAATATCGCACTTGTCCGTTTGTCCCAGTATCGCGATCCATAGCGGTCACTCCAAGTATAACCGAATCCACAGAGACGTTTTCGTTGATAATTTTTTGGTACGGGCTCATCACGAATCGAGGGGCGTTGTCATTAAGATCTCGAACGTTTACGTAGACGTTGGACGTATCTAAAAGATAATAGGCTGATTTAGCAACAGAACGAGAACGTCATTTGACGACGGGAAAGCGCGCTGCAAGGACTAAACTCAACTTCCGGTGCCCAATTTGCCGCTCAGCCATTGGTCAAGCCAGTTGTTTGATTTGCGCACGCCGTCGTCAACTGACGGTCCGGTTCTGTTGCCTGTTATGCCAATAAGACTCGCAAATGCTTTAAAAGGGGGCCAAGATCGCTTCATCTTGTGTCTAAGGGATCATATTATGTTTTTTTTTTCACCCCGGAGTGGTTCTAGGAAACCTATGTATTTAACTTAATGAACATTTCACAGGCACCTCACCATTCGTGTGCCTCTTCATTTCAAACAGTGGAATGCAGAATTATTGTAAGGGACGCGGCTAATTACAGCTTTACAAGTAATTACTTAACTATACCTGTTTCAGGGTGCCCGCTCGCGTCTCTCTTCTCTGTATCCTTCGCAAACAGTACCAACCTAATGCAAGGATGAAAAGCTATTCACCACACTGCTGTAGTATTTTTACTCTATCCGAGGTTGCCTTGGTAACAATAAAATAAGACTGAGCTGTTTCAAACCAGAGAAGGTAAATGATACTGAGGGATATAGTCACAGACGGTTATTTTTTTAAATCAGCAAAACCGAAACTGTTACCTGATACTGAAAGGATGTTAATTTCTTGTGATGAAAACAACAGCAATAATAAACAAAAGAAACATTGATACTTCCATTCCCAGAAAGTGGCCAAGGTAAAAACGTACCAAAAAAATCCTACTTTTAGGCACCGTCCACACTTATCCAGATATTTTTGAAAAAGGGATATTTTTTCCCTCTGTTTTCAAAAAAATACGCCGCGTCCACACGTAGCGTATTCAAATCGTTTTCGTCTCTCCATACGAAAAAATTTAAACATTGGTAATACGATACCATCTCTCACAGAGTATGCGTAATGTGGTAGTAAATGATGTATGACATCATTTTTTTCGCCAGTCCACACGTAAACGAGAGTGGGAATTTTTGAAAATGCTGGCTTCTGGAGAGCGTTTTTGAAAAGGTGCGTTTTCGGTGACCGTTTTCACCGGATACGTGTGGACGGTAGGCCAAACAGGAGGAAAAAAGGATCTATTTAGGTTTCTAGGAAACTGCCCACCTACCCCTCCCCTAAGCTAACATTAACACTTACGTCTCGCGTAGGGTAAAATGATGGTTTTGGGGAGGGGTAGGTAGGCAGTTTCCCAGAAACCTTTATTGATCTGAAGAAATATCCGTTTTCAAGCAAAAACAGATGCATGTGGACGAGGCCTTATTTTGTAGAATCCGAAGAAAAAAATACTGGTATTCAAAAGTTAAGCCAAGCGGGTTGCATTTGAATGGTTATACAATTTCGAAAATTAGACGTAGCCTCCACAGCGGTCGAACGAGTGAAATTTGCAAAAGTTAAGCGAAATACTTCAAAGTTAACGTTGCTACTTTCACTATCGAAAGTTTAAGGTAATACCAACGTCCTGTTAGTTTACTAAACTTTTTAAAAGTTTACTAAAAATGTTCTAAGTGATTGAAAACCGATGCTGACGTTATTATCGGCGCCATTTTCAAACATGATCCTCTTTTAGCGCGAAGCGTTTTCAGCGAAAGAAGCTCAAAATTTTGAGAAAAATGGAAAGATAGTTATGTTGACTAACTGATTTACACACCTTTGCCCATTTTTCTCTAACTGGTAAATGAAATCGCAGCAATAAAAAACAAAAATAACGATTTAGACGTTTGACAGCGGTGGTGACGTAGCCAAGTGTCGTAAGAATAAAACCAGCCAATTTTGTTCGGTTAGTTGGCAAACGCACAAGAATTGACATGAACCAATATTGCGCCTGTTTTACTGACGGGAAATGCTCTTAAGCTACATACTCCCTCTTTTCTTTCTTTCTTTCTTTCTTTTCTTTTTTTCCTTTTAACACCCCCCACGTTAGTTCAAACTTAGCTCCGGGGACCCCGCGTTTGTTTGAAACTATAGCCCATCTATTCAGAAAGGGGTTTTACGGCTGTTCTTGATAGTTTTGTATCTTCAGTTGCTATACAGTTTAAGTTTATTACGGCACAAATGAATGTCTGAAAGTTTTCTCAGCTACTTTCCGTTTATGACTGTGCGTTTGATCGAGAAAATTTGCTAGCATGCCCACTTAGAGCCTTGGTGTGTACAGAAAATGGTTTAAAACTCTCCGAAAACGGATTTTTTGAAGGACACTGTGAAGAAGACAGGAAAAAAAATAGCTGCAATCGATGATTAACAGGATCCATAGAAATCACCCTCTATATAGAAAGTAGTGTTTCGACCATTTCATTAAACCTTGATTATTTACATTTTTTTTGTTGTTGTTGTTGTTTCAAAAAGACATCGCTGTATTTGTTTTTTTTTAATAACATACCTGTAGCTTTTTACTTTCTCGTAGTCCATAGCTACCTTGGTTTTGATTTCTCCTGTGTGTTTACCAATACTGAAGTACCGATATCCGTTTGGATTTCCAATACTGTAAACCACTTTTCTAGATTTTCTGTCAAGCTTACGCTCCGCTTGCGATGTTCCGTGAATTCTAGTTCTTCTCATGCCAGTGACGGCGCGAACAGTGAGAATTGAAGTTCCGACTGGCGTGTCTTCAGCTACTGATACATGATATAAAGGCAAATCAAACTTGACTTTGTGCTTTTGAATTTCTTCGATTGTTATATACACATCTGCTACATGCAATGAACGTTTAGGAGGTGTTCCTTTGTCACTAACAACTACTGTCAATGTGTAGTTTGATCCTCCAAGCGTGAGTAACGATTGTCGCGTCCGTACGACGCCATCGTCATCTATTCTAAAATACGTTTTATTTCCTGTGATAATGGTGAAGTTAAGCTCTCCATTGACTCCATAATCATAATCACGTGCTAGAACTCTGGTCACGGAGTTCCCCGTTTTGATTGCTTCAGAGACGCGGATTGTGTATTTTAAATTCTCAAAGAATGGCCTATACTCGTTGACTGGTAGAACCCGCACCCTAACAATAGTTAAACTCTTGTGTGCTCCATTTCGTGCTTCCACTTGCAATTCGTATGGGCGCGTTGTGCGATCCACTCTTATTTTCTGATTGAGCAAAATTGTTCCGCTTCGGGGCAGTATCCGAAAAAGACTCCGGTAATTTAACAAGTGAAACGAGATCCGCGCATTTTCGCCTATGTCGGCATCTTTAGCGTTAACTCTGAGCACTTCGGATCCAATGGAACGGTTGCTGAAAATTGTCACCGAGTAGTTGTGACGCGAAAATACCGGTGGGTTATCATTCTCGTCCGTCACGTTGATTAAAATCACTTTGGTAGTCGTTTTGTTTTCATCGTTGTTGGTAGCCTGGATTGTTATAATGTACAATGACTTTGCTTCTCGATCCAGTCTCTTAGATGCCACTAACGATGCACTTTGTCCGCTAGGGTGTGGTTCGAGCTTAAATGCGTTTCCAGTGTTTCCTGCAGAAGACAAACAAACGAATAATAGATATACAGAAGTAAACATATAAAGTAGAATTTTTAATGCAGGTGATGATGATGCTAATTATGATGTTGAAGATGACGATGGCGAAGTGATTTAACCAGTTATACACTACGAGCAGTCTCTCTTTTTTCCTAGTCCGTCGAGCGAAACGCGCGAGACTCCAGAATGACCACGCGCGTGACTTAAGGAACGAGACAGGAGAGGCGTCTAGCGGCGTCGACGCTCGACACTCGCGCTCGCTTGAACACCCTTCACTAAAGCTGAGAAAAACAGAGACTACTCATAGTTTAAGCCATTTATCTCTTCTGTCCAAAGGTTTCTTATATCCATCGAACAAATCTAAACCTGAAATACACAAGTTACCGAATACCTTTTATAATGTTGTACTTTATTGATGAATTTTTGTTCCATCGATTCCTTGCGTGCCCAAAAATGTTCTTGATGATCTGTCCTGGTTGATTGTTCTCTTTGACTTGCAGCACGTTTGAGAAGTCAGTAAAAACAGGGGCGGCATCTAAAATAAAAAAGGATAAGATCAATTTAGGTCTCTGGAGAAACTACCCACCTACCCCTCCCCTAAGCTAACATTTTTCCCTAAGTGAGAATTGTTAGTAATGGCTAAGGGGAGGGGTAGGTGAATTAGCCCGAAAGATAGAGCCGGGGAACTAAGGAATGAGAAGGAAAGTTGTAAAATTCTTCCAGTTTTCCTCAGGAACAAATAAACCCAGGCTCAATAGATTTGGTTCCAAATTTTGATCCCTTCTGCAGTAAAGAGGTCATCAGGTGCTGGCAGTGAGAAAACAGACTTGTGCTTCTTTGTGTAGTTGTCTTTTATAATCTGGTAAAAGAATAAGGTAAACAAAAGAAAAAAGGGAAGAGAATACAGGAAAGTAGTCTCCTCTATTGTTAAGACATAAAGATTAGACGAAAGAGGTCTTGTAAGTTTAAAAGTAACCAAAGATGGATACGTAATAAACTTTCTACACTATTTCTAAAGACGAGTAGAGTTTGATATCAAGGATAAGAAATGATAATATTGTCTTCACTATTTTGATGGAAATCGCTCAACAAAATGCACACTTACCGAACCAAGAGTACCGCGTTAGTGAAGTAGAATACCCGCTCGGACCATCGGGCTTTGCAATTTTGCATGACGTTTTCGAAAAACACGTGACCATATAACAGACATCCCCCAATACAAAAGCTACGTCACCGGCTCGTCTGTTGCAGGCCTGACGCACGCACCATGGCACACTGGAGGCTTTTCCCAGGTCTGTAAATATTCCAGCTCTAATGTCCTTTTCAAATGTCCTGTTGTAATATGTTTTGTTGGCGATGCAAATAACGGTAGATGTTGGGTCATCTAGTGTGAAAAAGGGTTGTTACATACTTACAAAGCGTGAAATACACAATTCTTCTATAACAAGCATTCCATCTTCAAGATTTCATACTATGTACTCTAGAAAAATACACAGCTGTTTCTAACTTCCATAAAAAAAAATTGTGAAGACACTGGGTTCAAACAAACGAGGTCTCAGAAATTGCGGTAACGTTCTCTGAATTAAGGTAGAACAGTATTTTATTAGCTCCAGCAACATGTTTCTACAAAAAAGAAACTTCTGCTTAAAATTTCCCTTGACCCCGGGTTAAACGGCTTGCCGTCTCTTATGCAACTGGGCTGGGCGGGGCTGTCGCGGTGGTGTTTTACAACGTGAAACCCTGTTGTCGAAAGTTCAAAAATTGCTAAATTATGATTAAAAAAACCTTCCGATTGGGGTTTATCCCGGTAAACCCCAACCCCCAGGCTACATTTTACTTAAAGATTGCCCGCATGGCTATTCAGAGTCGGAGTTTTTTTAAATATTAAAGTAAGGCGACCGTATAATGCCACTTTTTGACAGTAAAAGGCCTCAGATGGTACTTGACTTGCTCAGGACTGCATGTACTATTACTTAAAACAAAAGTGCTAAGCGAAGTCGTTCTTTAAGTATCGCTTTGTATTTTCCACGAAGTGACCTGTTTTGGATGCCACCAAACGCTTTCCATGAAAACCAAAAAATCATAGCCTCATCTTTAAATTTTAGAAACTTTGGATGCCAACGTATTCATTGAGGATTTAATGAAATTGGACATTTGCCTGCATGATTTCTTGAAAAGGAGAAATGAAGGTGGATTTACAAATTGAAGAAGCAGAAAGTAAACGACAAAAGCATTTTTCATTTGTCCCAGCGTTGCAGCATTCAATTAACGTGAAAAGATAAACTCACAATTAACCCGAAAAGATAACGCAGTTAAACTTTGTGGCGAGGATACTCAGATACCGAAAATTTCAAATACCATATGGCTTCGCTTTAATCATGTAATTGAGGTTAACATCAAGCCCTTCAGCTTGAAAGCGGCAATACCACAGTCATATAATTCCTTTTGTACCCTCAATGTCGTCCTACTTACCAATAACCAAACTTTCCGATATTATGACTCCGAAGTTAATAAGTAAAAATATCACAGCGGCGATTCGTCCGAGCTCTGCTGGTCTTCTCTCCATCGTTAATTGATTTCTAAGATACAAGCATAAAAATCATGCAATGTTAGAAATCACTCTTGTCTGTCTTATGATATAATCAATGAGTTTACCACGAAAAAAATTTGCTTCCTCATCTCTTTCTAAAGAAGTCTTTTTGACTGCGATAAAAAATAACGGTTCTTACCAAAAAAATGCGCCGTGATATTCAGAGTCATTTTGCCATTATCGCAGTAAAATATTGCAGTTTATCAAGTCTTGTCAGAACTAAGGTAGCTTTCTGCCAGCAAGCGAAATAGATAATAGTCATTGTTTACATTGATCGATAATGAGCGAAATCGTTTGCGGGCCTTTCATGACTATTGAATGGTTTTCAATTTAAGCTGCTCCTTTTTGATTTTAGTAGCTCTAAAAGAAAAAAGAAAAAGTTGATCATAACAAAAACATTCGAGGTTTGAAGTGCATTCCTAATTGTTAAGGGAATTTATGGACCTTTCATATATTAATTTTTCGAAATTTAGGTGTAATAATAGTGACATATCCTCATCTTTTTTCTTTCAGGAAGTCTTTTATTTTTTTTCTTCTGGCTTATAGCTTCCTGCTTACGTCAAAGTTCAGTCAGTTTATAAACAATCAAATTACTTTTACTGCGAAATTAGAATGCGGCAAAAGCAAACAACTTTCGTTCAAGTTAAAACATAATTAAAAATAGTATCCAACATTTCCTGTGTTTTGATTGTTTTAAATGTAGGTTATGAACCCTGTAACAACCAAAGCTGTGGATACAATATCTTTCTTTCGAAGAAAAACAAATCTCTCCTCACTTTCACCAGATTATAGTGAGGTATTAATGATTCCTAGTAAGCTACTGTAGGTGTACGTCTCCAACCAGCGGAATCGAACCGGCCAAGTCATGGCTCAAACCCCTATGATTTTATAACTTTCTTGACTCTCAATCATGGCAGTTTCGCAAAATTAAAAGTTGACAAAAGTTGAATTTATAATGAACACGCTTGCTTTGCATTAATTGGTGTTCTCGGCGATGAAGCAATGCAGATATCGTTTTTCAATGAAAATTTCACCTCCTGAATTGCGACAAAATGGTTAGCAACTAGAATAAGGTACTAACAACATTGCGACAGGCTTTATCCCCAGCCTACTCCATGGGCTGTTTACACGCCCGGGTATTCTTTGACGTGGCCTTCTTCGTTTCTGCACTGCCATCGTTCCCTTGATTACTTTATACAGAGTACACTAGCAAAAACAGTGAATTATGCATAACTTTGAGGCGTTAAGATATTTTCTCCTGGCGCTTGAGGCTTACTAAGAAACTAGTCGCAAGTGTGACGATAAGCATCTTCAAAAAACCTTGATTTGTTTGTACTGGCTGGTAGATGTTACTAAAGCGGGGACTGAATGGAAAACGGGAACGAGAATATAGGCACGGGAAAACGATAAATAGGACCTAGCTTAAATCAGAGCTCTTTTAGTAACCTCATCAGTCACCCTTTGTGTTTTTTTCCTCACTTTTTTTCACTTCCCTTTTCACCATGCGCGTTCCCCATTCACGTTTCCTTGTTCCCCATAATTCTCGTTTTAGTAAAAGCCAGTTTCTTTGACCGTATTCCCGAATAAAAATAAATGGAATAAACAGGTAGAAATCACTTGTTCAGGGATTCATTACATCGTAACATCTGCAAATCAGGTAGAGATGTAGCCCTCTGAAATAATGTCAGCCTTTCAGAGGTCTGGAAAATCCCGGGAATAGAGATTGTTAAAGGAAATTGTGCATTCTTGTTCCAGAATACCGGTCAATCGAACGCGCCCCAACAATCTTGACTTGGCAGGCGTGGAAATAGGTGAATGAAAGTTGCTAGAAATGTTTTCTGTTCATTGGAAATGGTTGATGGTTTCAAGTGCTTCTGGCACTGGCTCAGTGATTTTACCCGAAAATATCCCCTCCCAATTAGCCTCTAACAAATTTGCTCTGACGAACTTTGAAGCTTTTTACGGTGGTTAAAAGGGCTGTGCCACGACTCTTTAGTTCATTTATGAATATTGCCAATTAAACGTCTTTATTCGCCAAGGAACCTAACGGTAGCAAAGAAATTGCCTGTAAAAGACAAATTCACAGCATCCTGTCAAACAAATGTGTCTTTGAAAAAACTGTGAGTCTAACAAGTTTTTAAAAACCATCATAGCAATCCGTTTTAATCTTCATTAGGTTTGTCGCTCCGTGCCTTCTTTTGCATTTCCTATGTTATACTACTACATGAGAAATTACTGCAATTTGATTGGCTTAGAGCAGTGGTATTTCAGCTTAATTTGAAATAACTACATGTGAAAATTACAAACCTTTTGTGGGTAGCAGTATCAACAAATAATAGCATGATTTGTACGTGATATTTGGCATAAATACCACGAGTGATATTTCAAAATTGTCTCAAATTTCACTCGCCTAACGTATAACAATTTTGAAATATCACTACAAATCATGCTATTACCTATACTTATTTATGGCTTCTTTCAATGTTCTGAGTGGTTATTTTTTGTTTGGTGGTGGATTCCACTGATTCAATTTTAATAAATTTCTTGATACAGATCCTTCAAGTGACGTTACAAAGACCTCACAAAAAAATCAAATTTTTGTATTTCACTCCCCTGCTGACTCAGCACAGTAGTGTGTTTTTAAACTAACCTCAGCCATCATTCTTTTGAGCGTGAATGAAGGACTGACACATTAAAGTGACAGTGGCGGACCAAGAAACCCCATACACTCCTCGACTTCATGATCGAAATATCTGAACTCTTGAGTTGGAATGCATTGTTTATACTTAAGGTACCTGCTGCGGTGTGCATCACCCGAATGTGGTAAATTATATTCAGCTATATGTTTATGATTTTATATAATCTTCCTTTGTACGGATGTGAAACAGAGTATCATTTTCTATACCAAGTACCGTTGGCACTAGTATACAAATATACATGCGCATTACCCACTGGAATCTCGGCGGCCTCTGAATGAAGGCTGAAATACTGGACCCTAACGCGGTACACCATAATTTCGTCAACGTTTTAAGACAACATTAACAAACTGATTTTAGCAAACTTTTCTTCCCTTTCCAGCCGTAAAGTCGCACCCCATCCGCAAAATTACGTGTTGTCCAAACATTTCCATAACATTTCCGAATAGGAGACGTTTTGAAGTTTTTTATTCATGAATATGTCAACTTCAGGTTGTGGAAGATTATTTTTTCTTTTTCAATATCAGACTACTCACTAATATAATGTTTCGTTTGTTTCATCGAAATAAAATTACCATTATGGCCATGTCTGACTCAACAAATCAACTAGTTTTTGCAGAAAGTCTTCTTATCCAAACTTCAACGCGAAGCACCCCGAAAAAAAGAACTAAGAACATCGATTTCACCGAGATGTCCAGATGTCGGTTGGCTATAAAGTTCTCTCTCACTTAGAAGCTTATAAATTGAAATGAATCTGTAAAGCGGATTTACCGTATTTACCTCATTACATCTCTACAGGTATACGTTCGTTTCCTTTTTGGTGTTCTCTCTAGCTACTAAATTAAATTTACAATAATTTCTTTAAGTGTTTTCACCGCTCTATAGATGTAAAGTGTTTCATTGTTTGTTTATTCAGTAGCTACAGTGGAAAGCGAAAGTTAATGTTACGAACTCACTATACCATTACCACAGTTTGTTTCAGTGCTTAATAACGTGTTCAAGTCTCTTAAGGCTTATTACTTTTTAGTTGTGAAATTTCGAGGAAATTTATCATACCTAGAGATGTTACGAAGATGTAAATCATCTTTAATGTTGGCTCCTAGGTCGGAACTCTGCCGCAGAACAGAAGTAATAGAGCGCATAAAACTCGTTGTCCACTACCATCAGTCACCCTCGGCAGAAGAAAAGCCACTTATAATATTACAAAGCGGATCGGATCATTTAAAAGTTATTTGCTGTTATCTTCACAGCGGTAGTGCAAGAGACTTGAGGTTAGTTTGGCCTTCACCCACGCTCCCCCACCCGCTGAGTTCAACAGGTATCCCATAAGCCTCAATTCCAACTGTTAAGCCAGGGGAGGATTACAGCGTAGTTCAGTAGTGTTCCGCACCTTTTTGTCTCATTTTATTAGCTGTACTGCGTATGGGGCTCTTGCGAATTCACAATTCCTTCTTTAACGTGGTAACCAGCCCAGTAAATATTTAGGAATCTCTTAGTGATTTTTTTTGAGTTCTTATGAGATAACTCTTTTGTTCAAGGACCTAAAGCGAGGGTGAATGGAGAATTTGGGGGAATTTGGGAGCAATTAGTATTTAGAGGTGATTGTAAAATTAAAAATTAATGTTAATAATGCACAGATATCAGAATAGACACGCTAAGAACCCACGTAAAGTAGTTCGGACAAAAACGACGCTGCTTGCATGTCTTTAGCCTCGTTCTTGATCACTCAGTAACAAACATTCGGTTTAACATGTTAACTTTCCTTAGCCTCCACGTTTATGGCAAAACGAGTTGGACTGTCAGTCATTCTATTTAGAATCATCACATCACTACCGGACCTGCCTTCAACCAATAAACTTACTGTCCAAAATCGGTTTAAATCATCCTCAGATGGGAAGTTTTCAAGCGCTCTGAGCGTTATCACGGAGGGACATTGTTGCAGTCACTTCAGTAGTTTCAGAGAGCTGCATTTTGACAGTTTTCAGAAGATTACTTTAATATTTGTTTCTTTCATATTAGCGCCAGATTGGAATAAAGCCTTCAAATTGTGCACGAAGAAATAAAAAAGAATTTTAAGTTTCCGTTAAATTATTGTGTCTATGATGAACTCAGCATGATCTTAGAGTTTAAAATCCAGAATTAAAATTTTGGCTTTACTTAAGTAAAGTAATTTTTTAACTTGCGAAACCGAATTGTTTGTAAAAAAGGGTGAAATAGACACTTACGGTTAGTGAAATCCAGATGACCAATCGTGGCGCTCTACGGTCTTTCAGAAGTTTTAGAATAAGCCAACGACGCTGATAAGTTCTTCTTTCCCTGAGATTGACGTTGAAAGCTAAGATTCAGATTTAGTTTTCCTGCCCTTCGTAAAGGCAACAGAGTGTTTCGTTTTCACCCAGCGCAAGGAAGAAAACGGTAACTGTTAAGACCTGCTACATCGTTTAATTTTATCTAGCGGGCTGATAAGTCCGTATTACGCAGCAGTAACTATTAATATTTGGACTGATTCCAGTTCATGCTGGTAATTAATCAGTAAAATTCATTATTAGCATTTCTCGGTGTCCAAATAAAATGTTGATGATTTTAAAAAGGTGCGTTTGCAACTGTACGCCTTTTTTATGTAAATGGAGTAAATTATACTAGACATAAAAACGACCGACTTTTTCGGCTTATGATGTCTTATGAATTGTTAAACGATTTTAGGTAGACTTTCATTGTGTAAATCTGTTTTAGGGTAAAGTTTTGCCTGTGGCGCTCGAATTATTTATGTAAACATCACAACGAGAATGCTTTGTACGTGACCACTAAGATTCATCAAGACGCCCGAGTATGTTTTGAGGTTAACCGAAAACCATTATACACTTGCAATATGAAGAAAAGTAAAATTCGAGATGAATATAGAATGGCGCACAGTGTAATTGTCAGCAAATTTTAATTTATAGCATATCTCACGCGAACATTTTTTTTGGAAAAATTAACTGCAATCAAGGTTGGAAATTTTTCTTTTTGATTTATCGAGGGAGTTTGTAAACAACACCTTACGGCGTTATCATTTAAATGAAAACTCTTTCGGTAACTCTTTGGCATGGTCTTTATATTTATCTCTTTAGATTTTATAAGATTAAATTTGGAATTTTCTTCTTGAATTCTTATAGGGCCACTCGTGAGAAAGACCGCGAGTCAAATGCTTGTGCAGGGAAAAATGAAACAGGTGCCTGAAACGCTTAACCCTTTAACTCTCAAGATGAGAAGTCTTGAGAGATAATCTTAGGTCGGTCGGTATACAGTGTTACACGCAAAATATTATCTTTAAATTTCTGAGTGAGATATATAGGGAAAGTTATTATCAAAAAGTATATTGTGCTTGACATTGTTAGTACTCGAGAAAACAATTTGTGCGTCGTTAAGTGCTGAATTGCTTTTCCAATGACCTTTGAGTGCCTTATCCCTTTAACTCTCAGATTGGTGATGGACGTGTAACTTCTCCCTATAATATCCAATACAATGTCTAACAGACAGGTGATGAGAATAGGCAAATTTATCAGCCAAATGATGCCACATTGATATAACCCCAAATTCTCTTAACTAAAGCATAATAAAATGTATGGACATTTTTTCAGTTCTCTATTTTTCATATGTACAGATTATCAGTTACATCTTGTGCCTAAGGGGTGATAGTCAATTTTCAGAGCTTTTTTCTTTAAAATGTTGATACTTGATACTTAAGCTGCGTAGGTTTGAGTACAGCCTCCTAGACTGACAAATGAAGGTATTTTTAGCGTTTCTTGGTTATTCTGGTTAAACCCAAGCGGGCTGTAGATCAAACTTTCATGGTAATCCAAAGACCTCTTGGGGAAAAGATAAATACACTTTAGGGTTATGCCATTGCCTACTTAAGAATAGATGATACCCAAGTTTTCGAGTTACAGGAAAACAGAAGGTTTCTTGAAAAGCTCTTCGGTTCGAAGTAGTGTTTTTGAATAACAGAGGTCGAAAATGCAGATTAATACATTTTCAACGTACCGGTCAGAAACTTACTGCAGTTCTCAGTCAAAAAAGGCTGATACGCAACTCTTAAGTGATTATTAAATTATCTTTAACTCATACAGTAAAACCTCTATTCACGGAACCCCCTCGGGAACGAGGTAAGAGCCCCCTAAATAGAGGTGTCCCCTAAATGAAGTTTGGGATGGCGTTTTTTAATAATTAACCAACAAAGAAAATAAACACTATTTTTGGTCAGTCACGTTTTGAGTACTAGGGTGTTCCCTGAATGGAGGTTAAAACTGGATTTCTGGACCCAGAAAAAATGTCCCTTTTCCTTGGATAGAGCTGTTCCTTCGGTAGAGGTAACAGATACAAAGATTACGTGAACATTTTTCCGGGACCAAATTTTGTGAACGCAGGTGTCTCTTTAATAGAGGTGTCCCAAAAGAGGTGTTCTACTGTAAAATACACTTTTAATTCTGCTTTCATTAGCGTGAAGCTCCAAAGAGTATAGCTACTTAGTATAAAAGAGTCGATGTATCACTTTTCGTAGTCGATGATCTAGTGCTCTCTTGTGATCAGTTCAGTTATTCTTATAACTGGTTCACTCCTGCTAATTTTCCCCATTATAAATCCCACTGTTGGCAAATCAAACTCAGAGGAGGAGTGAACGTCTTGATCAAACTTAAAGGTATTTTACAGTCGCGATATTTTATATATAAAAACTACGTTTCGTTAAGATTAGTTAATGACATTTCGTCACTATACATTTTCTGTCTTCCTTTCGAGTAACTATACAATTATTGAGCTTGTGTGAGAACTAATTGTAATTATTACCCTGCCATATATGCTCTTGATCTTCGTTGAGAGTGAATTTGTCGGACACTTGGCCTTTACAACTCAGCTCTGTTTAAGATCGAAAAACTTGTATATTTTCTCCTGATGAAGTCTTTTTTTCTCTCTTCACATTTTTCGTATACTTGGTTGCCTCACCAATGATCGTTTAAAAGCCTTAAGTTAGAATTGTATTGATCTTAAATTTTGCGTGGGCTGCGTCATGAAAAGTTTTTAAAGGCATTCTTCAGTTCAGAACAGATCCTGGTAGCCTCAGTATTCGACGACGGCGTAACTGCACACTTTGCGTTTAATTTGACCAGTAACATCTTCAACATCGACTTTTTACGTTGATTTTTATATGGTTGAAAAATTGCGTCACTTGTAAATAAGAGGACGATTAGCCTGCATAGTTAAAAATGTGTGGAATCTACTAAGCTAAACTTTCACTGGCCAGGCATTGATTTATTTACCTTTTCGGTAGTCAGTGAATTGTTTCTATAGAGATAATGTTTTTGTACTTTGTAATTTCGAAGGCCAACACAGAAGACAAGCAGCGTAATAAGAGAACTCAAATTGTTTATGACAAAACACTCGATCCGTAAAAAAATACGTCAGTGCAAAATGAACGTCCATTTTCTGAGTTTTTTTCCCGTTAATCTCAGCAATTAGTCGGTCCTTGTTTACCTCGAATGGTACATTCATAGATTTCTTTCCTTATTAGAGTTTTTGCATTTGATTACGATTGGTTAGCACAGGCAACATAATATTCGATAATACCTTCAATAAAATCTCATTCCGATACACGGAGGGTTATGTACTCGCTGTAAAATCAGTGGTTTACTAACTACAATTAAATACTCTGCGTTTATGTTTGTTAATAACGAAACTTAACCAAAATGAACTGGTGCGTGCACACAATATATATTACTATTGTCGCAAAGGCGAGTCGACACGAGCAGTCTAAACATGGAATTTGTGAAAATTGTACGCTATAAATAATGATAGGTAATGAGACTTACATTTTCTCCAGTTAAAGTGGAATCCTATTTTCGGTCCAGCTTCCTGTTCAGCATTCATTCGTGCAGCTTATCTGTTTATTTCCTTATTGGTTTCCTTTACGTCTAGGAACACAGTCTGTCGGGATCTTTCCAAAATACACTATGATACTTTGTCGAAACACGTTTTGAACAGATCTCCTCCAGTTTAACTGTGTCGTTTAAACGTTTGCTTGTTTGGAAGCTTCAAGAACGACGGAAATAGGTTTTTGATTTTGCTTATGTCCGCGACACGAAGCTGTTCTGCGTGTATTAGCAGTAAAATGCGTTGAATTATTCAAAAGTTTCAACTTAATTAATGATTATGTCACAGCCGCAAGTATTTTACGCGCAGCTCATCGACCTTCAAAGTGTTGTCCAAAATGATTAAACCTGAAGGTTTTCATCATAACTTATTTATTTCCACTTTACAATCGTATTTTTTTATTACTCGTCAAAGTTTTTTGAGAGCTTCTAAGTAGCCTCAATTAATGAATAGCAAATTCACAAAGACTGGTTTCTCGAATATGCCATGTTGCACCCTAGTAATGTTCAACTGCGAACATTTTTGTTTAATCCAGAATTGCTACGTTCGTGTATTTATTGATCCATATTCTCAAGTTTGGTTAATTTATCCCTCTTGCTTTGCATGATGGTGATTAGATGAAGCACATCTTAAATAGCTAATTAACAAGTGACAGTGTAGAGAAAGGATTAACAGACTTTTCAGCAATCACCTTAACTTGATAGACTTTAACATAAACCGTGTTCGAAAGATCTAAGTATTAGTTGGTATCGTGGAGTATACTTGACCAATAGGGTATTCAGTCTCGATAACAGATTTTAGTTGCGAGAGTCAATCATTTAAATAGCGTCATAAACTTGTTCAAACTTCCGATGAACAGATAAGTGTCAATTAGTGAAGGGATTCAGTGATGCTCTTTGGATCGTATCAAGAGGGCTGCAATTTGAAGTACTCTCAAGCCTTGGTCCTTTCGCATGTTAACGGCAAAAAACGGCTTGAAAATTTAAATTATTATAGCCACAGTATGATTCAGTTAGAAGTCATGCGGCAAAAATGACCGTTGTCCATGTATGAATGCGCTCCCTTAAGCTTTCGATTTGGGTTGAAATTTTTGTCTACAGGGGGTCAAAATGACTTCGCCGATTCTGACTTAAGATGGATGTTTTCAAGCATACACTTAACACCTACTTCCACGCAGCCTCGGGGCAAATCTATAGTATTTTCCTAAAAGAGCAATTTTTTAAGGTTAAGCCAAGCCCTTTACACATTGTCGTAGTGTTACGTGGCGTCCGCGATAAACTGGCTTTTAATGAAAACAGACCCTAAACAAGTAAACAATGTTTAGATTAACGCGGGCTATATAAATATTGAACAGTTTATTAAACTAAACTAACTCCATGACTTAACTTTTAACGTCTTAACTAAATAAAGACTGATAGTGGATGGAAGGTTAAAGATACGCACTTACCTATCAGGATAAACAACTGTGATAAACTCTGTGCAGTGACCTTTTGGAACGCCAAGATCTGCTGGTCCCTTGCCGTTTGGCTGTTGTGTCCTAGTTTTCAGTCATTCTTTCGTCAACTTCCTTCACTTAAGAGCTTTTTGACGTTTTTCTTGCGTTAGGCTTTGACTCTGTACGAAAAAGAACGGAAAGCAAATGATTCTTCGGGTGAACCTGTACAAGTTGTTACGTACATTCGTTCCTCCTTTGTTGACGTAATTTCTATCCCTCTGGGGAGCTCAAAACATCGGCAGAATAACAAACCTCAACAACTAATCACAATTAAACTTTGCGTCGTTGCAGTTTGACTGCGAAAACGCTGCAAGACCTAAGCATTCTTACTGGGTGAGAACAAAGGAGTAAACGAGAGAACACTGGATTAAACTTGAAAGCATTCAGTTTGTGTACAATTGCAAATGAAGGACAAGGAAATTATACGCACCGTGCAATAATACACGATGAAACACTTTGAACTTGTGCTAACTCAGGAGCTGCTAATTTCCGTGGTCCTCGTGCGTTCTGGTAACAAGACGTTGATAAAAATAACTCAAGGCAAATCTGTTAACTTTCACTAAGAAAAGCTATCACTACAATTCTTCACAATAGAAACAACAGGACTTAAGCAGAAGGCAGCTCTCCAACTGTGACTTTGCTTTCTCTTCTTTCTTGACACAAACTTCACTTACCAAACTAACCCTGATTTTTAAAACCGATCATTTCAGATTTACTTTTTTCATGTTGAAGGTAATCTCTTTTTAGCTTATGAAAACTATCATTTGCGAGAAGCAGGGTCCTTACTTAAGGTGTACACTGCTTTTCCGTTGTACGTACAAAAAAGGGCCGCAAAGCGAACAACAAGATCGCCGGGCTGTGACGATCCAGTTTGGTTTTATTAAACGAAGGACTAAAAAGGCAAAACAATTGTCTCGTACAAAAAACAAAGATAAATCACAGTTACTGAGATACACAATGGCTTTTTGTTAATGAAATGCGTGGTAAAAACAATGGCTGTCTTTTTAAGCTATTCTGTTTTTAAAATATAAATTTAAAACTAAATAAGGCTTGAAAATATCTGTCCATTAGTTTTGTTTGGCCATTCCATTTTCCCATAGATGTAGGAATTGTTATATGTCGGAGTTTTACAGAGAACAAATACCTTATGAGATAGCAAGCCTGAACGATCCTGCCAGTGTATTCGATAAACCTTGTTTTAGAGGAACTGCAAATTAACCATCACATTTCTCTGTTTGTCCCATAAGGCTGCTTCATCTCATGATAAAAAAGCAAGAAATTTACCATTTTTTAAAAATAAAATAAACAACGATTACTGGCCGTTTTTGCGGTGAATTACGCCGTATAGAATAACAAGAGAAGCTAAGAGAAATAATATTCTTTGCTGCTATTGCTAGTTCGTCTAGCCTTATAACGAACAATCTGTTATTTGAATGCAACCCTTCTTTCTTAGGGGGCCCTTTACCGCTGTAGGAAATTGAAGAAGTTACAATTATTCACCACATAAGTGGAAAGTTAAGAAAATTTGAGTGCACTAGAGATCGGCTATTTGCGCTCTAGGATTTCCTGAGTGCCGCCATTTTGAATGATTATGAGGTCATTTTGTTGCTGTTTTTGTCGCATGGTTTCCAATCAGCACCAGACGCGACGAGTTTAATGGGTCTGTATAAAGCTGAAAGACCCTTCCGCCACGTTTCTTACTGAGAACTGCTAAAAACTACAGTTCTTATATGGTAGCAGGATTTTCTGGACGGCCCAGCAGCGCCTGCTGTCATTGGTTACTTTGTATTCACATGACATCTTACAATTTATCTGCTTCCCTCTGAGTGCGAATCAGCAATGGTTTCCGCAATACCACGAAACACCCGAAACATAAGAAGAGGTGCAATGTTGACTTCCAGTCTATTTTTCTGTTTACTTTTAAACAAATCACTTAAAGACTGCAAAACTCGCCGGGAAACTAGTTAATTTATTTTCCTTCGAAACATTGAGATATTGTGATTCTAGTGAAATAAAATTATCTGAGTGTCTCTCTCGGGGCCGGTTATAATTATAATAGCTGTTGAAGCCGCAATAAAGTATTAATGAAATCTTATTCACAGCAAAGAGATTCATAACTGAAATAGAAACTATCGACAAAAGGTTTAACAGACTGTAAAAAGCATCTTTATCATGCCCTTTATTTAACCCCCGGAGGAAGCCGAAGTAAACAATTATTTAAATGAAAAAAATGCTTAGTTCCGATCAAATTTGGATATGCTAGGCCTAAATTAAGAAGTCAGTTCAGTTGTTTTACATAAGATTTCAAGGAAAAGAAAGTAACTGTGTAACGACCTCCTCGGTCTTAAGAAACACCTCTAGCGCAACCGGTTGATCAGGAGCTGGAAAAAGTTGGCTTGAAAAAGTTAGGACTATCTCGCATATAAAAAGAAAAATTTCAAAATTTAACAACGCCTATGCATATTCTGAATCGATGTGAGGGCAGGTGAAAACTGGTGTGTAAAATTCGTAGACTGGAGAGATTGTACTATCTACCAGGACAAATGCATTGATGGGCAAAAATACATGAAAAAACGTAACGGTGAAAGCGAACGTCACAGTGTCACCGACGAAATATACGGAGTATGTATGATTTTCGTCGCGGTAAAACGTCTCAACGTCTCATTTTCCTTTTATATTAACACGAGATCGGTCGTTATTTAATAGCTAGTTTACGTAAATACTTCTTGCATTTTTATCAAAATAACGAACTCAACGTTGTTTTTTCTTCGATGAAAACGCTTCGCCCTTGGACTAAATGATCTTTACCAATGGCGCCGGCAACTCGGTAGTTCCATTTAAAGACACGAAACACTTTTCAGCTTCTGTTAAAATATGGTTAAAGTATTAGAGGCTGAACAGTAGAATGCCAAGCTAAGTTTTCAAGTTAGTATTGCTCAGTTTTTTTTCCAAGTTTCTCTCGTTTATGACGATCAACGATGAATCACTGTACCGAACCCATGCCGTGAATATCACTAGAGAATGTACTTGTAACTGTGATGGAGAAAATAATACGAACTTGCACTCGGTGCTTGTCAGGTCCCATTGACCACTACAGAAAATACCATAACATACCATAATACTCTTTGCTGGTCACTCCAAAATTTTGCGTAAGAATTGTTTTCAGTTTCTCTTGGGGCCATTTTAACTCCCAAGAGAAACTGAAGACAATGCTTATGCAACATTTTGGACTAAGTTACAAAGAGTATTATGGTATGTTATGGCATTTTCTGTAGTGGTAAATTTCCCTTTACTAGCCTATTAGTGGGTGTCATAGCATGCAAATATAGAGTTGGTTTATCTTTGTTTCTTTCTTCTTTTTTTAAAATTTCGAACCTCGGGAATAAATTAGATCCAGTATCCGTTGAGCCTTGAACAATAAGGAAAATATGATCGCGCAATTCACTTGGTTCTAACAGCTTCAGGGTACATTTTGAGAATTATCGTTTATTATTAGATTGTGAATTGTCTCTGCAGCCTTTATATTTTGCCTCTAAAAAAGCTCAATTAATATCGGGTTTTGATAGCTGAAGAGATAGGCCCGGGTCAAACTTCACCGTACTTGACACGAATCAAAAACAATTCGTCTAATATAGCTTAATTGGCAAAGGTTGTATTCCACTCTCTTAAAGTGTGGCTTTCGACCCGAAGCTAAAACACTTGCCAATTTATCACTGAACAAGAAAGTGACTTAGCTTTGCCGTTTAATTTTCTTCCAAAGAATTGTTATGACTGGGAAGTAAACTGTTTTCTTTGGAAATCACGGCGGTGTAAAGTACAAGATGAGAACAGTAAGGTATATGCAAATTATCGTGCATATCACTTTTGCAAAAATCACCAGTTTCTGAATGGAGTCGACAAATTTCTATTGATAAATCTGAAACACAGATTGATATAAGCCTATTGTTATTGAGATGAATTTCAAATAAAAAGTGGAGGTTCATAAAAAAAACTCATGTGCTTTGCCTAAAAAGTAATGATAGATTGATTCGAGCCCCAAGGCACGGCAATCCTTTTCCCGTAGCTTGCACTAAGTTGCATAAAAGAAGACTTAGCCGAAGCATAAAATAAGGTCTACCATGATAAAGGGAGAAAGTTCTGTTGGTGAAAATATATTCAGAATCGACAGAAATATCGAATATCAGACTGCGAAACTGTGATTGAATTGTTTTCCTCTCGGTAAGAAATTAGCAAATAAATACCCACCTAAAAATAATCAATTAAATCTGCAACCACATTAACCAGAAACTTTACTTTCTCTTGTTTTGAAATGATGTCAAGAGCCGAAAAGGTTATTCTCAGTTTCCGTTATCATTTTTAAGCACTTTTATTCATGAGAAAGATTTTTTAAATCACCAGAAAAATAAAATGATGGGAAATGAAGCAAACTCTAAAATTATAAGTCGTTTAATTATTTAGATGAACTTTCATCCTTCGTTCTTTGCAAAAAAATATACTTTGATTTCTTTTTCTTAAAGGGGGAAAATGGTCAAACAAAAGAATAATCTTGCAAAAAACAAAAACCATGTACTTTGGCTTAAGTCTTGAAAAGGAGTTTTAAGTGAGTGATGCTTTAGCTTTAGTGGCTGATCTAATATTCGACACAAACCTTATAAATTATTAGTGCCTTCATATAAAGTGCACTCCGCAACATTTCTCTTACCTTCCTTTGTTTATAGCTCTTAGAAGCTTCATCTTGTAGGCAAATAAAAGTAAATCCCTGTTAACAAAAGACCTCTACTTAAAAGATTACGGCACGAAGTATGTTGTCAGCTAGCGGAGGCAATTTTCTTCGCGGTAAGTTAAATTCCGTCACAAAAAGTATTCCTCCGAGACACAACATTCTCGTCCTCCTACACAAGAAGTTACGAAATTGTTAATAATTCAACACACGGACTTCAAAACCCGTGGGAATAAATGTTTTAGCCAATAGGGTACGAGAGGTAATTTTTGCATAGCTGTTGACAAGATTAGTTGTCAGTGACTACCCAGGTTACTACACTGCACTTTTTGGAGAAGGACTGGGAACGCTTTTCTTTCAATTTTTTTTTTCTCTACTGACTTGTGGCCGGACACTAGCGCCAAATATAAGCAATGGTGAATGAAAAATAATAATGATGATATTAAATGACTATATTTATAATAATTATGATAATAAAATTATAATAATTATACCACTTGTCACATTTTGTATTAAGCATAAAGTCAAGCAATCCCATATCTCTGAGGGAAACACTTAGAAAGAAAGTTAGACCACAAATATATGATTTGTGCCGTGCTTGTTCAAGATAAGAGGCTACAGCTAGCCTTTTCTCGAGATGACTCCATTTAGTACCAAATCATTTGGTGGTAATTGATGCTCAATCGAAAAAACGAGTTGTCGACCCGCGACTTCAACCTCCGGCGTCTTCTTGAGGGATATTGTGGGGACTAGATGTATGTACCAATTTTGTAAAATTATTCCATTTACGTGTAACAAAAGTGACGTAATTCCTAAGACTTCTGCGCTGATATTGATATTTTATCACTGAGAGCAAGATTATGAAACAGTTGAAACATTCGATACGTGGCCAGGGAAAAGCCTTTAAGAGACTCATCGAAGCATCTTTTGAAGAATGGGGTAAAAGCTGGATTCGCAAAGCTCTGCACAATCTAGCCTTTCCCCTAATTTTTGGGCTCGCGCTCTCCGACTAGATACGGCATTTTTTACCACGCAATAAACATGACCATGATTTGAGGAGACTGATAAACACTTCATGTCAATTTCGTGGTAAGCAGTAGGTTAGAATCCTTTGCATCTATGATTTTAACTGTGAGTCATTTTCGGCAGTAGATCGTGGTTGCAAAGCATTTAAAAGTCGTATCAGCAAAACAGCATTTTTTAACGTCACTATTAATCTTCATTGATGTTTAGCACTATATTACCAATTTCAAAATTTTCATACTTGAAAACACGATTGCATGATTTACTTGCGAAATATAAACTGTTTTAGAAACACAATCTTCTTCTCCAGACGAGATTCAGACAAGAAGCTCCTCTATTCATCTCACTCATCTCAACAAAAATTCCTGTATTCGTAATTATCCTACTTTAATCTATTAACTCATTATTGTCACTACCATTTCAACTTTTCAACTTATACATTTGATTTCTTATCCCACGTATTCAAAACAGAGAGCGTTGAAATTGAATTGTTGAGTACATAACAATTTGAATCTGTATGGTTAATTGAGACCAGTTATGTTTCCTTCCATCACACTTGCTTCTTGTATTAAAACACCTTCCAGATTTATCTCGTCTGTGATAACCCTGATTCGTGGCAACTCATTCTTTTCGTGAGATGCGCGTACCCTTCACGCAACAGAAAAACACGATGACCGAAAGCAGGATAGAAAAAGGGAATTGCTCAATAAAGCTTTTAAATACATCGTCGCTCTTTCTCACCTTTTTTAATCAGATGGCTCACAATTATCCAGAACAGTAAATACATGTTCAATAGGCTATGGTTTTAAACTACTACTTCTAAAGCTCAAACAATTAAATTGTGATTTGGCGTGATTCTGTGACGGTATTGTTCCTGAGGTGTTCATACTACAGCTATACTAAATTGAAAGCGATGGGTAATAAGGAAGCAACCATTTACCTACGACGAGAGCAGCACGCGTACATCGATCGCCTCGAAATAAACTGACGGCAATTTTAAGGCCAAATGTTTGAAATGGTGAATTAGTAAATCCTTAAGGCTTACCGTCACTGACTTTCGTGGTTAATGTTGTTCTCCCTATGTATTGATTATGTCTTAGCAGTGTTTTAGTTCTCCTAAAACCTTCCAGAACGACGACTTTGTTCATACACTATCCTTATCGTTTATCTAGAGTTTCGATTTCAAATGGCACCAAGGTTACCATGTTCACGAAGATGACTGGTCGGGCTTTTTTGGCAATCGTTTCCTTTTTGGATCTTTCCGATAGCGCACGAGGAGCCTACAAAGGCACGGCAAGGGGAAGCATGCGCTGGGCCTGGTGAGTCATTTGACAAACATCTTTTTAGCAAAACGTTTTCAGAGTGTATCAGTTTTATAACACTGCAGCTTTAATAATCGTTTGTGAAAAAGAAAAAAAGCAGCAAAACCGTGACGCAAGACTCCGTCATTAAGAGAATTGTCTTAGCCCCTCTTTAGCCGGAATTCGTAACCTCTAGGTCAGTCTTCAAATGTACTTACGATTCACTTACGATTGGTTCGGCAGAACCGTTTGTCTGTTGCGATTTTTTCGGCTCGAAAACTGTTTTTTAAGAAACCTTCCGCCGCACTAAACTTTGACGTTAGCCAGGGAAAAACAAATTCAACTATTTGATTTATTCTATGACAAAAACAAGCTTTATTAGTGAACAGTCGGGCGCAACGATGGGAAACGGCAATGACTTCCTCCGTACTGACCTCATCATATCGGGCCATATCTTGTCACGTTTTAATAATTGTTTTTTGTCAGCCTTTGACCTTATTGTCCCTCAACTTATATATACGTTTCTCGTAATTTACACCGAAACGATTCAAGAAGGCAAGCGTCATTTTCAAGAAGTGAGTTCTGATTATCTGGTTAAACGAATCTCTTTAAGCCTGACGTCTGTAAAGCACTGTCCAGAATTGCACAGAAAAAAAAGCGCTAGAGAGACTGAATACCATCTGGAACGACAAGACAAGAATAGACTCGTACCAGCGCTCTCTTGTTGTCTCTGTACTCTTGTACCGCTTGCAGATTAACCTGGAAATTGACAGCGGACTGAGATGCTTAAGGGAACTGCTGCAGCTTCGCTCCGTCACAGAAATCGCGCCGCCACAACCGTTCTTGTGTGTGAACAGACACTATCTGCATGATTTTTGTGTCGCGATGAAGGCACAAGTGGAGGCATCCATTAGGCGTTGATTGTTCTTTCTAAATTTTTCTGACTCGTCAAATAAAATCCAGAGCTAAGCTGTTGCCTTCTCGGCTGTCACTATCTCATGATATGGAATGTACTGTTTAGGAAATCTTCCTCTGGTACCAATCCTCTGTTTCTCCTGCTGTTTTAGGAGGGTGCCAATGGGGTTAGCAGTTAACTGATAATTGACCAAAAAAATAGTAGTTAACAGGTATTTGGCCAAATGATGTACAAACGCTTAAATCGCACTGAAATTTCACAGAAAGAGGTGACTAATTGTATCTGTTTATTCTAATTCTTATTCATACAATTTCTTATATATCATGCTTGAAAGCCTTCTCTCACTGTCCCAATTAAAATTTCGCCTAGGCGTATGATCAATGATACATGTATATCTCATCTCTAATTGAATAATGAGGCTTTAGGAATTCACACTGTTGTGTTATTACTTTGTAGTACAACAACGTATTTGAATTCATAAAAATGCAACGTAAAGTCACTGAGACAAAATCGACGGGGTAGTCAAATAAGCTTTTCTAAACAAGCATCTCGAAAAAAATTTAACTCGTTGATCATTCCATCGCGGAAGATAGTAAGAGCCTTCTTCTTTTCCTTAGGGCCGAAATGAGAATCAACAAACTTCTCCAGGTGACCTTTGTGATTTGGCTCGGTCTCGGTTTCTTTAAACCAGCCTTTGTAGTACCGATTCGACTTGGCAACAAAATCAATGAGCTGATTGACAATCCACGGCCAAAGCATGTGGCACGGTAGCATGGCAATGGCTAGGAACTTGGGATAATCACGGCTTACTCTGCCCTCATATTCCACGTAGGTCTTTGCTGCAGGACCCAGAACTATGCTTTTGGTATTCTGTAGATGCCAGGTCGTAACAAATTCTTTATTGTATTCCTTCAAACTCATTGACTGTGACTGGTAGATCTCTAGACTGTTCACAGTCCTCTATTTTTCCGTAAGATCGTCGAGATCGAGCGCTTTGCGTTTCGGGCTGCATCAGGCATGAGTGTCAAAACTACTTAGGGAGCAGGGGGCGGTTTGGGAGGAAGCGAGAAAAATAGAGGGACTGTAATAACATCACTGCAGCTCGCGTTCAGGAGGCGTGACAGGAATTTCACGCCTTTTACCATTCATTAATTAAGAAACTCCGCTGGCGATGAAAAACATGCCAGACACATTTAGCATCGATTACGCGTGTTTACAAATACCTCCTTTCGAAACAGTGATTTTATAATGTTTCTAGGCCATTCCTACAAATAAAATCGGCAAACAGGCACAAGAGAAACATTTTCCTAATCGAATCGCTAAGCATGCTCACTTGACCATAGACTAAAATGGTTAAAACGTCCCGATAAAAAGCCAGGCATTTCTGACAGGTCATCTATTTTGCGTCGGCGTTGTGTTAAATTTCAGTTCGTTTGGCAGAAACTGTGTTACAACATTCCCGCGGCCGGGCTACTTCCAAAGCATGTTGGCTTACGTGATTCATCCACAAAATACCAAAAATCGTTCGTGTGTTTGCGCAAGTTGTACCTTACGGTATGAAAGCGTGCGTTTTATAGAAACGACGACTTGTCAAAGACTTGTCAGTGTCGGCAACTTAAACTAAACCCGTTGTCAACGCAAATTAACATCTATTGTCTTATGACCAATCAAACGCCTGCGTTGCTGGTACAACGCGCTCCGTGAACGCAAACTGCAGTGATGTTATTACAGTCCCTCTATTTTTCTCGCCCACCTCCCCCTAGAGCTATAATCCCCGACGCCCGCCCCCTCGGTACATTTGAAAACCAAGATGGCTGTCATTAAAAGACGCGCTATATCTCAACGATCTCACGAGAAAATAGGGGACTGTGAACCTCCCCCTAGAGCTATAATCCCCGACGCCCGCCCCCTCGGTACATTTGAAAACCAAGATGGCTGTCATTAAAAGACGCGCTATATCTCAACGATCTCACGAGAAAATAGGGGACTGTGAACAGTCTAGTAGATCTCTGAAAATTCAAACATTTCTTGTTCTTCCATCTTCCTAGCAGCCTCGTCAAACGCTTTCACAGCATCAAAGCAGTAGGCAGCATCTTGCACCATATAGCCTCCATAATAATTTGGGTTCAGAGTTCCCGAAATCATCCCTTTGATAAACTCCGTCTTTATAGCAGCATCTCGAATCTTCACAATTTCTTCATTATTAAACAAGTCTTGGCTGAAAGAAGGACCATCAACCACGTCTTTCCTGAGGGCCGTGGTCATGCGTTGTCGTAGGTGTTTGCTTGCTGGAAAGGAAAAAGCAATTAGCTTGCATTGATTTAATAGGTTAATTTGAATGAGAGAGGACCAAATTATTTACGCTGGGGAGCATCTCAGTTGTCGTTTTGGAGTCAGTAAAGTGGCGTCTTCGCATCTCGGTCAGGTCATCGAATTTGCGCAACCTCCAACATCAGCTAAAGTGGATATTGATACTTGTATTAATATAAATCTAGACCACCGTCCGACGTTCGCACGGGGGGCCTGGCGGGTCTTTTTGGTCATAGGTAAAGTACACCAGTTTAGTAAAATTACTACAACCCAGCAGTAGTCACAAGATTTTTAGTAACCAATCATTATGCGACAAGTCTAGAGCGTAGCAATTCTTAGAGCTGGGACAACTAGGGTTATGCGCATTTTAGTCTTTCCAAGCAGGCAAGCACTTCAATCTAGCAAGTCTCTTTTAGCTTTTCAAGTAAAATCAGCTAAAACAAAAGTAAAAAATGTGTGCGAGGTCTGCTGAATAAGTAGTTTCAGTCTCAATAATCAGCAATAATGTGGAGAGTAAAACCTTTCTTTATGCTATCGTAAACGACTATTGTTATGTTTTAATTTCGCGTTTTTAAAAAACTAAAAAGGACTTAGCGCTGCACTATGGGGCCCGACTTGGTAGGTTTACAAACGATTGTGATGAATCGATGACATCAGATCAGTGAGATCAAAAAGATATCGTTGAACAATCCATAGGTCACAAATTTACATTATAGGTTATCGGTGTAGATTGATTAGGGTTATGGCTCATAAGCAAGCCATACATTATGTAATCGAATGTAAATAAATAAAAATAGAAACAGAAGTCGGGGAAAGGGAAGATCCGCGTCAATAAGATGGATAGAAACCTTTATTTCAATAGAGTGACTCTTCAGTTTTTGTAATTCTCAAAAACTGCTACCATAGAGGCGTTATATAATAAACTAAAATGGAATAGAAATAATAATGATCATTATGTACAAATAAATATAGCTATAAAATGTCATATAAACACATGTCACAGATGTAAGTTATTGCTTGAGAATCGGTTGCGCTAAAATACATAACCGTGTCATCAGCATACATCAATATTTGACATTGAGTTAAAATCTTTGAGAGATCGTTTGTTTATAAGGGACCTAAAATTGAACCTTGAGGGACTCCAGACGTAATTGAGCAATAATGAGAGGTCTCTTGCCAATGCTAACAACTTGCTTGTGATTAGATAAATAGCTTTGGAAACAATCTAGTTCAGTGTTCCTAAGTCCATAGTTACGATGCTAGCTTGTTTATGAATAGATTGTGATCAACAGAACCAAATGCTTTGCTCAAGTAAATAAACACAGCGCCAGTATAAGTAAACTTTCATCCATACCACGTCGAATGAAATCAGAAATTAAAGGCAACGGCAGCAAATTCAGAGGAGAAATTTGACCTAAATCCACACGCTGAAAAGTAGTTTCTGGGTGTGAATGTGTATCTCATTTTTTTTTATTTCTATGTATACGTGTGCCCTGTGCTCTTTTCCTTGCCTCAGAGCTACTGAAAGGTCATTTCAATTTTGGCATCGCCCAAAGATGCAACCACTGTGTATGCTCTTAAAAACGGTGATCAAACAGTCTGAAAGCCTGGAGTTGAATTCCTAAAGCCTCCTTCTACAGTGGGGGCGGTGACGATAAAGAAGGCGTCTTCTAACATGAGAAAAGCAATTGTTTATATTAAATCGAACATTGGCCGGGACGCGAAGCATCAGCATGTAGTAAAATCGACCAACCATTTTCACCGCTCTGTTAGGCTTAGGCCATGTCTACAATATACGGGTGTCATCAGATGAACGCCGCTAAAATGCAAGCTATAGCCGTTGAGCCGTAATCATACGAGTGAGAGTTCCATGTTAATGATTCTAATGGTGATACGAAAGATACACTTAAAATCCTAAGAGTGGTCTTAGACAGTAAATTAACATTTAAAGCGCACATAAAGGAACAGCTGAATAAGGCCTGCGCAAAGGCTTCGGCCCTGCGGAGAATACGTATGTTCATTTCTAAGGACGTATTAGTTCGTCTCTACAGGGCTTATGTTCTCTCTCATGCACCTAGAGTACTGTAGTCCGCTTTTGCTAGGAGTAGGTAATAATACTGAGACTACCGAAATAGAGACGACTAACTATTTTATATTAAGAAATATGTTAGGCCATTCTCAAGTCTGTGTCATACGACTACCTCCCCAAAATACAACGTAGGCAATTCCAATCTTTAGTTATGTTGTTCAAATGCTTGTACGACGAGGCGGGCACCTTACATCAGTGAATTTTTTAATTTTAAGGATGTACCGTACAATTTACTTGGGCTTAACACAAGGCTGGATTTACCTCCATTTAATCTGGAGTTTTTACATCGATCCTTTACATTTTTAGCCAGCAAACGTTGGAATGCGTTACCTCCAAAAGTTAGAGAATCACAAGACATTGCGTCGTTTAAGCGATCTCTTAAAGCTCAGATGGCTTAAAGTGTAGGGATTGTAAATTCTTTAAAAAGCTTTATTTTGAGATTCTGCTTTTAGCAATTTTGTAGATCAATTTATAGTATTTTAACAGTTGTAGTAATGTATAGGTTACTAGTATACTTTTACACTTTTTTTTAATTTGCGCACACGTACACGTTTTAACGAGAACTGTGGTGCTCCTGGGTGTTAAGTGTCTAAATGAAGGATTTGATTTTGATCATAGCGGTATGAAGAATACTTCGGCCAAGTATGTACACCTGTTCGCACTGCCACGAAGAGTACAACAGAAACATATCCACTGATGGATGACGATCCACTTTGAAGATCGCCTACTTTCTCGTTTTCTCTGTCTTTCTCCTTCTCTATTATATATTCCAAATATGTGGACATGACAATATAGATTATTCGATTTGGAAAAATGGGACCCGGTTTCCCAGAAAACTGTAAATCCGATTAAAATGACAAAACGGATACGAAACAAATTTCCGCTTTCCGCGTTAATTTTCCTTTAAAAAATATTGAATTTTCTCAGGTCTATGCGTAAAGTTCTGAGAGCTGCACGGTTTAAAGACTTTCAAATTTTTATGTGACAAAGGACTTTAGGCACTAAATGATAAATTAGCCTACCACCCACCCCACCCCCACCTTACCCACTATTTTATTGGGGACATGGGAACTTTTTCATTAGGGATTCCATACCACACCTGTAGTGCCACAAAGGTTGCTAAATGAATCTACTGGTTTTTTTTTTTTAGAAAGACAAAGGACTTTAGCACTGAAGTGATAAATTAGCGTCTTTTTCAAGTGTTGCCTCGTTGAAGACGTTTAGGGCTGCTTTTTTTGCATTAATTCTCCAAGAGTTCCTTTTTTCTGAGGAAAATGTTCTGAAATGAGCCGGGAGGTTAGCGAATAGTAGCTCATAGTGGTTTGAACAAGTTTCAGTTATCGAGCAGAGAGAATGTGTTAAATAATTTCTGTAAATTTGCGCCTTTGCGGGGTACGACGCTTTCATAAACCGAAGGAAAAATCCGGGCTGAAACAAAATAAGACAACGAAAAGGTAGTTGTGATTGTCCTCAGGAAACGGAGCTTAATTCATGTTCTGATTCCTTTTGGACGATGTTCGTATCATGAAGGATTGTCGATACTCAATTGAAAATCATAAGCCTCGGTGAAGCTTTGTTCAATACAAGGAACACAGCATTTGACGAGGTGTTTCCAAATTAACGTGTTTTAGCATCTTATCTTTAGATTGCAGCTTTTAAAAGAAAATTGAAACGACCTTACTCGCGAGTTAAGAGATTCATCTAGATAAAAAGAACTGGAGATGCACTGACAGCAAGGGAAATTGTTCGTATGTGAATGGTGATTTGACCGTAACTCTTTAAATAACAATTTGACGTAACATGTTGAAATAAATTACTAGTTATTTGCTGAAAAACAAAATTTACCTTCTTGCAACAGATGTACGAACCTTGACTCGCAAAACTCTGCGTAGCTTTTATGCAGCGTCTGGTAGGAGTTGTCCGATTTCCTTGGTCGCTGCTAGATATATAATGGTTCCCTCAAATCACTTGAAACTTGATGACGTTGCCTTGAACGTACAAAACAGGAAAAAACTGTTTCGCGGAACTGAACAGCTGATCAAAGCGTCACCCGCCTAAATTTAACGCCTTTCCGTGAAAGCTTGATTTGCTTCCAAAAATTTCTGTTTTTATCAGCATTACAGTTTGGAATTGAATTGAATTTTCCCACCTTTCAAAGTTAAAGATTTCTGAAAAGTGGTGGGAGTGGTTCAGGGTTACCCTAGCACTCGCGTATTTCTTCTCTTTTCGCACGACGTGTTTACAAGGCAGGTAGGGTTACCCTAGCAAGAGGGTAACCCTACCTACCTTGTAAACGCTCAGCTAGGGATAACTCGCCTACCCGGGTAAACTTTCCGCCGTCATGCGTCACCAGTACGTAATCGTGCCAATTTGAACGGTATGAAGCACATGCGCATTAGATACCATTTCTTAGCTGATTTGCATGTCTCAAGACACGCACGTAAAACAGAACCGGAATACCCTAAAAAAAAACCTAGTAGAGTTAAACTAGTTACAAGCCGAAATCGTGCCGACTTAGACAACTCAGAGATGACTCAAGAAGCGACGCCATGGTGGTTCTCAAAGACGTTCTTCCACTTTCAACTAAGTTTGTTACATCTGTGAACAATTTTTTCGATTGGTATGAAGGCCTAGAGTTTCAGCAGTGGCGCAATAAAATACCCTGGATTGTGCAAAAGACGGTTGGTTACAGACAACTCAGTGAAATGCTCTTGCAAAGGTATGAAGCCACTCTCGCTCCGCTCAAGAAGAGACAGGACCAAGCACGGCTTCTCGTAACAGAATTGGAGGATCTTGAAAGAAGCTATGAAAGGAAAAAGAGAGAATTTGAAGACACTGCAGCTACTAAGCGAGGCTGGGCCATTGGACTCGCTTTTGTTCCGTTTGTAAACTTGGTAGCATCGCCTGCACTAGCATGTTCTGCTGAGTCCGATATTGAAGAAGCAGCCAGACAAGGTGCCTTGGCAGCGGTCCAAAAAGATGCTGCAAGAAAAGTCAGTGGAAAGTTGATCCTTGCACTGCAAGACTTTGTCGCTGGCGTCACAAAAGCAGCAGGTTTCTTCTCCGTAATGGAACAGGAATTTCGAAAGTTTGAAGGTAAAGCTGAAAAAGGAAACGATACCCGCAAGTTTCTTCACTACAAGGTAATGAAAAAGGAGGCGAGCGACATGAAGTCCATCTGCCGGGTTTTTAATACCGCCCTACCGGAAGTGCAGAGGGACTTGTCGTTGATGGAAGGAAGTCGCATGTCATGGCTGGACGTTACAGCGCATTAATTGTAGCTACGTTTTCCCAAACAAGGCTTCTCAGACAATTCACTTGCTGCATGTAGTTGGCAATGTCTCGCAAGAAACGACTTATAGACCTATTGTGTGGGAAATTTAACATAATTTTCAAAACTCTGAATATGTTTATAGAGTAGAAGTAAGTGTGAAACTGGTTATTTACCTCTGGGAAAGAATTCACAAGTTTCGCGTGAATTGTCTTCGAGACGCGAGGGATGTAGGCTCCGCCCACTCACTACTCACGCGATATTTCCCTTCTGCCTGATCCATCAGTTTTTCTCTCATACTTTTAGGGTCTCCACAAATTTTCACTTTGCTTCAAGTTGGAAAAACGTCTACGCGAAAATTGAGCAGTAAAATTACTATGAGCTGTTCAATTTTAACGTCCAGCTCGTGAAGGCATCTTGGGCGCCATTTCCGACATCACGTAAGTCTCAACCTCTTTGTAGACTTTGTACCTTTTTCAGAATAATCAAGGCCTCTGTTTTCCATCTGAACACACTTCGCGCTAATATTATCACCTTTAAAGTATGTGAAATGCGTTCGAATGAAATGCAGCAATAACAAAATGGAGCGAAAAAGACTGAGCTGTGCTATATCGCTTTGTTCAACCAAAAGTCCCGTGATTCTGCGTAAATTCCATTTTATGTATTTCCTTCGTCATTTACCAATCACGCGTCGTAATCAAATCCTCAAATCAACATGATTCTATTTACCCACAACTTTGCCAATCACAATCAATAAAAACACAGGAAGTACGTATCGTATAACACAAAGCTAACATTGTAAAAAGTAGTTTTCCGCGCCAGTTTTTAGTTCTTTCCTGTAAGGGTCGCGGTTGGTTTTCTCTATCAGTAATCGCCGTGTAGAGGTTTGTTATCGATTTTTTATCTTCTTAGTGTTTAAGGCATTTCAAACAAACTGAAGATCAATTTTTGTGAGTAGTATGTCTCTTGGTCGCACTCAATTCTCCGTCCGAGACAGTGAATTATCTCAGGAGTAGCTCATTTGAGAGAGCAGCACCCAGCTACTTATAAACCACAGCCAATTCATTTCGATTTCATCCAAAGCGATAGTCCTCTCGTTCACATCGGTATTTTCTCTTCGAATTTTGATTTCTTATTTACGATTTTATAATTTACTTCAAGTGAAACTGAGGAATTTGCTAACAAGTCGAACTCCCCATGAAGGAAGTCGTGAAGGTTTTGGCGATGGCGTCGTGTCTTGACCTTGCCGTTTAATTAGATCTCAATTTCTTCTTCTGAACACACAGCACCAACTGTCTTTAAACAGATCTAGATGTAATAGCATGAACTCTAGATGGATGTACTCTAAATCGGTCATTGCTTATAAATTAAGTCGTATGTGGTTCTGGGAAGTTCTTATAGTCAACACAATTTCACTCTACGGGTAATGCCGAATCTTCTTCAATCATAATCAATTGTTTCTTTTATAGCAGAATCGCGTTACAAGACTCCTAGGAAGGACCCGCTCTGAGCTTCGTTTTCTCTGACGACTTCCCCCAAGAGTTTAAAGGTTTGTTTTACATTTTTCTACTTCTATTTTTAGCCATTTAGAGCTCTTTTGTTTTGAGTGCCGGAGTTGTTGTGTATTCGTGCGTTCTCTTGCAAGAGAACTGCAAGACGATTAGTTTTAAACAGGAAGCTGCAACGCGCGTTTTGTTGTTCCACCTGACACTAAGAGAATCAAATCTCCCGATTTTCAAATTGTGGTCATTTCACATGATTTTTAATTCAAAGATAAAAAATTATTCATCTTATCTCAATTCCGCGTTCCACACCTGACACACCTTAGAGACGCGCGTTCCTAGTGCAGACATTACAACTTCCTATAAACAGGCTTCGTAAATTTCAACAGCTGAAACCGCGGTGTTCCTCTCTTCTTTTTAGTTTTATTCTGTAATCATCTGCACTTGGAAAGAGGTTTGTAATTTTACATTACACATTCTTACTAGGTTTTTAATCACAGAGGATAATTTAACCAGACCAGGGCTTCTCTAAAGTCATGTGAGACTGCCACTGATTTCGACGTCATATGATCTCGTTATAAGCTT